TCGGTATCTTAGACAATATTAAATACTTTTATAGTTGAAAAAAAAAAAATAAAAAGAAAAGAAAAAAAAAAAAATTATTGATGAGATGATCATCACCGTTATTTGCAAAATCCCTTTCAATTAAATCTTTCTTAATTACTCAATTGCCTCTTCCTCCCTCTAAATCTTCACCGACTACTCACAAGATATACGCAATAATGGCTGAAAAATTATCACACCCATCAATCAAGAATGGTTGGTTTGCGGAAATTTCAGAAACCATGTGGCCAGGTCAAGCTATGTCACTTGAAGTTGAAGAAATCTTGCACGTTGAGAAATCCAAATACCAAGATGTCCTAGTTTTCAAATCAAAGACTTATGGTAATGTTTTGGTATTGGACAACTGTATTCAAGTCACCGAACGTGATGAATTCTCCTACCAAGAAATGATCACTCATTTAGCATTGAACTCATGCCCCAATCCAAAGAAAGCTTTAGTAATTGGTGGTGGTGATGGCGGTGTTTTGAGAGAGATTTTAAAACACAAATGTATTGAAGAAGCATGGCTTTGTGACATCGACGAGACTGTTATTGAGGTGTCAAAGAAATATTTACCGGAAATGGCAGCTTCTTATAAAGACCCAAGAACAAAAGTTCATATTGGCGATGGGTTCAAGTTCTTAGAGGAGTACAAAAACCAATTTGATGTTATCATCACCGACTCATCAGACCCCGAGGGCCCAGCCGAATCATTATTTCAAAAACCATATTTTGAGTTATTGAAAAATGCCTTGACTGAAAAGGGAGTTATTACTACACAGGCAGAAAACATGTGGATCCACTTGGACATTATCTCAAAATTGAAGAAAGATTGCTCTGATATTTTCCCTGTTGTTGAATATGCTTATACCATGATTCCTACTTATCCATCTGGATCAATTGGATTCATGGTTTGTTCAAAAGACCCAAATGCAAACGTTAAGAAACCTATTAGATTTGAATGGGATGACGAGTTTGTTGCTAAAAACTTGAAATATTATAATAGACAAATCCATGAAGCTTCATTTGTTTTACCAACTTGGGTCGATCAAAAATTAAACAAGAACCTTTAAAATGCTGTTTGTTGGCATATGTATAGCTTATTATAGCAATGAATTGACTTGTTTAGCCAATAACCTTGAACTTGAACAGGTTTTTGCACATTATTCTCTAATTTCAGCCTAGTCTTATAGGCTAATGTACTATCATGCAGAGATCACAGAGGGAGACAGAAAGCTCAAATTATTATTATTATTATTTTTTTTTTCTTTTCGCAGCAATGACCACAATCCACCGCGACGACACTATCAAGCAGAGCGAGATAGTGGAGCAGCACTGACTAGTGACACTAGGGTGACAGAAGGTCATGACCTTGACTACAAGACTCGTTCTCACCGTTTTAATTGTGGGGGCTTGTGAATTGCGTTTTCAACCCCGTGTTTCCAACTTGAACAATAGCACTTTCTAGCCTCAATTTTGATTGGAATGTGAGTAGAAAAAGATATCCAAATAGAGTATCATGTTCATTTGGAAAGGTGTCTTATACTGCTACATGGGTGATACTTGCGCGCCCCCCCCCTTTTTTTTTAGATGTTGAATTACAAGTTGAGAGTTGTTTATTTTGTACATACCATATATCATGCATTTGGGAGCGTGATACTTATTTTATTGTCCATAAAAAGAGCTTTGGGTCTAGTTTCGATCAGTAGAAATATGTTACTCTACGTATTATAGACGAGTCATGCTGGTATATCCAATTGACCCAAGTATGTGGAAACTACAAGTCTCTATAGATGTAACAGATTAAGAGAAGGGAGAGTTAAGAAGATTGTTGAAGCATATTGCACACACACACACACACACACACACTTTTTCTGAAAGTCGTGCACACGAGCACACACACTTTCTTCAATATTTGTTTACGATATTTTTATAGGGCGATGTACAAGATAACCAAGCTAAAAGAGGGTAGATAAGGAATTTATCGCTTATACCCTTGGGCTAGCGATAAATATACAAGGATTTTTTAAATGTCTCATGGTTCTAGAAAAAAGCTTTTGCTTATGGGCCGATCAGGTTCCGGCAAGTCGTCAATGAGGTCAATTATTTTCTCCAATTATTCAGCATTCGACACTAGGAGACTAGGTGCAACAATGGATGTAGAGCTTTCGCATTTGCGGTTTTTGGGAAATATGTCTTTGACATTGTGGGACTGTGGGGGTCAAGATGTGTTTATGGAGAACTACTTTTCCAACCAGAAAGACCACATTTTCAAAATGGTGCAAGTCTTGATTCATGTATTTGATGTTGAGAGTAAACTGATAAATAAGGATATTGAGATATTTGTCAAGAGTTTGACAAACTTGCAGAAATATAGCCCCGATGCAAAGATATTTGTTTTATTGCATAAAATGGACCTTGTCCAAATAGACAAGAGACAGGAACTACTAACTATTATGATGGATAAATTGCAAAAAATTAGTAATCCGTTTCAGTTTAAGTTGGTGGGATTCCCTACATCTATTTGGGACGAGAGTCTATATAAGGCTTGGTCGCAGATTGTGTGTTCTTTGATACCAAACATCAACCAATTCAACAGCAACTTGATCAAGTTCAATTCGATCTTGGACGCTGAAGAAATTATACTATTTGAAAAAACAACGTTTTTGGTCATTTCGTCAACTGCATCAATAAAACAACAGCAAAATTTGGAAAAACTACAACAACTGCAACAACAGAATTCAAGGCAACACTTGGCAAGCCCGAATAGTGGTGGTAGTGGTGGTGGTGCACCCTCACTAGGAGAGCCACAAATGCATGATAGTCCAAATGAAGAATTGGATCCTAAACGATTTGAAAAAATATCCAATATAATCAAAACATACAAGCAATCCATATCCAAACTAAGGACCAATTTCAGTAATTTAATCATTAGAGGAAGTAATGGTACCAATTTCTACTTGGACATTTTAACGGCAAATATGTTGATCATGATTGTTTTAAAGACGCAAAATGAAGTAGAGGCTAATGGAGTCGAGATAATTCAAAATGAAGAACTACTAGTATTAGATAACATCAGAGCAGCTAGAAAATGGTTTGAAAAGATTGAAAATCCCAAGTAAAACTTTGAAACCGTCTACCAAACATATATATATATATATATATATATACACATTATAAATAGCCATACATGTAACCTCTTGAGCTGGCGTCAAACCTTGAAAATTCTCTCGCTTAAAAAAATTCATCGTTCACAATGCTCCGAAAACTAAAGCGACAATACGACAGAGAAGAGAGAGAAAAAAAGAATTCGACCAAAGTGATAACCAGGCGAAGGAATGAGAAAGTCTTTTTTTATAGACAAGGTTTTGGTCACCGAGTAGAATCAAGTGTCAAGTATAGTAAGCTATTGGTGAACTTTTTAAGGATCAATTGACCAACTATTCTGTAATTTTAATAGCAGCGAATCCAAAAAGGTAGCTGAAGGTAGAGGAAAGAGCCCAATACAAAAATAAAAAAAATTTTAATGGGAAAGCTTTTACAATTATTAACTCATCCCACTGAGTTGAGAGCTCTTATTCAGTTAATGGGGTTTAGACAGTTGTTTCACCCAAAGAGTTCCGATGCTAAATCAAAAACAATTGTTAGATGTTACGAGCTACTCCATTTAACGTCGAGATCGTTTGCTGCTGTGATTGAAGAGTTACATCCTGAATTGAGAGACGCGATTATGATTTTTTATCTTGTGTTGAGAGCACTAGATACTATCGAAGATGATATGACTATCCCATCAGAGACTAAAGTTCCACTTTTACGTTGTTTTGACGAGAAGCTCGACTTGAAGGATTGGACATTTACAGGTAGTGGCCCCAATGAAAAGGATAGAGCTGTTTTAGTTGATTTTGATCAAATCCTTTCTGTTTACCATGATTTGAAACCACAGTATCAGGAAATTATCAAAGACATTACACACAAGATGGGAAACGGGATGGCAGACTATATATTGGATGAGAATTTCAACCTCAATGGTTTGAACACCATCGAGGATTATGATTTGTACTGTCATTATGTTGCAGGTTTGGTTGGAGAGGGATTGACAAAATTGATGGTTTTGGCTGGGCTCTCTGATCAAAGCTTGGTTGAAGACAAGTTTGTGAAATCTAACTCAATGGGGTTATTTTTGCAAAAGACGAATATCATCAGAGATTACCACGAGGACTTAAAAGACGGTCGGTCTTTTTGGCCACAAGAAATCTGGTCAAAGTATACTACCGCGCTCCCACTGTTCCATGAAGATCCTGCTTCGCAAGAGCAAGGATTGGCTTGTATTAGTGAATTGGTCTTAAATGCACTTGGCCATGTTGAACATGTCTTGGAGTTTTTATCCTTGGTGAAAGATCCATCGACTTTTTCGTTTTGTTCTATACCACAGGTAATGGCTATAGCTACTTTAGCAGAGGTTTACAACAACCCTAAAGTATTACACAGAGTGGTCAAAATAAGAAAAGGTACTACTTGCAAATTGATTTTGGAAAGCAGAACACTTCCAGGTGTGGTCAAAATATTCAGGCATTACATTCAAGTGATTAATCACAAGTCTTCAGTAAGGGATCCAAACTATTTGAAAATTGGAATAAAATGTGGTGAAATCGAGCAGTTCTGTGAAAGCATGTATCCATCTTCATATGCTTTGCCAAAAGGAGTCAAACCGCCCAAAGGTCCCTTGTATAAGATTTTGCATAGCAGAAAATCAATCGATGATAGTGTGCAAAAAATTATTGACCAAGAAAACTTCAACACTAATGCCGTCTTGGGGTTTATTGGTGTGCTATTGGCTGGTATTCTTATCTACTTATATGAGCACAGATAGGGCCCTACCCTTGAAGTACTAGTTAGTATAATGATTGGCTACCTTTTTTTTTCTTTTCATAATGGTTTACTTTTCACAACAACTGAACATAATTTGTTTATCTATTGTTTCCCCCCCCCTATTTTATGGCTAGGTTTAGCTCTATTATGCTAGTACGTACAGTTGTACAAAGTTTGGTTTGATTCAGCTAGGCTTGGCTTGGCTTGGAGCATTAGCTTCCGTTTTCATAGCCTCAATTTCTTTGTCACGAATAAAATGAAGCTACCTTTAAGAAAGTTGGCTCCTAATCGGTAGCTCTCGTCTCAGCATTTTTCTTTAAATATAATCTTCTCGATCATATAGAACGTTGGGTTCCCCTAGTCAAATCTTACAAAGAATATCACGACGGCGTTGTTGCTATATACATTCTTCTTTGCTGCTAGATAAACCACAGGTACATTGATACATACGTGTATGTATATATATATATATATGTGTATACATAGGTATGTTAAAAGAAGAGACGAGCTCGAGGCTACAAAACACAGTCAGTTTCCCCATTAAAGTACTTAATTGGTCTCCCCATATAAATACTGATTCGAGTATTTCAACTCCGATATTACTACAAGATAAAAACGGACCATGTCCCTTGATCGCATTGGTTAATACTTTGCTTTTAAAAGACGATTTTCAAAGAGTAGACGTTGGTAATGATAGTGTACGAGAGGTACCACAAGACATGACGTCATTAAGTAACTTGAAGCACGAATTACTAAAGAGTTACCACAAGACTGGTTTAATTGAGTTAAACGAAGTCTTGAGTTTGGTTGGTAACTTATTATTGACATTTGCCGAAACTCTGCAGAATTTAAAGCCAGAAGTCGTTGACAAGTTATTGATGCAATTGCCCCAGTTGCATACTGGACTAGATGTGAATCCAAATCTTTTGGATGGTTCTTTTTCCTCAAACTTAGCAACCCAATTGTTTGAGGTTTTTGGATTAAACTTTAGACATGGTTGGGTATTTGACCAACCGCAACCTCCTCGCATTGTTAGTGATGAAGACGAGGACTTGGTGACACATTTGAATAATACAACAATTATTGAGAAGGTTAGTGACCAGAGACGCTTAACTAATATAATCCAACATTTGAAAACCTTTGATGATATCCAAGACTATCTTTTAGCGCAAGAAGCGAGTACACTTGAGGTGGTACAAAACCAAAATTTGCTCGAAACGTGGTTAGACCAAAATTGTACACAATTAACGCTTTCGGGATTGGCCAAGCTTGATAGAGACCTAGAAAAAGATGAGTTTATCATCTTTTTTAGAAACAATCACTTGAACACATTGTTCAAAAAAGGCTCCAATGAGTTATATTTGCTTGTGACAGATGCCTCCTTTCAAAACAAAAGTTTGAGTAGTCAAATTGTTTGGCAAAGTTTAGCATCTGTCTCTGGGAATGAGGATTTATTTTTTACTGGTAATTTCACGCCCGTTTTGGACATCGATCAAGATTTGTCATATGCTGCAAATACTGGTTATGATAACACATTCGATTCCGATTTGCTTCTACTGAAACAGTTACAAGAGGAAGAAGATGCAGCTATAGCTAAAAGATTACAGGAAAAATATAGCAACAGAGAGAAAAAATTACAAAATATTAACAATCCCACCCATACAAAAGTATCTTCTAACTTTAGATTAAAGCAGAAAGCTAAATCAAAGGAGAAACACACTAATGCAGCAGCAGCAGCAACTGCTGCAGATGCCCATGCCGTCGTCGTTGATACAGCAAATCCAATGCCTTTATCAAAGACATCGCCACCAATAGTTGTACAGACAAAAGTTAAAAATCCCGAAAAGGTTGCTGGGAAAAAGAAGAAATTATTTGGTCTCTTCAGTAAATAAGATTGAAACTGAGATTGACATTTTTTTGAAAAAAAGGACTGATATGGAATGATACTAGACTTTAAATAGAATGCTTTTTATTGCTTTCAATTGTCGCTATAATCGTCTTTCTCTTTCTCTGTAGGGCCGTTCAGGGTCTCCTCTTTTGAGTCCTCTTGTTCTGGTTGTTGCTCTATTTTAGTTTCCGCATCATGATCCTGTTCATGCTCATTCTCGTTCTCCTGCTCCAGATCATGCTCATGCTGATGCTCGTTTTCTTTTTCGTTTTCGTTCTCCTGCACCTGCACCTGCGCTTGCTCTTGCTCTTGTTCCTTCTCTTCCACCACCTCTTCTTCATCATCCTCATCTTCCCCTTCATACTCCATAGGATCGTATTCTGATCTCACTTTATCCATTTCTTTCAACTCATTAGTTGTTGGTTCTCTTAATTTGAATAACACTCCATCGTAAGTTCTTTCCTTAACAAACTTGTTAATCTCAGAATTTGTAGAAGCTCTATACTTTCTCAATTCAACTTTTCCTGATACGGGTGTATAATAAGCAACTTTCCTCTTTTTTGCAATCTCGCCATTTTCATTCAATTGAGGAATAAATTTGATAGCCAATTCTTGATCGGAACTCGGATATTCCTGATACTGCATGTCATAATTCTTTACAAACTTGAAATTAAAATCTGGTCCTGTTTCGTCCTCCACGTCTAATAAATTAATAGGCTTTTCTGGCTCAGTCGAGTGTAATTTTTGATAAATTTGATTTGCTTGATTTTCGTCATCGAGCTCAAACATCGTTATCCATTCTCCATCCTCGGAGTTGATAGGTCTAAAAATAGATGATTCCTGTTTTTGCTTTTGGAATTTCTCATTGAATGAGGCTCCTTGCTTTCTTTTCAATGTTTTCAACTCTCGGTCGACTGAAGCACTTCCAACAAATCTCAAATTCATGAAAATATTGTCCATCATTGATGTATCTGGTAACAATGGCCAGACATCAACAGCTTTCAAGTGTTTCTTTCTTGGATGTTTTATCATAAATTTATCTTGCAAAGTATTATTTGCTGCTGTAAATGTTTCTTCTACTGCTTCTAATTGAGCATCAGCGTCCAAGTCATGGGACTCGCTGTTCCTCAACTTTTCATTCACTTTGATTTCCTCAGAATGTGTGGTTATTGCACTCGTTGCCTTGGGCAAGGACCTTTCCGATATATATTCTGTTCTTCTTAAAAAGGATACAGCAGGTTCCGATTTATTGATACTGCCAATACCTGCATCTCTCAACAAAGCTCGATCTTTGGGATGTAAAGGTATAGGCTCGTCATTTCTTGTTAGCTGGCCTATACTCGAAGGTTTACCGTAATCGAGAAATCCGTTATTATTAATTAAGTTCAATTCTAATCCTAAATGGTCATCTATCCTCTCCATCAAATTTTGAAAGTTTTCTTTACGAAACAAAGATGAAAGTAGTTGTTCTCCTTCTGTTTTGGGCGATACAGGTGTTGTGGTATTGTACTCAATGAATTTCGGGTTCAAGGGAGGAGGCGGTAGGTTATTAGTATACCTTATTTTGGCAATATAATCTTGCCTCACAGGCTTATTCCTCAAAGACATGGCCCCAATATACTATTGTTTGTGGTTATCTATATAAATCCCCAACCTTCAATAGAAAAAGTTTTTACTTAATTGAAGTTCACGAAATTTTTCATAGAGAAAAAATAAAAAAAAAAAAAAAAAGAGTAAGAGTAAGAGTGAGAGTAATAGTAAGAGTAAGAGCAAGAGTAGAGTAAGAGTAAGAGTGAGAGTAGAGTAAGAGTAAGAGTGAGAGTAAGAGTGAGAATAAGAGATGGAGATGGTGGCCCTTTTGTAAGTTGATACTATTATCATTTCAATACTTGTACAACATGTAAAAGCTTCTACTGCTTCCATTTAGTAATCATCTCGACGAAATCGTGACCTTGTTGCTTAGCAATTGATTTTTCAAGTTCAGTAACTTGTCTAGATCCATCACCAGCAGCAAATGTTCCAGCGCCCCAAGGAGAACCACCATGAACTTCTTCTAAATTTGTTTGCTGAGGGTGTCCGTAACCGAATGGAACATATATGATTCCATGGTGGGCCAATGTACTCAAGGTATTAATCACTGTTGTTTCTTGACCTCCTCCTGGAGTTCCAGTACTAACAAAGACACCAGCATGTTTTCCTCTTAAAGCTCCTGATGCCCACAAGCCACCGGTACCATCCCAGAACGATTTCCATTGAGCAGGCATATTTCCGTATCTTGTTGGAATACCAAGTAAATACGCATCGTATTTAGTGAGTGTTTCGTTATCAGCAATTGGCAAGTCCAATTTTGGTTTAGCATGAACCAATTTCAATATTTCTGGCGATAGTGTCTCTTTAACTTGAAACATATCGGCCTTGACACCAGCTGACTCGACCCCTAATTTAGCCGATTGGGCTAAGGTGTAAACATGGTGATACAAGGAGTAAAGGATAATTGCAACTCTAGGTTTAGACATGGCTCAACTTGTAGACCACAAAAAAGAAGCCCTCAACCCCTTCCCCATTAGGCTCTCTCATCTCTTTAAATAGTCTAAACCTGAGTTAACCGTAAAAGGGCGCCACTTAGTAAGATCTTACTAAAGTGAGAAAAACACGCAATATATTGGCACATACAAATAATCTCCATCTTTCTTTTTGTGTACGATGCACAATGCATAACTATTAGGGGGTGGAAAAATCAATAGGGATATACAAGCAATCATAATGGATTACATACAGAGAGTACAATTCCAGAACAGGATTAAACTTATTACTAATTTTAAGGAAATACTAGATATAATAGTTTCGAATTAACAGTGCCCCAAGCCTAATTGGCCAGGCCAGGCCTGGCTAAATGTTGCACCTCTTTTCTCATCTCTTCATAATGGACATCATTTGTATTTTTTAATTGGTTTTTTTCCATTTATAGAAAAGCTACATTATAAATACTAATAAAAACTATCTAGCTCATTATCTACTTTTTTGGTTCTCTTGTAATAGCTTGGTAAAAATCGTGACCCTGTTGTTTAGCAAATCCCTTTTCTAAATCATTTGGCTTTCTCAGTCCGTCAGCACCGGCAAATGCACCAGCTCCCCAAGGAGAACCACCATGAACAATTTCCAAATTGGTCATGTCGGAATAGCCGTAGCCAAATGGAACGTAGATTATACCATGGTGGGTTAAAGTGCTCAATGAATTGATAACTGTGGTTTCTTGACCACCTCCCGGGGTTCCAGTAGTTACAAAAACACCAGCAAATTTGTATCTCAATTCTTGCTTGGCCCAAATTCCACCTGTTCTATCCCAAAATGCTTTCCATTGAGCTGGGAAATTTCCAAATCTAGTTGGAATACCAAATAAGAACGCATCATAGTCTAATAAAGTTTGAGTCGTTGCAACAGGGATCTCTGGTTTTGCTGGAGCATGCATTTTTTGCAATACCTCTTCAGACAAAGTCTCTTCAACTTGATAAATGTCAGCTTGACCACCGGCTGACTCGACACCTTTCTTTTCTTCTAATGCAAGATCATAAACATGTCCGTATAATGAGTAAATGATAATAGCAACCTTCATTGTTGTAGAGGGAAAACAGAATTTGTTGAAAAATTTCCAATTGAATTTACATAGAAAAGATGCTGATACTCACCCTCCTTTATATACATAAATACACATAAATACATATAGTGTAGACTATAAAAAGGGGAGACTAGGAGACTATTTCTAAACGCATACTGCTTAAACATTATTGTTGCTTAAACCTCCAAGGTCACTTACGGATTTTTTTTTTTTTTTAGCTCTCTTTGGTCCTCGTGGTCAGTTAGGCGGCGTTAATAGACATCTCCTTAAATGTACAAGAAAAATCGGACTGAGATTTGCGGAAATTGTGGAAGTAACTCTATTCATTTGATTGCTACTGCTGTTGGCCCCAATGCTGATGATTGTACACATTATTTGAAGAAGCGGTTTGTGCATATACAAATTTACTAAATTTATCATCTTCTCTACAGACAATACAAACAAGACCATATATCTCTATATATTCCAGAAATCAGTTAAATTACCCCCGGCTCCGTTATAGGCTAACACGTTTGGTGTAAGTCTATTTAATCCCGTCAAAAGATCCCTTGTACCGTATTTCAATAATCTCTTTTTCAAAGTTGCAGGATCGACTAATTCAAAGAATTCAGAACTTGGCTCTGGCTGTAACGATAAGTAGTAAGCAAGTAAACCAGCAATGTGGGGACTTGCCATTGAAGTTCCTGACATTTCAGCAGAGTCAGACCAGATAAAAGTGCTTTCGATAGCTTCACCGGGTGCAAATAAGTCAACGCATTTACCCCAATTGGAGAATGATGCCTTTGCATCACCAATGTTGCTAGCACCCACTGTAATTGGCCCATTTGCTCTACCTGGCGAATAATCACAAGCATCCGCATTGTCGTTGCCAGCAGCCACCGACACGTGTAAACCGGCGCGGACAGCAGCATTGACCGCTAAATCTAAAGCTTCGGATATGCCACCACCAATAGACATGTTTACAACCGAGCCCTTGAACCCTGGTTTTTTACTCTTTACGTCTTGTTGATGTTTGTTCACGACAAATTCAACTCCTTTAATTATATCAGAAGTGGTACCGGATCCGAGTAAATTCATTACACCAACAGCAACCAACTCAACATGTTTAGCTATTCCATAAGTCTTTGATCCTATGATACCTGCACAGTGGGTACCGTGGCCGTGGCCATCAATTCTAATTTTGGGGAAAGCAATGGCATCGCCCCAAGAAGCTCTACCTTCAAACTCCTGGTGTTCCACCTTGATACCCGTGTCAATGACGTAAGCAGTTACACCTTTACCACCATCGTTATCAAACAAATATTTCTTGTCATTAGAGTTTTCGCGATGACTGATTCTCGAAAGACCCCATGGCGCGTCTTTTTGCACATCAAACTCATTAACCTTAAAAATAGAGTCCTGCTCAACAAACATTACATTTGGGTTCTGCATAATCTCCCCAATCATACCTTCGGTAAAGTAGCCCATGTAACCAATAGCAAATTTATCAATTTGGAAAAAATCAAGTGTTTTCAATATTTGAGGATGTGAACAACTCTTCATTGAATTGGCCATCATTGCTGAATATTCCTGCTCTAGCCAATTCTTGTGTTGCGCAATTTGCGCTTCGGATAATTCATCTTTCAAAATGACAATATAGTGGTCAGGAACAACCTTGTTGAACTTATTGGTGATCAAATTCGATTTATATTCTTCGAAACTTGGTTCTTCTTCTTTAAAGACAATTTGGTTGGGTTTTACGGGTAACAACCAGTTGAAATTGAAAAATGAACCAAAACCCGGCACTAATAAAGCATTGGTTGGGGTGGTAACTAATAGAAAAGCTAATGCATAGACTGGTGTAACAAATAACATCGTGTTAAACGTTATCACCCTCTACTTATCAAACTTGAGAAAAAGATAAATGATTGATATCTACTTTTTTTTTTTTTCTCCTCTCCTTATCCCATTAATGTTTTATTTTTATCGCCCTCCTTTTCTTTCTTTTTTCTCGTATCTTATCTTGTTCTTGTTACATTGAAATAATATTATGCAACTACAAAGAGTCGGTATTTGTATAGGGGGAAAGGGGGTGGAGAAGCACCACTATCGAGCGGAGCGAGTTAGTGGTGCAGCTTTTGGTACAACAAATTCCAAGTGTCTGAGCCTAAGACTTGCTCTACTTTTTTCATAATAATTATTAAATCTTCTTACATATATATATATCTGTCATGCAATTTAACCTGGTATAGTCAGTGCTGCTCCACTATCTCGCTTCGCTTGATATATATATATATATATATATCTGTCATGGAGTTTAACCTGGTATAGTCAGTGCTGCTCCACTATCTCGCTTCATTCGATAGTGTAGATAGTGTAGATAGTGTCGATAGTGTATATCTATTCATCTTTATACAAAGTTGGATCAACTCCTTCCCAGGTCAAAACTTCCTTTGAATCGGGTTTATTCAAAGCTTCAATTAAATCAACATCTAAATCAACTTTACCCAAGCGAGTAGTCTCGTCCAACTGATCACCACCTTCAACTGGATCAGGTAAAACGTCCAAGTTTTCTTTTATTCTCTTTGGGTTTTCCGATTTGACCAAAACAATGAATCCTTGAAGGTACGACCATTTTAAAAGCAACTCCGCTGGGGAAATGCTATATTTCTTAGCAAGATCGAGAAGGAATGGGTCTTTAAACTTGATTCCTTGAGTGAGCGGCGAATAAGCTTCCACCAAAATGTCATGCTCATACAAATACTTCCTCAATGCCAATCTTGGCAACCATGGATGCAACTCCAACTGATTGATTGTCGGGTTTATCAACAAGCCTTCCCATTTGAACAACTCTTCCAAATGGTCTACTCCGTAGTTTGAAACACCAATTGAATGAACAATCAAAGTTTCATTATTTGGGTCCAAAACGTACTCTTGTAATGCCTTGTATGTCCCCAATCTTTTCTCCTTGCTAGTTTTAGGCGAGTGTATCAATATCAAGTCAACATACCCAATGTGTTGCTTTACCTCATTGCTAATCAACTCGACTGCCTTTTTAGTCTCTTCATAGCCTTGATTGTTATTGTCAATCTTGGTAGTAAACCAAATATCCTCCCTCTTGACATCTGGATAATCTCTTAAAAATCTAGCAATACCTTCTGCACATTTTCCTTGATTTTTGTAAGCAATTGCACTATCAACGTGCCTGTACCCATCCTTCAATGCTTGATAAACCAAATCGCTTGCCTTGTTATAATCAACTAAATATGTACCATAGCCGGCAACTGGTATATAACGACCGTTATTTAATTTGTAAGTTGACTTTTTGGTCAATTGAATAGATGACGTAAGATTAGACATTGCGAACCTAGGCTAAAATGAAAAGAAAATGAAGAACAAAAAAAGGGGGCAAGGGGGGGGGTTGACTTCCCTTTTATACTTGGGTCAGTCATCGAGCCGCCGGCAAAGGGTAATTTTCCAGGGTGCAAATAATAATTGCCGCCAAAAATTGCTTCGAGAAGAAACAAACGTTGCGTCGCATACTACCACAAGTCCTCCCCTCTCCCAAAAAAGTAAAAGAAAAAAGAGAAAAGATTGCTCTACTATGGAGCGAAGCGAGCTAGTGGAGCTACTCTCTACTCTCCACTAAGGAGAGAAGCCAATTAGGAAAGGAGCTTAAAGTAACAATACACTGGATGCGATAAAGTAAACTTGAGAAACAAGCCATTTTGCCATCTGACTAAAGGAATCTTTTCTCTTATTGTCCCTGGCTAACCCGGTTCCCCTTATAAGAGGATCCTATAAGTCAGAGTACAAAGTTTAAAGATCTACTTGCTATACTGCTCCACTAGGGGGAGCAAAGCGAGCTAATGCAGCTACTGTCTACTCTCCACTGCTCCACTAGGGAGCGAAGAGAGCTAGTGGAGCTACTCTCCCTAGTGTCGCCAGTTTTTGAAACATGGTCTAATATTAGTTTAATACTACAAGAAGTCTCAAATAAAAATTTAGTGACTACTCTCCATTGTTCCTCTCTACTGTTTCACTGCTCCTCTCTACTGCTCTACTGCTCTACTGCTCCTCTCTACTGCTCTACTCTACTGCTCCACTGCTCCTCTCCACTGCTCCACTATCTCGCTCTGCTCGATAGTGGGCAGCTAGTCAGCGTTGCTCCACTAGCTCGCTTCGCTCCCTAATGTCGCACTATCTTCATCTAGTTCTCTGTCATAAATAATTTCTTTAGTCCTTTTACTCTCTCTCTCTCTTTTTTTTTTTCTTCTTTAATTTTTACACTTCAACAAAAAGCTCTACAAAAGATTAATAGTTTTCTACATTACGAGATTACATTTTTACTTTAAGAGATTATCTTTGCTCCCCTCCCCCCCATACACACAAACACACAAACATAGACCATGTCCTCGAGGAAGAAAACATTGTTGAAAGTAATCATATTGGGAGACTCGGGTGTAGGAAAGACCTCGCTTATGCAACAGTTTGTCAATAACAAGTTTAGCCAACAATACAAAGCAACCATTGGAGCAGACTTTTTAACCAAAGAAATCCCTATACAGCATAACAAGACAGTAACATTACAAATTTGGGATACTGCAGGACAAGAGAGGTTTCAAAGTTTGGGTGTGGCTTTTTATAGGGGTGCCGATTGCTGTGTGTTGTGTTTTGATGTCACCAACGAAAAGTCATTAAACAATTTGACTAGTTGGAAAGATGAATTTTTAGTACAGCTGAATGTTTCAAACCCACAGGACTTCCCATTTATTATAATAGGCAATAAAATCGATGTCGATGACTCCAAAAAAATACCAAGCTTACAAAAGAAATTACACAACATAACACATAATCAATTGGGAGGATTGAATTATCCTGTGTTTGAGACAAGTGCAAAGGATTCGATAAATGTTGAAGCCGCGTTTGAGGTGGTTGCAAAAATGGCTTTGCAACAAGAAGAGTTGAATGCAGCTAATGGAGGTGACGTTAACGACGACTACAATGATGCTATCAATATTCACATGGAATCAGAGTCTAGTGCTTGTGGGTGTTAATTTTTTAAAGAGCTGTTGTGCAACAGGTTTTCCTCCCACCGCCCTTACCGCCCCCCCTAAAACAAAAAGAATTTCCCTTTACTCTGTATAACTTTCTTCTAATCCTTTTGATTCAGTTCTGAAAGACTCTCTAGAGATTATAATCCACCATTTTTTAACGAGATTTTCTTTTTTTTTTATAGTATCTTTAATCTACAAGTTGTTATATAAAGTGATTACTTTTTTGCACTAATACATGAACAAATGGCCTTGACAAGTAGGTCCACAAGTTGGTTACCTGTTTTGATATCTTGGCTCTGTCCTTGCTGTTGCTGTTGGTGTTGTTGGACACCTTGGTATTGTTGATAATGTGGCTGATTAGTATGGTAGTATGGCTGATTACCCTGGTGGTATGCTTGTTGAGGCTGATTAATGGAGCTGTTAGCCCATGAACTAGGGACTTGAGAACTACTTGAGTTTTGCAAGTCAATAATCAATACACCACCATTTTTCGGATCTATATGATGCTTTAGCCCGCTCTCAGAACAAAGTTGTTCAACAGCAGGCTTCAATTTGGCGATTCCATTTGAAGAATGCAATCCCTTCCCCACAATAACTTTCAAATGACTCTGATTTGTCGCAATAGCTTGTCTAAGACGTTTTTGCAAAATCCATTCTGCCTCTTTGACGTATAGGCCATGTAAATCAATCTCATCAAATGCGGAATCGGCATTATTCTCACGGAAAACGTATTCCGCCGCTTGTTGACTATAGTATTCGGCTTGATTTAATGCCTGTTTCAGCTGCTCGCTAAGCTCGTGGGCTCTCTGTCCATCACCCTTCTTGTACGCCGCTTGAGATTGTTGACTTAAAGCGTTTTGTTTTTTATAGTACTCATCAGCTTTAGCTCGCGCTTGTTTATATTGCGGATCCACCACATGGTTGTAATCACGCTGGTTATTTTCGTCAAATAACTTTACACCTTTATCTATAATATCGGTCATAAGGGAAATATAAAGGGTTACTATCAAAAACTCTCTTTGACAATTGCTATCAAAAACTTTCTGACAATTGCTATCAAACTAGTTCTCTTGACAATTACTATCAAACTAGTTCTCTTGACAATTGCTATCAAACTAGTTCTCTTGACAATTGCTATCAAACTAGTTCTCTTGACAATTGCTATCAAACTAGTTCTCTTGACAATTGCTATCAAACTAGTTCTCTTGACAATTGCTATCAAACTAGTTCTCTTGACAATTGCTCGCGAATTTTCCTAGTTTCAGTTGTTCTCTTTACTTTTGTGTGCTGCTTCTTTTTTGCAGCATCTAAATTAAACGGCGCTACACATAAGATCTCTTTGGTGACCCAGAATTATCCTATACATATATACGTAGATATATATATATATATATATATATATATATGTAAATACAAGTGGTACTTTGAAACAAGTACCCTTTAATGCAAAGAGAAAAGGTTCAAAATTCTTGTCTTATTAAACCTTTATTTTATCAAATCCCTACTAAACATCTCTATGTCTAATCTTGTAATGTAGAACCAGCCTGCGGACCATTTTCATTTGAATAGCATGCGGTTTCCTTTATCTGCTGTCAATTTTGATCTTTTTCTTTGGGTTTTGCAAAACATCAACACTTTTTAATTCTCCATTGTAAAACTTTGCAACCAAAATTTTCCTCTTTTATTCTTCCTTTTTAAGGGTTCCACAAGATACAAAAATTGCCATACTTATTCCCTATTCAACTATATATAGATATCAATATTAAGACGATGATAGCTCAGAGAAAGAATGGGCTAGCCAATCATTCTGAAAGCGAGCTTAAGGATCTTCAGAATACTGCTACAAAGATTGATACCAAGTCTTTACTAACAAAAGAAGCCGCTGAACCGCCACCGCCACCAACCCCCAAATCTTTCAAAAACACAAAGAAACATGCCGATGCGGAAAAATCCAAACAAAATGGTCAACTGAATCAGCAGCAGCCAATTCTAAAAAAGCGAAGCTGGTTCAGAAGATCCAAATCAGTTGAAAAGTTACAAGCACCGCCTGTTTCAAGCGTGGTGACATCAATTCCAAAACTACCAGCAACTGCTTCTGCTGCTGGAAATACCGGTACCGGTGCAGCAACAGTAGCAGCAAACTCAAGCAAACTGAGTTTGAGCCTCACCGCTTCAAAAATTAGTAGGCCACAAATACCAAGATCAAGGAGCTGGTTTTTCAAGTCAAAGAATAAATCAGCAACAACGCTTACACATTCCTCGGGATCAAGTGAGTCCGAGCATATTGAATTGCTTTCAACTGAATCGGTCGACACCGGAACTTCAATAATGACGGTAATAAGAAAGGTAGAGGAAGACGATAGTATACCCATTGTTTATGGGAACTATTCTGGGGAACCAACATTTAAGAAACAAATCGAAGAGCCTACAATATTCCAAGCACAACTAGCCAAATTCAACAATTTTGATAGATTCGACGAAGCTGCTTATTTTTTTTGGAATATCTGGGAGATTGATGAGAGCGGCAAAAAGAAAATAGTTCGAATTATCGAATGCAGCAGCGATTTTACTGATATTTTTCGAAATTTCACATACGAAAAAGTGTTCATCATGAGAAGTAGCTTAATACCAAACTATAACCTGTTCAAAAATGGTTACTTGGTCAAATTGAAATTGTTGCACGGGAAAACAGCAACAAACGCTGAGTTGGGATTACATTTATTTGTGAAATGTTGCAAAAATTCGATTTTGAATAATGTTCCAAATAATGCCATAAATGTCAATGTTTGTGGTTATACCTATGCGCGCAAGAGTTCAATGACTCTGATAACACTTTGGATACATCCTATTTTGAATATGTCATTTGACATTTCCAATCAAGTTAGATTATTAATACAACTGCTTAACTTTGGAATCAATTTGAATAAGATTACACTAGTTGATATAAATAACAATTCCAAAACTTTGATTAACACAGACTTGACATAAGGCTGGTGAAAGATATACATAATAAAAAAAAAAGAAAAGGAAAAAATAAAATTAGTAAGAATAATAATAACGCAAATAAAGAGAAGGTTTTTTTTTTGCTAAATTGGGAAAAAGAAAGAGAGAAAAGAGGAGAGTAATAAAGAGGAAGATAAAAAAAGGTGGTAAGAGAGGTGATAAGAAGTACGAGAGTTGGCATAAAAAGGCGGTAAGAGAGGAGAGGTGATAAGAAGTACGAGAGTTGGCACTGGTTTAATCATTTTGCAGCTAAATCTTTTTTTTTTCTTTTTTTTTTTTTTATTTGTTTGTGCCTGGTAGCATAAGTTTTTTGAAAATTTTGTAACTATATACTTTCTTTATAACCTCATCGCGATAATCTTCCTTACTCCCCCTCCCCCCCCCCCCNGACCTTGGTACCGGCTTCCGAGTTTGCTTTGAAACATGAAAACGTTGACCTTGGCTCTCTTTTTCTGTTTTCCTGGAATGTGCGGAATACTCTTGAGAGTCTCCAATACTCCTCTAAGTAAACCAACATGCATACCGGAACTTCTTAAGGAAGACGTTTGTGATGTCTGGGATGCATCTGACTGTAACACGATTTCCTCATTTGTACAACTAGGCGAAAAGTTGACGCCATTAACTAGTCAACAAAAGAATAAACTCGATAATCTTGATAAACTTCGTGATTTGAGTAAACAAATAAGTAAAGTTAAAAACAATGTAAAGCTATCGCGAGAGGCAAAGGAGAAACAATTGGCGGAGATCCAAGGCCAACTTGACGAAATATCAAAAGAGAAAGCTGAAAATAATGATGATGATGAGCGTTTAAAAGTTAAGAGGAGGGATATCAATGAGCTAATATACAAAGTGTCGAATAGAGGACCCGATTATATCAGCTTTACTCAATTTGAACAAAACAACAGCTATTTTCAAACGTTTTCAGCGATTTTATCACTAAGACAGCCATTTACAAAACAACCTATAGTCAAAGATCAATTCGTATTGCAATTTAATGGAGAACTATATAATGAGCAATGTTTGGAGTCAAACGATACTCAATTTATAATGGATTTGTTACACCTCAAATTAAATGAAAAAACCAAACGTAGATCTGCAATTTTATCAACATTATCTGAATTGAATGGAGAATGGGCTATTATATTGGTAGATTTGGTTGATGAAAAGGTTTATTTTGGCAGAGACCCTATTGGTAAAAGATCACTTTGTTTTGAACAAACTCCAGGACAGATTTTGATTAGCTCAAACTCAAGTATTGGATTTCAAGAGTGTAGAAACGAGATATACGAGTACGATATAAATTCATGTGGATTGCTGAGTCATAAGGTGGCAACGGTCACACCGCAGCCATTTGAGACGTTAGAAAGTGGTGCGGACGAGGAGGAATCAATTCTAGTGGAGGAGCTTTACAAGAGATTGAAAAAATCGGTTAAAATACGACAAGTTTCTATCCATCCACTTTTCCACTTGCAAGATCAAAGCGTGCTTGCTGTACTATTTAGTGGTGGTTTAGACTGTACTATAATTACCAAACTTATATGTGAAGTAATCAAAGAGGACCATTCTTCCTTGGACTTGCTAACTGTAGGGTTTGAAAATCCACGAACGTTGCAAACACCGGATATGAATCCCGATAGGAAGTTGGCGACAAAATCATGGTTTCATTTATCCAAGATGTTTCCCGGTTTGAAAATTAATTTAGTTGAAATCAATGTGGATTATAAAAGCTGGCTACAGCACAAGTCGAGAGTACGTGAGCTTATGTATCCGTGCAACACGGAAATGGATTTATCAATTGCAATTGCATTTTATTTTGCACTGTCTACAATTCCCGAGCTTACCACCTCGAAAAGGCTCACTAATCATGCCATCACTTGGGAGGAGTTTCTTGCGAATCCAGATAACTATATTATGGAACACAAAAAGTTTATTTCTTCTTCAAAAGTATTGTTTAGTGGACTAGGAGCTGACGAGTTGTTTGCTGGGTACTCTCGACATGAAGCAATTTTCAATACAATAAATCCAAACAATTATCGTGATCTAGCAAAATCTTTAAGTCATGACATAGATGTGATACATGAAAGAAACTTAGGGAGAGATGATAGAGTTATGAGCTGCTGGGGGAAGGAGTTGAGGTACCCATTTCTAGACCAAGATTTCGTTAATTGGGTTATATCGTCAATACCGCCATCTTTAAAGTTCAAATACACCATGGTAAAAGATAAGAAAGGCAAAGATAGAATAAGTCCTATAAGGAAATATATTCTTCGAAAATTAGCTGAACAATTGGACATGTTGTGGGTTTCTCAGGAATTGAAAAGAGCTATACAATTTGGTGCCAAAAGTGCAAAGTTAGAAATAGGACAAAATAAATCAAAAGGTACAGATATCTTGTGATTGTCTAGGGAATATAATAGAAAGAAAAAGAGACGCGCGGGGATGGACAGGGGAAGGAAAAGAAGAAGAAGAAGAAGAAGAAGAAGAAGAAGAAGAAGAAGAAGAAGAAGAAGAGGAGGGGGAGGGGGGATTGATAGAAAAAGTGGGTTGAAATGGTTGTTTTACTTTCTTTGGTATCATTACTCAACATGGTAATTTTGAAGGAAAAAATAAATGAGTGGACTTTTTAATTATTTTTGCACCCTTTTTATAAACCTTGTTAATATAGAGTAGAAAATAGAAGAAAAGAGAATATATAGAGGTATATATATATATATATAGCATTTCACGTCTTTATTCGGATTGTCTCAATGAATGTCTAATAAGGTTATAAAAACATTTTACATCTCCAAACATGGGATCAACATCGGCCACTTCGGCAAAATTTGTTTTAAATGATTATATGGCAGCACTTGTTTTTGTATTTGTTGGATTATGTGTGATAGTAAAAAAATTAAACACAATCATTGTGGAGTTACGAGCCTTAAATGCAAATGTTATTGCTTTTGGTGGCTAGTCTTTGTTCATATATTTTCGGAAAATCGGTGTAAGATTCTTATGTAGTTGTTAGCTACATATACACCACTGATGTTGAAATTCCTGGATGTTTCCCCATAGACATAATCAATATGTTGTTTGACGTTTAATCTGTATATTTTCCATAGTGGATGAATAAATAATTGTCCCTCACATACAATAAATGCAATCGATAACCCCTCCAAACTTTGTTCGCTATGAATCGGATCATCCTGTATCAAATATTGTATAAACCAACCTGTACACCTTTGCAGATACGCTTTTTCACTCATTGATAATCCACTTTGGGCTCAATTATCAAGACTTTACCAACACATCTTTCTTGTGACGGCGCCAAACTTTCTGTATCTGGATCAATCACGTATACCTCCCCCCTCACCCAACACTTTCTTCCTTGCTTTTTCAAAGTTGTGCATTTAATGCACACCCACAGATCAACCACGGTTGGCTTTTTATAGTCAATGTTGAGATTGGCAGTAAACCCTTTTTTACTGGGAAAGTTCAAAAACGCCAAACGACAAGTAATCTCATCTAATAATGTAGCAAGCAAGCCGCCGTGAACTATACCGTGGTGTCCACTTACCTTGTCGCCTAGGTACAAAAATGTGATTGAATAATTTGCAGAGTTTAGATTCGCATCATCATCATCATTGTTATTCTCGAGTGCGGTTTCCAATGCTATCTCGTCTTGAGAGGCAAAGTAGGTATCTGAAATAAAGTATAACGTTGGTGATCTATATTCTATCTTTTCCGGACCAGATAGCGTTGATCCCGTGAGATTTGGGGCAATACGTTCTTTTATACTTAGTGTTTCTTTATTTTGAGCAATAAACTCTTGGTAAAGTTTGTTATATTGCTTGTATATGGGAAATCCCAGAAGTTGCTGTTCAAGAGTCTCCTTCCCCTCACCAAATGATGTAGTTGTTTCTAATTCCACAGCATCTACATCAATAGTCATGGTGACTATAAAGTCAAACAAATTGAAATGTATATAAATGTGAAATTTATCAATTAAAAACGATAAAGCCGAGGAATTAGTTTTAGAATGTTAACTTTGTTTATTTTATTTTATTTTATTTATTTTTTTTTTTATCAATGTGGAGAGAGACGAGACCCTTTTTTTTTGGTGATATCGTATAGAATTAGGTATAGGAAAAGAAGTCAAACTTTTGGTCTAGTTGCCAAAGAGGAAATAGTGAGTATGAAGAAGAGATGTAGAAGAAGAGAAGATCGATAGTAGCATATAATTCTTTTTGATTGTTTGCTTTGATAAAAGTCTAATATCAAAGAGTTTGGAAAAAATTAAATCAATTTATTTGTTGTGTGTATATATATATATATAGATAACCAGACTAATTTAAGCCACTCCAAACTCACATTCACGTTCACGTTCCCGCACACTCACACTCACTACTCTTGACCAAATCCAACAGTTTCTTCCACAGCCAAAGATAATTTCTGTTTCAAACTCTCATAATCAGCATAGGGTGGTAAATCAACTCTATTAAAACATGTATGGGATTTGGGCAACTGGTTAGGTTCTCCTGCTTTTTCAATAGTAAATCTTCTTGGTCCGTCACTACCTTGCAAGTCCTTAAACCCATTCACTGGTATACGAGAAGTACCTGTGGTAAATTGTAGTAATCTAGCTTTTTGCTCTGAATCCCATTCATTGATACATTTCCAGAACCATTTGATAACTTGGTCTTGTTCTTGGTAACCTCTATAGTCAGTGTGCTTTTTCCAATCAGCAGTATCAATCTCGGCTAATCCACCAATCAATAATTCCAACTCTCTTTCATCAAAAACATTGACCAATTCTTGCGGTATAAGTTCGTTAAAACCATCTATGAATGCTTTAAATTGTTCTTCTACACGCTTGCTTATTCTCCACTCCGTTATGAGCTCAACATACTCGTGTTTGTTTGCTTCAGTAACCTCGATATTTTTACCGTTTGGTTTCAAATCAACTTCAACTCTTTCTCCAAAGATTTCTTCCTCTGCACTAAACGTCAATTCCAAAATATCGGTTATATCATTATCCAATATCCATTTTAGTGATCTGTAAAACTCGGCATCAACACCCTCCATATCTTGAAGTACAACTTTTTTATGTAGCATCATTTTATATAATGCACCAACAAAAAATGCATCCAAGAATCTTCTGTGGAAAACACCTAAACCAACAACTCTTCCAATAAATTTGAAATAATTTAAATGTTCTGGATTAATACTTGAATTTGGATTGATTTGTAAAGTGTAGTTATCATGCGAACTATATTCAAACAAACAATAGAATGGGTTGAACATATCATGCGACAACAAAAAGAAAAACTCACGCGAAACTCCACCATAATCCAAACCTTCTTCACCGTCAAATTTGATCATCAATCTTTTCTTTAAATCTTCTGGCGTTTGCCTCATAATCTCCTGATAACTATCTTCGAAAATGTGGTCTCGTCTAACTTTGATATGACATTGACCAGGCAATATTCTTAAAGCCGGTTGTGAGCGGAAATATATAACTTTTCTTCTAAAGTCACGCTTATACTGGGGAACGTTTTGGTCCAACGAGGAGGGTAATCTTGGATCATCCCATGTTGTGGTCTTGGTATTATGATCAACAAAGTATACTCTTGCTGTATTGGTTAATCTCATTTCCCACCCAGAAGGTAAGGGTCCCAACTGACTTACAGGTTGTTGTGAAATGGTAGTGTTGGGACCAAAAGTACGAATATATTGTTGTCTCCTTGGATCTACCCAAGTAGTTGTTCTTGTGTTATGGTCAACAAAATAGGGTCTACCTTCATTTGTGAACCGTTGTTCCCAACCAGATGGCAATTCACCCAAACCCGAGGTTGTGGCACCTGTTGCAGCCATTGATACAGCAGCTGCAGGATTCACTGGCGTATTTCCACCAGTCGCGTTAACGGTGACATTGCCATTAGAAACAGAAGATGAGCTGTTGACAGAAACGGGGGTACTTGCTTGTTCTCCAGGTAATGTTCTTCCACGATGTTGTCTTCTCTCTGCTTCTGTTTCAGTTTGTCTCTGTTGACCTCTTTCTGATTCGCTTTGCTCCAAGGTAGGTCTTTGCCAAGTTGTAGTTCTCGAATTGTGATCGACATAATATGTTCTTCCAAAGTTATCGGTTCTTCTCTCCCAACCTGGTGGTAACCTTCCATGTTGATCTTCAAACGAGGAGTACTGTCTATGTGAAGCGCCGCCACCGGTGCTACTTCCAACTGGTGTTCCGTTAGAATCGGCTGACGCTGCAGAGGAGGACACAGTATTTGCAGCTGCAGCCGTTGTTGTTGTTGTTGTTGCTGCTGCCGATGATGTTGATGCTGTCGTTGTTGCTGCTGTTGTCGCTGAGCCATTAGTTGGTCCTCCTGAGTTTGAAGGAGTTGATCTGTGGCCATTCAGGGTCCTGGAACTAGCAGGTCTGCTGTTTCCACCGCTAGCACCACCGCTGCCACTATTATTTCTATTGTGTGAAATAACTACAATAATTTTCCCGCTTATGGCAACATTTTCCATCAGTTTCTTCAAGTCCCTCGTTATTGTTTCTTCTGAACTCGATAACCCGAAATTGATGACATCACCAATTCTCACATTGACAACACCAAGAAACCCTTGGTCCTTTTTCTTGAATTTTTTCTGATCAAATACTTGAACGATTAAAATAGAATCCTCCAGAGCCTGGAAAGTAAAAGTTTCGTTCCAATATGGATTCAATGTTTTTCTTGCAGTTTGAGTAGTTTTCGTCTGAGAGCCGTCAACAGTAATTACTGCAAATGGGTCAGGTTGTCTAAAGACATCCCTCTTATATAGTGATTCAGCAGCGACTACTTTGACACTTATTGTTGATGTATTTCTAGACATCTTGTTTTGATAATCAAGCTTATTGTTGAAGCAAAAGATTTGCTGAAACAGGTCCAAAAACGAAAAGCCCAAGCCCCTTGGCTTTGTGCCCTTTTAAAAAAAAAAAAAGAATTGGCCAGGTTTTAGCTATAAAGAATCAACCTAATTGAATAACTCGGAATTTTTCTACAACTATAGCCTGATTTTTAAAAGTAGAGGGGGGGGGGGGATATAGTTGACAAAAATGTAGGATAGAAATGATCTGGCCTTGTTTTTTTTGTTCTCGTCTGTGCCTTTAGGTGAGATTCCTTCTTCTTCTTCTTCTAAATGCTCCTGACTTACCAAAACTTCCAAAAGTATCCTCAACGATAGCGATAGCTGATATAAGATTGTCAACACGTGGACTACTTGTCACACTCAACACTTGCTCGGGAATACCAAAATCCTATGGACTTTTCTTTATCCCTTCAATCCAGACTTGTTTTACTAACAAAATTTATTTTTCCTTAGTGACTTTCTTTCCAATTTTGAATTTTTTTTTTTGATTTCAAATTGAAAAAATAAGCGCTACCAAGTGTGCTATAATAATCGCTCGCTAAAATCTTTTCCGAAGTGAACAATAAAAAAAACATTAACAAATTTAATGAAAAGTTTATTGCTATAGCTATATAGCTATAGAGGCAGAGTGCAATAGCTATAGAAGCAGAGTGCAATAACGATAGAGTTAAAGTTAACTAGCAAAGTCATGTAGAGGAAAAAAAACCAGGACTATACCTTACATGCTAAACCCGTTTCTAGGTGAATTCCAAGAAGGTGGTAACTAATTCTTTTAGTTGTCCTTGTTGAAACTATATAGCAAGGGTTAAAATTGTTTATATTCTCTACTTTATTAATATCTCATATCTCTATTACATATTTATTACTAAAAAAAGGATATTGATATAGGGAAAAAAAAAAGAAAAAAAAGAAAGAAAAAAAAGCAATAAGCAATAAGCAAGGAAAGATGGGGAAACTATCGAGCGAAGCGAGATAATGGATATCGAGCGAAGCGAGATAATGGATATCGAGCGAAGCGAGATAATGGATATCGAGCGAAGCGAGTCTAGTCAGTTTGCTCCGCTATCTCGCTCTGCTAGATACTCTAGTCAGTTTACTCAGCTAGGGAGCGAAGCGCTCTATTTGATACTCTAGTCAGTTTACTCCACTATCTCGCTCTGCTAGGTAGTTTAGTCAGTTTGCTCCGCTAAGGAACGAAGCGCTCTGTTTGATACTCTAGTCAGTTTGCTCCGCTATCTCGCTCTGCTAAATAGTCTAGTCAGTTTGCTCCACTAGCTCGCTTCGCTCTCCCTAGTGCACCAAGTGTTGCTCCCCAGGGTCACTCTACTCGATAATCCAATCAGTTTGCTCCACTAGCTCGCTTCGCTCCCTAGTGTACGTACCAAGTGTTGCTCGATAGTGGTTACTGGTTCATAAAATCTGCTCGTTATTTATAATTTTCCCCATATCTAGTAAGAAATTATTCTCATCAATAATTGTTGCCATAGTTGATAGCGAATCCATTGATTCATTCATTGGCGAATCTTGTGGTAACCCATTGGTAGATACATCTGATTGGGAAGTGTTGTTATTATTTAAAGTAAAATCAAAATCATCTAATGATATTATTTCAATAGAATCATGATTGAACCTTGGTGTTGCCATCGTGGTGGATAGAAATAAAGCTGATGACGAGTTTGCTTCAAAACTATTGCTAGTGTTATATTCTGTTATATTATTACTCATTAAATCGTTAGCTGCTGCAGCTTCAGCTGATGTTGTTGTTGTTGCAGCTGTTGCAGCTGGTGTCGTTATTGTTGCAGCTGTTGCAGCTGTTGTCGTTGTTGTTGCTGTTGTTGTTGTTGCTGTTGTCGTTGCCGCTGCTGTCGTTGCCGCTGCTGTCGTTGCCGCTGCTGTCGTTGCCGCTGCTGTCGTTATTGTTGATGCTGTTGCTGTTGCTGCAGTTGTTGCTGCTGCAGTTGTTGCTGCTGCAGTTGTTGTTGCTTCAGTTGTTGCTGCTGCAGTTGTTATTGTGGGCCTCCTCGATATAACCAAAGGCTTTTCATTTTCAAACTCGACCAAACTTTCAATAGACGAATCCAAATTACTCATTTCCACCAACAGTACATCTTTCAAAAGCTTATTTAGATCATCTTCAGTGTAATACTGTTTATCACAGCTGAAATCTAATTCAATTGCTTCTTTGACTCTAGAATGAACCCCTAAGAAGGAAGATCCATCAATGGATAAAATCTTGACTTCTTCATCTTCAGTTGGCCCGTTATTTACAGCTACCGAGCACATACTAACAATGTTAGTATTTGATGCAGGCAATACGGTACCACATTGCCTTTGATTGACATCAATTTCCAAGTTATTTGTCTCATTGTTAAACTGAACACTGCTCAAGCCTTCTCTTAGCCCACAATTCAAATGACCTGCATTGCTAATATCATCGATATCTGAGGTCAAATCCCAATATAAAATATTCCCATCGTGACCGCCAGTAATCAAATCTCCTTGGCTCCATTCTATGCTTGTTACACGCAGCTGAGGTGTAGTGATAGAACTGTGATTACCAGTTAAAGTAGCGAAATAATCCTGTTTCCTAATGTCCCATAATCTCACAACACCGTCGCCATGACCAGCTGCTAATATATTGTCATTTGAAGGGTTCCATTTGACAACGTTTGCTGATAATTGGCGAAAGTTTGATGTTGTTGACAAAGCCATAGGTATATTGAATTTGGCAAGCCTTATATCGAATAAAGATACTCCAAATTTGCCGCATATACTTAGAGTAGTGTTGTTATAATCTAAAAGATCAAAATTCTTTATACCGTGTATAGTAGTTATTGATAGTGGAGTTGGTCTTTGTTGAGACTCGGAGTTTTTGACATCCCAATGAAACAAATAATCGTTATATATGGAGATCATTTCCAAGTGGTTGTTGAAGACATCTAGTTTGGAAATAGGGGTATTGATACTAATTGATTTCTTGTCCTTGATGTATTTTCTGTGGTTGAATCTTTTGCATATTTCAGCAGAATATAGATCATCGTCACTGCTACTGCTACTGCTACTGATACTGCTACTGCTGCATGAATCCTCTGAGTAAATGATTTTTGGGATAGAGACTAGATGAGCATAGCCTTTGTTGTTTCCAGTTATAATGTGGTTCTTGTCACAAGATTTTCTATTGATCCACTTCATATTATGTATATTCGACAAACTAATGGTAGAGTGATGTATCAAATGGTTGGATCTTGTATTCAATTCGTAAATAAACAAGTTATTTTCTATATTCCCTGAAGCTATTGCAAGCAATGGATTATTTGAAGGGGTCAAGACTTCCTTACTTATGCACATTGAGGTTAAATTCATATTATCATCGGGGATTTTCCAGTAATTTGACCTTATATTAGTTTGATCTAATGAGCAAGATTTATTCAAAATCTCGGTATCTTTTGGATTATTGAAGTTGAGTAACCAAGACGACCGTGACGAGTTCTTGGCCCTGAAAGAGTTTATAGTAGATGCTGAACATTCCACCAGATCCGTCTTCATAGTTGACATGAGACTTTCGACACTCGATATTGGCGATAAATTGGGACTAAATCTTTTAATTGCGTTTTGTCTGAATAACAACGTTGGTTCATAGAAATCAGCCATATTTGAAAAGGAAAAATTTAACCGCTTAGGGGGGTGAGATGCCTCTAAATTTAAAGATTCCAAGTTTTGCTTCAGCTCAACTATTGATAGTTCTCTCAAAGAAAAGTTATCGTTGAAAAAGTTATTGGGGGTAAATATTGATAAAGGATTGTGCTTGTATGAGAAAAACTTTGTCTATATTGTCAACAAAACAAAGTCAAATAGTTGTACCATAATATATATATATATATATATATATTTATATTTACAGGTGTATACAGGCATGACTGTACGTACCTAATCTCCATCCCAATGCGCCACCTCCATAATTAGTCTAAGATTTTCTTAGCTTCTGTTTTTAGCTGCTGGCGGGGCTGGCTTCTTTTTTTCTGTTGGCCTGGCTGGTAATTTGCTTAATATAGAATATCTCGCTTGCAGCAAGACTCTAAGGGGCACAATCTGTTCACGTGACTTGTAAGGGGGGCCACCATCCACTATCGAGCCAAAGCGAGATTGTGGAACCAAGATTTTACCTTACACTTATAGGCGAGACTAACAAGGGGAAAAAGTCACGTGAGTAAATCGCGCGCCAGCGAGTGTGCGCGCTCACGTTAACCATTGGGTTTGGGTGGAAAAAAAAATGTCTAGTTTATTCTATCGTGCTGTTGCTGGCTTTGCAGACCAAATTCGGTTATTACGCATCGGAGAAACCATATGACCGGTAATTATAGATCTTTGGATTAAATAAGCTTTGAAAAAATAAAATAGTAATACAATGTAATACTTTTGGCAATACTTTTGGCAATACTTTTGGCAATACTTTTGGCAATACATTTCAATACATTTCATTAAGATAGTATCAGATGCTACAAAATTCTACTAAATCTATAACATTGGTATCATCTTCGTTTATATATACACGGCTTCAACAACCATTCACCCTCAGGCTGCTTTCTTCTTCTATATTGCAATTTTTCCTCTTGTGTCTCCTCATTAATAAATTTTCTCTGTTGTTTTTCAACCTTAATTTTTCGCTCATTAATTATATCTTGCGATGGCTTGAAAAACTCAAATCTAATAAACATCTTATTAGAATTATCAGTCAGTTTATGGTAAAACCCGCACAATTTTAACGTTTCAACAAACTCCTTACCAATTTGATCATCACTTTGTCCATTCTTAACATCACTAAATCTCGACTTAATCTCTGCTATCCATAATTCTCCTCTAGGTTGTAGAATCCTATATGCCTCCTTAATAAAATCAAGAAAATTGGTTCCCATTAATGCAAGGCAAAATATAACAATCGTTACTGATTCATCGGGAATCGGAACATTCTTAATATCAGCAACCGTAATTCTATCATTATGTTTCTTCAAATCAAAACTATGTACTTTGACATCAAGGTGCTTCAATTTCTTTAATCTTTGTTTTTCTTGTTTAACAAAGGTATTCACATCCAAGGCAAACTGGGCTTCTCCACATCCCATATCGGCAATTACAATTCGTTTATCTCTGGTTCCAGGTAATCCACCAGGTGCATTGATATTTCTGGTCAAAAGTCTTTGTTTAAATTGCTCAACAAATACATCAACCGGATTCTCGGGCCAGCTAGAAACTTGCGATCTGAAACCTTGATGATATTCATCGAATAATCCAGGTTGTTCCCTAATTAATCTAAGCGCTTCCTCAGACGTGGTGGTGTATAATTGTTCATTAATCCAACGGAATCTCGATCCAGACAACTTGGACATCATTTTTTGCTGCAAGGGAGTTAGTTTAGTTTGAGGTGTTCTAGAAACAAGTTCACTAGATGAGCCTGGGGTTGTCAGCATGTTTTCTTTCTGAATCGATTTGGCTCGTTTCGTTGTATCAGAACTGTCATCGTGGTCATTTAACAATTTCTTTCTCTTTTTGTTTTTATGCTCTGAACCAAGCAAAGTTTCTTTCTTATCGATTGGGTCTGTCTCAGTGGTGCTATTCTTGTTTTTTCTCTTGTCTTTATCCTTGGGTCCCTGTTCACCATCATTTATCACCTCTACCTCACGCTTCTTCGACACCTCTACCTCACGCTTCTTCGGCACCTCTACCTCACGCTTCTTCGGCACCTCCACCTCACGCTTCTTTGCTTTTTTACTTTTTTTCTTTTTATTTTCAACCCCTCCTAATGCTATGCTTTTTTCATTCTTCAAGTTCCATCCCTTGGCCTCAAATAACATTTCCTTAGACTCCTGTGTTTGGCTAATAACTGAGATGAGCTACACTCAGTTTTTGCAGAGAAGAGAAAAAAAAAATAAATAATATGATTGCCGCACAGATTTCCAAATTGGGTTCAGTCAATAAAAGGAATATGTTCTTTGAATCAACACTTGTGAAAGATTTGAGTTAAGATAAAGTACAGTGTCTAGTATTAGTGGATACCAGGAAAGGAAGTACTCTAGACACAAAGGAAGTATGACTAACACTACAAAATATATCCCTAAATTTAGGTGAATTTTAAACAGTAACTAGTCTCAAATATATGACCCTTGGTGAGAATTGTATTTGCTTACCACAATATACCGTATTACCTTTTCCTCTTTAAAAAAGAAAAAATAATCAAAATAGCCTCACTCGTTAAGCGGCTTTTATTGAATACTAAAAAAATTACCCCCTAACGGCTATCTCCGAAATCAGAAAAAGTTGAAAGGAATCAATTAGATAAAGGGAAATTTTTCAAATAAATGAGGTTCCTAAAAGCAAGCATTTCTGTCACTTATCGTACGCATTCAACCAAATACTGAGTCCCATACCCTCCCCACATCCCCCCCACCCCCTATTACCCACCCCCTATTCTCATTCTCACCATTATGCCAGACCCAATTACTTGTCACGTACTTGATACAAACAGAGGTAAACCTGCTGAATCCGTTATTGCTCAGCTTTACAATATCTCCTCTACAACCAATCACGAAAATGTTAAGCCATTTGCATTATCCAAAACCAACTCCGATGGAAGAATCACTACATGGAGCTTCGATCCCGATGTGGATTACGAAAGCACTGGTGTTGTAAATAATAAATGGGAAAAGTTGGTCCCGGGACAATACAAAATCAAATTTTTGACTAGTAAATACTTCAAGGCAATTGGAGGTGAAACATTTTTTCCATTTGTAGAGATTGCTTTTGAGGTTACTAATAACTCTGAACATTACCATATTCCTTTATTGTTGAGCAATTTCAGTTACACTACTTATAGAGGAAGCTAGAAACGATGCTAGATGATTAGAGAGTATGACACACACACACACACACACACACTGAGAGAGAGAGAGAGAGAGAGAGAGAGAGAGAGAGAAGGTGCCTCTAGTATAGATCAAAACATTGTATTATAAATAAAGAATAAAAAAGAAAAGAAAAAGTATAATATAAAAAACTGTAATCTTTCTCCATCACTCCACATGCAAGTATTCAATAAAAAAAATGAGTGTTATTTTGAGAACTCTCATGAACCAACATTTCGCTACACTTGTATTGATTGACTTCATTTTTGATTCTGTTGATTTCTCGCAGATCATTTAGACTATATTGAGTAATCAGCTTGTTATACCGTTTATAAACATCTCCCGAAAATGTCTCATTAATAATAATCTTGTTTGTGAATTGAACGCGACCTTTAGCAATTTTCTTTTTCCCTAAATTAATAGTTGGACCAGCTCGAGTTTTGCGTCGAGAAAGAATTGAAGTATTAGCAACGGCAACACGCGGTGGTTGAGGTTGAGGCAAGTCTTCAAGTTTGTAAAGTTCAACAGTTACGGAATCGTAATCAACAAATTGTTTAACGTACTTCAAATGGGCAGGAAGGTGCCTTTGTTCATCCTCAGTGAGATTGTTTACAATATATTCCAATTCATCATTTGCAATTACTACCGTGCGTCGTCCTTCATTATTGAGCCCCTCTAATGAAGATTTATCATTCCCTACACGATCAGTAATATCTTCTTTTTCCGTAACAACCGCATTTTTACCGTTATCTTCGGGTGCAGCTGGCGAAGGTGGGTCACTAAAAACAACTTCCTCTTTTAAATGAGACACGCCCTTGGCAATGTGTCTCTTCAATGCCATTTCATCCATTGTAGTCCAAAACTCCTCTCTTCTTAAAAATTCAATATTTTCATCGACATAATTACTGCCAATAGTACTACATGGGTCACTATTAGCTGGAAGATTAATGGCCAAATTAGCCAAATCTTCCATCGTGAATCCGCCATCTCCAACAACAACATCCTCATCATCTACAACAGTATCATCCTTCAACTTTTGATCCACAATTTGATCTCTAGTTAATTCATCATCCTTAATAAAAGGTTCACTGGTATTTGATGTACTCAACGACAAATTGATATTCCGTGGTGGTTGAGTAGCAATTAATTCAGATTCAAACTTTTCATCAAATGTCAACATCATATCATCAAATATTCCACTTTCGTCAGGCTCGAAATCTGGCAACGAGCCTAATTTTAAAGACGAAGCCAGGTCACTTAGCACTGAAAATGGTCTTTCTGCTTGTTTTGCTGGGGCATGTGGTGGCTCGATATCAGTGAAAAAGGTATCTTTTCCCTTTTTAGATCTATTGAATTTGAATAGTTTGGGTTGAGCCCCTTTTGATCCTGTTGTGTCACTACTAAACGAAGAAGAAGGAGATGATAATGATGATACAAAGTGAGGTTTTTCACCATGAGGAACAAGTTTTTTCAAAAATGATTTGAAATTTTTACTAGATTTTTCTTTTTTGGGGGATTGTGGTTTGTTCGAGGTTGCCATATTTGATTTTGCAGAAGACTGCGGAGGCTTGCGTGTTGGCAAATTGTTATTGTTTTGCCGTTGATGGGTGGGTTTGATAGGTGTGGAGTGCTGATGAAGTGGTTCAGACTGTAGTAGATCACCTGTAGATAAATTCCGCTTAGTTTGTTGTTTCTGACTATTGAGTTCTGACATTGACTTTGCCTTTTTTATGGTCTTGACTGGATTAGTTACCGTTGCAGCATCATCTAACAACATTGGTTTAATTTTATTAGAATGACCTTGGCTCTCAGAATTTTTGTTGCGAAGAGTTTCATCGATAATGGGAGGAGTATCATTCAACAGTTTTGAAGGACTTGGTATTTCGGACTCGTCAGTACCGATTTTTTTCTGATGTGGTTGTGATTGAGATTTTGGGGTAACTGGTCCTGACAATGATGATCCTGGGTTGGAACTGGGGTTTGCACCGATTGGGATAGGCTGGTCAAATTTAGTCTCAACTGGTGTCACTTCGGCAATAGATACTTTTTTTGCTTTCCTTTTCTTGGGCCTTCCTTTAACCACCATATTAGGCGATTTTTCAATAGGTGGAGGTGGAAGTAGGGATGAAGATGGTGTCACTTTTTCACAGGCAATGGGAATAATAATTTCTTGAGCCTCTTTGCTCTTGTCTAAAGTTGTCAACTTATTATTATCTCTATCGGTTTCTTTTAGGTTAGCTGCCAGAAGGTTCTCAATTGATGGACTGCGTGATGTGTTCCTACAATTTTTTTTAATCTTTTTGTTACTAACAATTCTTACATCTCCTCTTGGTGGTACTTGATCTTGTGTATCATTTACAAATTTGTCAAATGACGATGAGTCAATATCGAAATACCTTGAGCTTCGAGGGGTTAGTGGATCAGATTGTGTTGGAGAAGAGACAAATTGTATCGAATGCTCGCTATTATAGAATACAATTTGTTCATGAGTTGAAGCGCCTTCGGAGCTTTTGTTGCCTTCTTCATCTTCATCATCTTCTTCTTCATCTTCTTCTTGGATAGAAGGTGCTGTTTTATCGAATTTTGTTTCCAATCTATTATGCCCAGACAGACCAGGTGATGAATCTTCATAATACAGTTCGATACACGACTCCGTGTCAATAGTTGGCTCAGGCAAAAGACTAATCTGACTACCTCGATTGCCATTGGGTGTGCTATTTTGTAAATTAATTTTTGCGTATAAATGCTCATTCAATGGGTTCTTACGTAGTTGTTTTTGTTGTTTCAAACTGATCTCATCCTTAACAAGGTTTGGAGATGGGCTTGCATTTGTTTTGGAGTGGAGTGTCAGGGTGTTAGTATATGAAGAAGATCCCTCAGATAATTCTGCTCCAGGCGAAAGTGTTGTGGATGGTGAAACTTTCATTACTGGTGTTGCAGACGCTGATGGTTGTTGCTGTTGTCGTATTTGCTCTCCAAATCCCTCTCTGAGAGGTGTTTGAATAGGTGTTTTGAATATTTCATCTTCACAGGAAATACTTGAAAATTGGGAAAACCCTCTTACAATTGGTTTGTTGAGATCTGATCGTTGACTAGAAGGTGCTTTATCAGATGACAAAAATGCCCGAGACACTAATGTCTCAGTATCACTTTTACTATTCTGTCTTGAGATGTCCAAAGGTGGAACAGACTCATAAAATGATAAGTCCGTCAAAGTACTATTATTTGCATTTATTACAAAGGAGGCCAACTTTTCCGTCTTTGCCTTTGCTTGGAATTTCTCAAAATCCGATAAAACTCCATTATCATCACGAATAAACCGATGCTTCGAGATGCTTTTAGTATTAATAGAAGAAGAATAATGATCCAAGTGACCTGCACCATCATTTGATTTCATTTTTGTCTCGGAATTATCTTCGCTCTTCTCGTTTAATGTGCTTAGTACTGTATCTTCAGTCGCGTCATCTTGATGGTTGTTGCTTTCGTATGATGAGGACCCCGTGCTACTTCTTAAATCATTTGAGCTATCAGTACTTTCTCGCAGAGTGCTCTGCTGTCGTACTCCAGTCCTTGTGGAAGTAGTAGAATGGTGCTGTTTTTCAGAATTTTCAGTGTCTAAAAGCTGACCACCTTGGTTCTTGGTGACTGATGCATTACCGTTACTATTGTAGAAATCAAATACTGAACTTGTATCGATGAGGATACTGAATGGATGAGGAGATTGTTGTTGTTGTTGTTGCTGTTGCTGTTGCTGCTGCTGTTGCTGCTGTTGTTGCTGCTGTTGTTGCTGCTGTTGTTGCTGTTGTTGCTGCTGTTGTTGCTCATCATTAATTGACGTCGGTGGTGTGTTACTCCTAGATCGATCAACGTTTGTAGTTGAGTTATTAACAAATCCGTTACAATCCTGTGAATTTGTGGAAGAAAATGAAGAAGTATTGGACAGATAATGTTGTTCGGTTTTTGTGATATTCTGAGATTGCAATTTATAAGCATTTTTCAAACTTGAAGTGCTACTGTTATTGTTTCTAAAATTTTCATATGGTGTTTTGTTTGAACCTCCTCCAACTATCACCATATTGGGTAAAATATCTCCCTTGCATTCCCTTAGACTTTTGGTCAAGTTTTGTTTATTCAATTGCTTGATATTCTGAAGGGACGTTGATTTTGGGATAAAATTAAAGGAACTGTTTGATTTAATCGATTGTTGCTCCACATAGTTATTATCAGTTGTGGATGACGAGGAAGAATATGGCGATGGTGGTGGGGTAGTATTGGTGTTCAGAAGTTGGTGTACTCGACGAGGGATCTGAACCGATTTGTATGAAGCACTGCTAACTTCTGTACCCTCCACCAGAAACTCACAATCAACTGGTTTAGCAGATTCCTCCAAAACAGACAAAGATAATAGTGGAGGTAGTGGTGGTGGTGGTGACGACGACGATTGAGGCGGCTGAGGAGATGGGACCTCGGTAATTATTTTCCCAGGTCTATTTCTCTTTGCCGGTGCAATTCTCGGTCTGAAGACTTCGCCATTTGGGAAGAAATATACACCTTCCTTTGAATAGTATGAACTACCACCATTGAAGCTGATACTATTGCTGAGATTTGTCATACTATTACTCCGTAAGCTCGAACTACTCAATGAGCTCAGTGTTGACGACGACGTTACTGCATTACCATTGGAAAAATTCTTTGTTTTGGATGTTGATGTTGATGTTTTTGACTTTGTTGGTCTTTTGATAAACTTTGTATCAACAGATATCAAATTGTCCGTTGACAAGTTCAAAGTTTGCGGCTTAGATGAAGCTAACAAGTCCTTTCTAGCACCACCTGCTGTGGTGTTGATCATCTCTCCAACTTGCAAAGTAATTATTTTTTTCCACTTTTCTTGCAGATGAAAAGTATCTAGTTTTTGCTTTTTCTACAGCTGAGTTAGCTGATGATTGTTTATCGCAGAAAGCTATTAATAGCAAAAGGGGGACACAATGAAACCTTTGGGGGGGGGGGAAAGGATTGGGACACAATGAAACCTTTGGGGGAGAAGGATTGGGACACAATGAAACCTTTGGGGAGAAAGGATCGGGACACAATGAAACCTTTTGCGGGGGGGGGGGAATGATTGGGAGTTAATGAAACCTTTTTGGGGGAAAAGGAAAGGGAGAAGGAAAGTCCAAATGTGGTAGATTCAATAAGGTTTAAGCGAATGAATTGGGTTAGTGGTTTTCTAATAATGAGCTAGTACAACCTAACCAAGTTATGAGACAACTCAAAAAGCGACAATAGAATCGACTAAGTCAAATAAATAAACAAGCCCGTGAGAGACCAGCAAAAGGACCAGGGAAGGACCAGGAACCAAACAAAAAAAAAGCCAACGGAGGAACTAGAAAAATGAACCAAATAAAAAGGAGAGAATGGAGCTTCTAAAGTTAGCAGTTGCCTTTGGATACTTGCCGTATTGCTGTTAGCCGTATTCTTCTTCTTGCACTTTATTAATTTTTCCAGAGTCTTTTTTTTTTCCTAGTGTCTTTTTTTCTCTTGAGACTTTAACAAGTCGAGATTCGCACCTGACGCTGAAATTTAAGATTCTCAAATTTTTATGTTCCTTGTTTGAGCTTTTCTTGCTGTTTCAAAGGAAGGTTTTTCTCCCCCTCGCTACAAGTAAAAAGTGTCTGTATTATTACGGAGATGTATAATTTTAAAGTGAAACAATGCTACTTGTTTAGGATATATCGTAATATTTAAACGAATTAGGATAATTTTGAAAATCAAATCGTGTTCTTGTCAGAGGAATAGGAAAGAGGCGTAGTGATAAAGTAGCCTATGTATAGTGATAGAGTAGTTGTAGGTAGTGGAAAACAAATCTATAATCGTAACGAGAGTAGGCTCAATTAATTAATTTGAATCTCGATTAGCTCGTCTTTTTTAAAACTACCTTTTTTTCTTACATCTCATACCATCCTTGAGCAACACATTGTAACCCCATACTATTGACACTATCAAGCAGAGTGAGATAGTGGTCGATAGTGGTGCACTCTTATATACATTCTTGACCATCTCATATATAGACATTTGAAAATTTGCTTGTTTCTGTGCTTATAAAACCCGTGTCTGCCTTTAACAATGAGTTCTTGATACCTGTAACCTGTATATAGTGAAATTCTCTCCTGGCTGGACGTGCTCTCACGGCAACGGCGGCAACGAGGTGAAAATCTTTAAGTAAACGGCCACAGAGTATTGTTTTTTTTTTAGATGAGATGTGGAAAAACATGACACGGCAACAAGACAAACGTTAAGTTTGGTTTGAATAGAGGGTATATTTCTGGGGAAAAGAGATGCTACTCCTATGGGGGTCTATTGTCGTTTGGACATTTTCGTGGGCTCGGCTAAAATGCACACGATTTTTTTTTTCTCCTTTATTTATTTATTTTTTTTATTTTTTCTTTATTTAATTTTTTTTTTTTTCCATAATTAATTTTTTTTTTTTTTTTTTTGCTTCTGTAGTCATAAAAAAGTATGAAATTTTCGTGTAAAACACCGTGCTACTATCTAAAGCAAAAAGGCGGCTTTTTTTTTTTTGGAGAATCCTTCTAATGTATTGTACCAATGAGATGTAACTGTATAACATGACCTGACTATTATTAAAGATGACTGTTTACTATTATTAAAGTTGACTTGGGGTTTTGTACTTTTCTTGCATTTCTCTCTTGTTTCCCCAACATTTGGTTGAAGTGCTACCAAATTATATTATTATCTCAAATTGGCATTTAGATAACCAGCTATAGATTTTTAGCAGAGACTAAAAATAGATGGTCTAGCTAATATCCTAACCACTAAAAACGTTTTCGTTATCTACTAGAAAGGGGAGGTAATGGTTTCTGTGGAGTTTTTTTTTTAATTATATTCTATGCTTTTGACAAGTGAGTGAGTCAATTTATCGTGATCGCTAGTTTGCAAAATAATAATATCTAAAGTGACATATATGTAACAGAGTCATCGATCGATCACCATAGTAGTTTCGCACTCAACCAGAGAAGATATCAAACGAAGCAATCGAAAAACACTAGACGTTGTTTCAGAATGTGAAAAATAATTTTTTTGTATACCACCATAAATTACAACTAAGCATTATTCCAGTTGTTTCAAGTATATTTACGAAAATCCCTTTTTTTTTCCATCTCTTTCACCCGTATTTTGAACAAAGCTTAAGTTTTGTAATCAAAAATAAGTACTAACTTAAGTACTTATTGATGATGTATTATTAGAGCGGTTTCATTTGTTGAAATGGTTTTTAGCGTACCATGTAAGTAGGAAGGATCTTGATTTTAAGCTCTACTTTCCTTGTAAACATATGATCATCTTTCTTTCCCCAGTAGAGTCATAAGTAAAGTTGCACAATTTGCAAGTTTTTTTTTTTTTTTTTTTTTTTTTTTTTTTTTTTTTTTGCAACTTTCCATAAATCCTAACCCTTTTAACTTTTAACGACCATCTCCTATCCAACAATCTTTGTCGAAGTTTATAATACGGTAATGTTTCTTTAAAACCACTGTTACCAGTCAGTCGACAACAAAGGCTGTAGTTTTTACGGACAAAGCGCTGTTTTCCAGAGCTTTCGGATCAACAGAGGGGGGTTGTACATTTTCAATGGCTGCGAAAAAAAAAAAAGGTAAAAAATGTTATACCGAAAATAAGAACGCTTTGGGTTTCGTTGCATAATGAAATAATGATAGAGATCACAAGTTCAGCTACAAGGATCCCAAGCTTAAAGCACATTTTACTTGCCATCAACGTAATAGATGAGGATACTACCAAGTCAGCGCCTATGTTCTCCACAAACAACAATAATCCTCCTCTATGTTCAATCCTTAGCACATTCTCTAGATATAAAAATAAATAATGAAGATATAGATGATCCAGCTCAAGTTCTAAGGTCCAAGTTCAAAAAGTATCTACCTGAGTTACAAGAGAACTTGGAAATTCCTCTTCGGAGTCCTAACCAAGAAACAATCAAAGAGTCATTTCTCCCTAAACCACGACCATCTTATCATAGAGGTATTCGTTCAAAATTCAGAAAGGATATACCCATGCTTTGGAGATCCAGAAATCCCAACGTTGAGAGTGGAGTAGGTACATCTGATAGTGGGAGTGGTGATATTAATAGCAGTAGTGGTAGTGGTACTACTACCACTACCACCACCACTTCAACCATCAGCAAAAGCAGTAGTGTAACTAATAATGACTTTAATGACACCGATGAAGAAGAGTTTAGAGAAGGAGTTGCGGTAGAGAGTGCAGATAAAGAACAACAAGAAGAGGGTGACGAAGAACATGAAAAAGTGTCACCCGATGTCACTTTACACTCTCAACATTCGTGGGTAAAAGATTTTCTCGATTTCCAAGCTCAGCAAGTATTTGCCATGGCCGTTGTACCAGGTTCTGGGGGGAGGAACAACAATAACAACATACAGCTCAAATCATCCATCACTGCGTATGAAGATTCTTTGAATAATCCTCAGGATTTGAAGCGCTGGGTTCGCATAATTGCTGATAAACCTATAACTCCAGAGATGCGCCGTACTAAGAATCACGTGAACAATGAGATTGAAATCGATATTGATGAGTTCATAAACTATCTCGTTCAAGAGCAGGGATTCAACCCTGATGATTTGCAGTTTCTCAAATTGAAGAATCTCGATTATGGAATGGGAGAAATTGAACAAGAGTTGAATAAATTAAAGGATTTGCAGGATAAAAACGGCGCTGTTGCCAAAGTCATCGATATTGGTGGTGAAGGAGATACAGATGACGAAAGAAGAAAGAGTTTTGCTACAGGAGGGTTAAGAGTTGATGGCTCATGTCTCTTGTGGGCTTTGACTGTATTAGGAATCACTGTGTTATTTGGATAAAATAATCATATATGTTTCCATATTCCATTGGCTATATTTCTAATGCTTCTATATTTGTAGAACTTAATCTCCATAATATCATCATAAATGCACTTCTATAAGGTTTGAACTTTTCGGCAACCTCGATGACATATACATCGTGTAAAGGTTTCCATGTTCTCTTGGAACTCTCCTTGTTAAAGAATTTTGGTCTTTTTTTCAATTTGATTTGTTTTGACTCGTCGCCTGCACATTCCCGCTTGACTCTTTCCAACACTTCAGGCCTTTGCTCTAAATACTTGGCCATCCCTCTCGCTATACCCAAATCATCCTCAGCAAACACATCCATTTCTTCCAATGTAAACAAAGCAAACATCTTTGCCGACCAAATACCTATCCCTTTCAACTTACATACCTCTTTATAAATTTCTTCCTCTGAAGCGGTTCTATAGAAATTCAAGTCACACAAAATGTTTTTTGGGTTGGAAAACACTTCACTAATATGCTCAACATACTTCACCTTGGGACCAGATAGCCCAGCACTTTTCAACTTTTCAGAACTCATCTCTCTTGTCTTTTGTGCTGTGGGTATTTCATCCTCGGAGAACAAGCTTTTGAACTTTTTTTCAATCGCTTTGGCAGCAGCACCACTTACTTGTTGAGCAATGACCGACCTTACAAGACTATACCAATAAAAGTGTACTCGATCGTCATCCGCAGTCTGTAGTTTTTCATCAAACTCCTTTGATCCAAATCCACTAAAGTTTTGTTGTGCTACCACGGGGTACAATGTGGGATCCTTTTCTATACAGTATTGAAGACCTTTAATGAAATGCGGTGTATGCCAGTCAATAAATTCCTTAGGGAGCGACAAATCTGGTGGGATATTTTCACGGTCTAGGAATAGCTCTATAGATTTGCTGGATTTTTCAAGTACTTTTTGTCCATCCTTTAAAGGTTTCGAGACAGGTGATTTACGTTTTGGTTTTGGTTTTGATTTTGATTTTGATTTTGATTTTGGTTTTGGTTTTGGTTTGCTGACTTTACCGTTGGATGACTTGTTGACGTCTTGCGGAATCTCTGTTGCTAATGGATATACTTGAGACGTGTTTTCAGCCGTTCTAGCTCCTGATTTATTTGACCTTGTGATTGCTCCCATATTTAGGACTACCGACCCCCTTCTTCAAAAATGAACCAAATCTACAAAAAACAAAAACAAAAAAACAACTGATTTACAGTTACACACGGGTTTGACGAAATCAACGCTATGGATATATAGAGCTATTCATATACCTCTGATACCTAGAATTTGCCACATATCTTTGAGATGCATAAAGCTTTGAAAAATTTTGTTAGGGGGGGAGGGCGGCTAATTTTTATCCTTTTTCCGTTGCTTTAACCTTGTTGAAATCGTGATTTCCCTAAAAAAAAAATGCAATATTCATGACAATAATGTTCCATGATGATGTCATCAGGGATACTGATACTCTTGATCCTTTTATGGTATAATATTAGCTCATTCTTTAAAGTTGGAAAAAAGAAAAAGTTAGGGACTCATTCTGTCAGTCAGGTTTGAAATAGAATCTTATCACGAATGGTCCTAACAAATTGTAAGTGAGAACACTACTCATCCTGTTGTACATGATAATTAGAATTCACAAAAATTTGTAATAACAACATAAAAATAATAGCATAGTGGATAGTGGATCAAACGATAAAAAAAATCCGACGTTGGAATCTCCCCATCATATTGTTGTAGACTGTCAAGCTTGGTTTAAATCAGTTAGCTTGGAATTTTTCATATCTCCATCTTTTTTTTTTCTTCCATTCATCCTTAGAGAGATGAGATGAAAATTGGAGAGTGGAAAAAAAAAAAAAAGTTACCCGACTATAGCTAAATGTGGTTGACGTTTTCGTTTTTGCCAGTAAACATTGGGCTTCCTCGACTTATTACGGTTATAGATATCACCAAAAGCGCCTACCGATGAGTCTATGGGGAGTTTATCAGGGCCCACAGCCGCCCAAGAAAACTCTACTGGAAATGACCCAACAAGAACAGGCAGAAGCAGGAGCACAACAATTTGTTAGCTTTATGCAATCATGTCCTGGGAAAACCGCTATGGCAGGGGTAAGTGGGTTTGCGTTGGGTGGGTTTTTTGGTTTGTTTATGGCGTCTATGGCATACGATGTTCCCTTGGGCACAGACTCTGTGAAGCATATAAGTGAATTACCATTTAAACAACAAATGAAGTTGCAGTTTGGTGATATGGCCAAGAGATCATACTCGTCAGCAAAGAATTTCGGATATATTGGTTTTGTCTATTCTGGTGTTGAATGTGCTATTGAAAGTTTCAGAGCCAAACACGATATATATAATGGAGTTAGTGCTGGGTGTATCACCGGGGCGGGATTGGCTATAAAAGCTGGTCCTCAAGCTGCATTTGTTGGATGTGCTGGTTTTGCCGCCTTCAGTTTGGCTATTGATATGTACTTGCATAGTGATGCTGCTGCTCCACCAAAGAACGATTACGATTTATGAGAGGCTTAACTAGTCGAGCAGAGCGAGACTACTTGAATCGCGGAGGCGTAAAAACTAGTTGAGCGGAGAATTGGACCAGTTCCAGTGGCAGCTGCAGCTGAGAGAAGAAAAAAAATGTGTGCTTGTTATTCTTGTAGATAAATTTGTAATAGTAGTACATATATTTGACAATAATAGTGGAGTTTTTGCAAAGTGTATAAAAGATGTCCATTTCATCACAAGGTCTAACTGTTCAAGGTTAACAAAAGTAGTAGCAATACCGATATTTAAAGTCCTCTGCAAGCGTGGACAAACTTAAGAGACCAATGATAATCAATGTAGCCAAAAAAAATATCCAATATCTGAATGTATACACGTTTTGGACAATATGCTCGATCAAACTGTAATTTTCAAAGCTCAGTTTATTCGACAATGTTTGTTCTTTCTTGTGAATTTGGTTTTCCTTTTCTTGTTTATTTATTTCTTCCTCGAGCTCTTCGATTCCGATCTGGTATTTTGTTTGGTCCACCAACTCTACAAGTTCATTTAGCTTCATGTCAAAGAGCAAGAGATTCGACTGATCAACGGTTTCAATATCATTAAACTCGTGCACTAATTGCCTCAACTTTGTTTTGATTTTCGTCCTTGTCAATTGTTGTTGTTGTTGTTGTTGTTGTTGTGAATTAGTAGCTGGCGGTGCCAGTCGTTGCGCCATTAGTCGGTCGACCAAGTTGAGATTGCTACTCAGTTTGTAATTACTATTTTGCTGTTGGAATTGCTGAGACGGTATTACTGTATCCGTTTGGTGAAGTCTTGGTCTATGTCTCAGTAGATTCATATCTGTTGATGATAAAGTATCTTTTATCGAGGTAGCTTTCGCTTTGTTTGGTCGCGATGACGAGGAAATATAAGTGAGCGGTAAAGGTTCTCCCAAATTATGCGGTTCCGACTTGATATAAGGTCTAGTATTCATGTTATCATTATGGGTCTTTCATAAGTATATCCTTTCCAATATTCCTCAACAATACTTTCAAGGCGTTTTGTTTCTGTTTCATTTCTTTGTAAACAAAAATTTCGAGAAAACAAAAACGCGCTTACAAAATTCCAAACCAAAAACGAACAAGACAAGTAAAACAAAAAGAAGGTGGAGAGAGAAGGCAAAGAGAAGGCAGAAAGAAGGCAGAAAGAAGGTATAGAGAAGGTAGAGAGAAGGTAGAGAGAAGGCAGAAAGAAGGCAGAAAGAAGATAGAAAGAAGGTATAGAGAAGGTAGAGAGAAGGTAGAAAGAAGGTAGAGAGAAGGTAGAGAGAAGGTAGAAAGAAGATAGGAGAAGGTAGAGAAAGTTGATCTTTAGCGGAAGATATGCCTCTACTGTTTGTTTTCCAATTTCAACAAAACCCTCTTCTCTTTCTGCAAAACTGACTACATTGGCTTGTCAAGCTGATCATACTAGCCTGTTGAGCTAATTACATTTGCTAGCTATGAGATTCTCTCAGCATACTAGTCAGCTATTATATATGTCAGTAATGATATTGACTCCTTTTTAGACTAGTGTTTTTCTTGATTTGATGGTTTTTTATCGGTGCCCATTCTCTTCCAATACCGTTTGATAGCAGTCTTTCAATAAGTAAATGATAACCCAAAACTCATTAAACTTTGGATTTTTAACAGCGTTTCCAAACCGATAGCCATCCGGTTCAAGCAAAATAGAGCTTCTTTCTTGAAACTCATAATCAACTGGTTCAAAAAACAAATAAGGAAAGCGACAAGCAACAAATTTACACACCTGGTGCAATGAGCTCAAGGGGTACTTATCAAGCAGCAAAAGACCATGTCTTGTAAACAACTCCTCTGCAACCACCATGAGATATTCCATTAAACGCGAAAATATCACTTTTGCATGCAATGACTCGTCTAAATCTAGAATTTTGAGTAATTGATTCTTAGTTGGTTTGAAACAAGACTCTAGAATTAACCTTGTTAAAGGTAGGAACAGCTCAATACAAGGTTTTTCTTGCTTTATAAAACAATCCGTAACTATCATTTTCTCTTCCTTCCCCCTTCCCCTCTTCCCCCTCCTCCCCCTTATAGTAATAATCTTGTCTTTAGAAATTTATTCAATTTGATATGGCTGCAATTCAAAACAAAAAAAAGCAATTACAAAGTTGCAAAAAAAAAAAGAAATCAAAAATAAAGAAAAAGAAAAGCCAGGAACAAGATGAAATCAACTCACCAGTTTTTAAACCATGAACTACAAACAGTATATCAAATACAACAAAGAGTTTCAGGAGATTCAAAACCACATTGAAAACCAACTTTTCTTGAAAAAATATTGCTTTTCATCGCAAGTCTTGTCATTGCCTTTGCTACCCACGAATGACAGGACATATCCAATGGTTTGTAATGCTGAAGATTTTCTTGAAACAACACTGAATAGTACAAAAAAACGGTTCATTAGTGTGTCAAACTTTGATGAATTTATGCAAGAAGAATTCTTATCTTCCTTGGCAAACGGGCGAAACATAAATGTAAAGTTGGACTACAAACATCTCCTGCTCTGATATATATATATATATATATATATAACCAAATTGATTTTTCTTCAATGCTACCATAAACTGAAAAAAAAATAAAAAGATCATAGGAGGTTTAGCAAACTCTAATTGGATCAAAGGTATAGGGGCTCGTCATAGGCTTGATTAGAATGTCTTTCTTTGATGTATTGAAGAGGGGAGATGAGTTTTTATCAGAATACCCCCGAACGAATCCGTTGTGGAACTATGCCTCGCATGCAACGTGCCTATTTATGATTACAGGGACCAAGCTCATCTTGAATACCCTTTATAAACCATTTGTTCATAATATAGAAATTTTAGATAATGCATTGGATAAAGCAAGAAAAGAGAAAAGAGGGTTGCTAACCGTAATGAACCACATGTCTGTAATCGATGACCCGGCTTTTTACGCTGCGTTGCCGTGGAGATACCATTTGGACATTGATACTATTCGATGGGGGTTTGGTGCACATAATATATGTTTTTCAACTACTATTCAAAGTTGGTTTTTCAACTTGGGAAAGATCTTGGGAACCAAGAGATTTGGCGTGGGACCAATTCAAGGGTCTATCGATGCTGCAATTAGAATATTGAGCCCCGATGACACATTAGATTTAGAGTTCACACCGGGTGTTAAAGAGGAGTCTAAGCCGATTTTTTTACAAACAGTTAACAATATCCAAGATAGATCAAATAGCGAGATGGTGAAATTCTTCAAGCCAACTCCGGAATCTACAAATGTTTTGATGTCGAAAAACCCATTTATACGATCAAAAACATCCTGGTTCCATGTGTTTCCAGAGGGATTTGTGTTGCAGTTGCATGCACCACATAATAATTCAATGAGATACTTCAAGTGGGGTGTATCAAGGTTAATTTTAGAGTCTACTAGAGCTCCTGTGATTGTACCGATTTTCACTTATGGATTTGAGAAAATCGCCCCCGAGGATAGTGCAGAAGAGGGTATCAAGAGATGGCTTCCCGACAACATTGGAGCAGAGATCCATATCACCATTGGCGAACAAATTCCTGATTCGAAGATTGAGCAATATCGCAAAGAGTGGAGAAATTTGGTGCGAAAATATATCGATAAATCTAATCCAACTGATTTATCTCTAGAGTTAAAACTGGGCAAGGAAGTTCAACAACTACGCAGTTCTTTAGCAGCATTTATTCGTGAAAAAGTCTTGGAAATACGTAATTCAATACCGTTTTTAGAACCAGAAGATCCTCGTTTTAAAGATCCAAATTTCTGGAAAGTTTTTACAAATACAGAAGGAATGAGCGATAAAGACGTCAAGTTCATTGGCAAGAATTGGGCAATCAAAAGACTACAATCACATTTACCTGAGTTCAACTCAAACGAATGCGAATGCGAAAGCGAGAAATAAAAACCCCCCTGACGAGAAAAAATGACAAGGAAACAAAAACGACATAAAAAACGACAATGAAGCGAAAAAAAAAAAAAAAATTAAAATTAAATTTAAATTTAAAATTTATAGTGAAAAATTATATTGATTTTTCATTCAAGGGGAATTTGGGTTGGGTCTTCTTTCTTTGGGTTTGTCAGTTTAGATGGCACTGCGAAGTTGTAGAAGCTTGATATTGGGCTTGAGAAGTTATGGGAAGAAGCTGGTTGGCTTTAGGTATGTTCCATGTACCAGACGGTACAAGTCATTTAAGGTTATTATAGAGGAACCGAGAAAGTATGAGAATCCCATTTTGGAAAAATATTTTGATGAATTCAACGAGTATCTAACGGATCCTCGAGTTCCTGCCTTGCTTCGGGATAAGTTGCTCATCTCAAAATTACAGGCACTTATTGAACTGCCGTCTGATCCCGAGAAATTGGATATTGTTACATATGTCCTTAATGAATGGCGGAAGTTGAAGAATTTTGGTGATGAGGAAAAAAAGGGGGAGGATACGATCCCTTTAGATTTGGCAATAAATGTGTTTGAGACAATGTATGATCAATTTGCTCATAGCGAGTCCAGCGCTGCATTTGACCACTTGGTGAAGCAACTATTACGAAATTTAAACAAGCTACCGAATCGTACATTGATTTTATTGATCGATTTAGTATCCCAAAGAGGCATTGATATAGAGAGCATTTTGCTTAGTTTGAGAGATAGGGTAGATGAGCAGTTTGTGGTTGATTATCTTGACATTTTGAAGAAAATGAACAAGTTGAATTTGCAAGTATTTGAAACTTTGATAAATATGCGAGTAGACGATTGTTTGATTACAAATTTAAATCGGTACATTGAGGGTATCTTTGAGAATGACATGCCCGAAGTTCACTGTTTTGAGAATATGGAAAAGAATCTAGATCGAATACAGTTGTTACTTGTTGATATCATAGCCAAGGCTGATTTAGGAAAAGTATCGATCGATTCCATTTTAGTTTTGCTTAAACTCGTTAACGAACTAGCACAGGTAAATTTTTGCGAGAAAACCAAGGAGAGCTTGCAAAGTTTAATTGATCATTTGGATTTGAGAAGCAGTGAATTGGAGGCTAAGATTCTTGATGGAGCCATTGATGAATCTTTACTTTATATACTTCTCTTCAAGAGCAAGGAGGAAAACGGCAGACTTTTTGCAAAGATTATTAGTTGTATTGATAAAACTAATACTCGCAATTCTCTCGAGCTAACCATTGTGCTGAAACTATTAAATTCAACAGACTCTGCAACGTGTCATGAACTGTTATTGGAAGTGATAAAATTGGGAGAAGGCAAAACAATTACTACTAGTATATTTGAGAGAATTTCACCAATTTTAGCCAAGTATTTTTCTGAACTGGTACCAGCGATTAATAAATACTGCCAATCCCAAGGGATTGAGCCGTCGGCTCAAGTGTTTAAGGGTTTAATAGATGAAGCAATTTTTAGGAAAGACCACCTAGCTGCACTCAAGATACTTGAAGATTCAAAGGTATATGTCAATTGGATTGAGCATGTCGGAGACCCAGCAGTTGCAAAAACTTTTAATGACCTTATCCAGTGCACTATGTCCGATCTATCTATAAAAGAAGCGTTCCCCATTTTTAAAAAGATAAGGGCTTATTTACCTACAGAAATCAACATTGATACTATCAATTGCATGGTGGACAAAATGCTAGAGTGTGACCTAGTTGGGGATGTGATTGAAACTTTAAAGCGAGAGCTTCCCAAATTCAAAGATGAAAAAATCAGACTACCTATTGAACAACCTTATGGTTATAAATACCTCAACCTCTTTAATAAGCTACACGACTATGCCATCACCAATACTGCAGACCCTTCTGCTTATAACAATTGGCATTTATTCATTAATTTGTATAAATATTTCCACATTCCCCTGGATAGGGTTTTACCAACATTGAAATTCTTTTGCCGAAATAAAAGATTCCACGGAGCATTACTTATATTCAATAAAATGGTTCATCAATATCAATTGCACGGCAAACATTCATTTCAGCCTCCTTCTAAAGAGATGTATACTTATCTACTAAACGAATTCGGTGACAACCTATATGAAGAAGGAGTTATTGAGATTCACGATTGGTTGAAAATGGATACAAATATTGCTCAACAAGGTCTCGAGTTGAATAACGTGATTATGAATGCCTACTGTAATCTACAAGATGTGGCAAAAGTACGTGATTTGTTCTTGTCTGCCAGCGTGCAAGGGTTTCTTGATGAAACTAGCGCTGTAACAATGATCAAAGCGTACACGTATAATGATTTGCAATATGTAGAAAACTTTTGGAATAACTTATCTACTTTCGGGCTAATCCCAGATTATAAAATGTATAGGCAATATTTGATTGCTTACGCATATCATGGGCAAACCGAGAAGGCATTTGCTTTATTGGAAGAGATTGATGACTATGATTTATCAGTTAACGAGGACCTTTTGGTTTCGCTACATAACTTTTGCTATTTGGAAGACAAGCAAGCGGAAATCAGAAAGGTTGCCCGTTCAAAGTACCCTCAATTGTGGAGTAATGTTGAACAATCTAAAATGTTGATTGGCACAGATGGGTATAGACCACATGAGCATTTTTTGGTTGATGGCTCAACAAAAGAAAAACCAAAAGCAATAGACCAACCTGAGGATTTGAAATCTTGAAAAAGCCAAGATCAATATCGAAATCAACATCAGAAAAAACCAATACCTTTTGTACATATACCGTTTACCCTAATTTTGTGTTATTCACTTTTGTAGCAAATCGTAGAGAGTTCATTGTCTCATTGAAGTCCGAACTCAATGGTGACACATTAACAAACATTAAAGTTTTTGAGTTACCACCTAGACTATGTTTTAATAGATAAGTCAACTTGGAGTTTCTATAAGGTATATGAGAAGCTTGAGTTGAGTTTAATGAAGAAATAACATCACCGAGTGCCGAAAGTGATTTGTTTATAGCTTGAGTTTCTTTCAAGCGTTCTCCTTCCACTTGAGAAACACTTATCCGTTCTGAGCCTGCTAGATCAATGAGATTGAGTGTTCCAAAAGTCTGAGTTTTAGTGGCTCTATTATACCCATTGACGTCCATAATAAATATCGAGTGTGACCTCGAAGACTTGTCATTTGACTTGGTCGCAGCTGTGCTTCTTCGACTATTAACCTGAGCTAATAGCCTATTTGCCTGCTCTGGCGATGTGATTGGTACAGTTTTTATATTGGTAACACTTGTTTTGCAATTGATATCATCGTGCTTGATTTCATGCTTTTCACCAGGTTGTGGATCAAGCAAGTCCACAATACTCTCGTTGTAAATTTCAACAAATCTTCCTGTAATTTCATAAGACCATTGTTGCAGCTGTTCCTTGAGTTCTTTGATGTCATCAAAGATCTTTTTGATGGATAGTGGAATCATCCCATTTGAAGGGTTGGACATTGTAAAGGTCTTTCCCGATCCAGTTTGTCCATATGCAAATACACAAACATTCTGTCCATCAATGCAACTTTGTATGAGTTGAGAATACTCTTCAAATATATGTTCGTTGCCCTTGGTCATGGAAAAAATCTTGTCAAATTGGAAGGTATAGGTGGTGTTACTACATTTAGAAATGCCCACATTGTCCTTAGTTAGTGTCAACTCTTGTTTCCCTTCTTCATTTAGATCATCGTCAGAGAGTGCAAAGTTCATCAATCGGGAACCTTCTGGTACTGCTCTAATCCGACAAAACACTCTTATGTTCCCTTTCAACTCTTGTAAAAGAGAGTGCAAAACGCGCCTCTTAGTTTCTTGACCAATCAACTCGCTTTTCATTCTTTGAATTTCAAACTGCATTCTCTTGGATTCTTCACTTCTTTCTAAGGATGCAGATTCGAGATTGGACAACTCTTGTTTCTTTGCTATAATTTGTTGTTCAAAGTTATTGATTTCTTGTTCCTTTTCCGAGTTCTTGGTTGTTAGTTGCTTTAGTATTTGTTCATACTTTACTAAATCTTGTTTATAATGGGGAATATCCTTACTATTGAAACTTGTGGTAGCAGTCTCTAGTGTTACAATGGACTGATTTATCGTCTCTATTTCTCTCTCGTGATCAGCAATTTGCTCCTTAATAAGATCTAGAGATTGCTTCTCTTGCGCTTCGTGTTGCTTTTGAAATAGGTTTATTTTCACTTGCAAATTTTGATCTAGCCTACTACTTTGGTCTTTTATATTTTCAACTTGCTGAGTTAATTGGTCAATTTCCACCAAGTACTCTGATTTTTTCTTTGTTAAAAACTCATCAATTTGCAAAGCAATTTCCTCTTTTCTAGCGTTGAGCCTCTTTTTATGCTGCATCATCATTTCCTGGCTATTTATTTCAAATTTCCTTTTCAATTCTGTCATAGAAGACTCTTCATAATCACCCAACTTTGCAATACTCATTTTTATATCTGATAACTTTCTTTCAAGACTTAGATATTTACTCTCTTCTGTAAAGTTGTTCAAGATTTGTGTCTCTATTTGTGTTCTCAATGTAATTGAACTCGTATTCATTTGGTCCAATTCCTGTTGTTTCTCATAAATAAGCAGTCGTAGCTTCTGACTTTCACAAAGTGTATTTGAATTCTGAGACGCTGGTCTACTAGATAACCGTCGCATCTTGTGTGAATTGGGCAAATTATTCGACTTGACTGAACTTTTATTAAATAGTCCAGCTTTTACCACATTAATATTCTCCTTATTATCCAGACTAGCCTTCATTTTGGCAAGCTATAATGGTATAACTATTTCAAACTTGTCCTCCTAAATCTCTTGATTTCTTAAATCTGTTTTGTTTTTGTTTCAAATTTTGACGTGGAAATGTCGCAGCTGTTGAGAATGTCGTCGGAAATTGGGGAAAATAATTCGCGATGAGGTAACGACAAAATTTCAAAAGCGATGAGCTTACAGGAGAAGAAGAAGAAGAAGAAGAAGAAGAAGAACTTAGAAAGGTTGAACTGGGTAGTATTTGACAGAACTGTTTACTAATGACGAGCCCTACTACAAAGGCAAAGAACAAGATACAAAAGTCCAAATCAATACTAAAAAATAAACCAAAACTAGATGGTAACGAGAAAGAAACTACCGTAAAGGAGAAAGAAACTATTGTAAAGAAAAAAGTAGTAGACAAAGACGGCATTGTAGAAGAGGCAGACAATGATTTGGACCAATTATCAGATTTAGACGATGAAGATGAAGTTGACATTGCAAATGAATCAGATGAGGGGGACTCACTTGAAGAGGACATTGCGGAATCCGAGTCAGGTGAGGGGGACTCGGAGGATGAGGAATTACCCTCGAGGAAGAAGCAAAAGAAAAACAAGGACGATGGTTCAGAGTCTTTTGCTAATGCATTCAACTCCATCATCAACTCTAAATTGAAAGCATACGATAGAAAAGACCCAATATTAGCTCGGAATAAAACAACAATAAAAAAATTAGAAAGTGAGAAATTGGAAAACAAAGCCAAAAAGGCGTTATTGGTAGAAAGGAAACAGTTTCATGATAAGCATAGGGTAAAACATTTATTGCCAGTAGCAGCTGAAAATGGAGATTCACTCAATGTGAGATCAACGCTAGAAAAGGAGAAACAATTAAAGAAATTGGCTCAAAGAGGAGTGGTTAAGTTGTTTAATGCTATATTATCTACACAAATTCAAACTGCTCAAGAAGTGGGGAAGGAGAAAGTTGGACAAGCAAAGAGAGAAGAATTGATGAATGATGTTTCAAAGGAGAAGTTTTTAGACTTGATTGCTGCTGCTGGGGAAGATTAAGTGGGAGATTGCTAGTAGCATGATAACACCTTGACCGACACTATCGATCGACACTATCGAGCGAAGCGAGATAGTGGAGCACACTAGCTGCCACCACTAGCTGCCACCACTAGCTGCCACCACTAGCTGCCACTATTAGCTGCCACTATTAGCTGCCACTATTAACTGCCACCACTAGCTGCCGCCACTAGCTGCCGCCACTAGCTGCCACTAACTAGCTGCCGCCACTAGCTATAGTAATCAAACGCAACATCTCGCTCTGCTCGATGGTGGCTGCTCGCTCCATCTCTATGCTTAAAAAGGAAGCAGATTTATTTTGCTTTTAGTGAGCAAATAAACATATCTAATTGGTTTCTCTAGAACTACTCTTTAGTTTACCTTTTCCGAAGCGGATAAGGTAACTCTACAATCAGAGACTTGATCTCATGATGGATTGTGCTTTAATGAAAGCCTTGTAAACTTGACACGCTTGGTAGCTTTTAATCACGTGAAAAACACAACCCTTCTTCTACCAAGTCACGAATATCATTGATGAGAGTGATTTTGGTTCATTTGAGCATATTCTAAACAGAGGTTAGTTCTAGTTTGCAGATAAGTAAAGATTATTGACTTGTCAATATAGAGTTAAAGTATTGCTGTTTGTGAGCTCGTTTTGTTTTCTTTAAGCAAAATCCATTTTTCAATCAATAATGGCGGTTCTGCAAAGTATCAAACATGGTGACGATGCCATAAAGGATAAGGACTTTCTTGGTGCAATACAATACTACACCCAAGCGATTAAAGAAAGCCCACAAGCATTTCAAGCGTTTGTGAAAAGATCAGTGGCGTACATGAAGTTGAAGAACCTCGACCTTGCCAAAAAGGATATTTCTACTGCATTCACAATAGCAAATGAAAGAGGCAGGAGATCTGATATTGGATTATGCTATTTCAGGCTTGCATTGATTTACTATCAAGAAAAAAAGCTAAAGTTGGCCTTAAGTCAGTTGAATAAGGCAATTGAGTATGATTGTAAGGAATCTACAGTTAAAATGTGGAAGGATAAATGTGAGTATGATTTGAAGACACACCCAGAATGGGATATTGGAGGAGAAGGTAATGATGACGGTAATAATGGCGATGATGATGATGATGATGATGGTATTGGTATTGGTATGAATCTTGAAGAGGAGCAGAAAAATGAGGTGGTTCCTCAAAAGTCATCGAATATTGAGGAGATGAACAAAATTGCACCAATGAGTGTAAAGATACGTGAAGATTGGTACCAGTCTTCAGATGAAGTGATAATAACAATTTATGCCAAGAATGTAGAAGAGGATAAACTAAAAGTTCAATTCGATAAGGATTCCCTTTCAGTCTCATTCCCTAGTGCCACTGGCTCTGAATACCACTACGATCTAGATCCATTATATGGAGAAATACAAGTTTCAGACTCAAAATACAAGATATACTCAACAAAATTAGAGATAACATTAAAGAAACGGAATCCCGGAAAATGGCCCGCATTGGAGAAGGGAAATGGAAACGAATCACTGAACACCAAATCAATTGGAGAAGGAAAAGAGCAGAGTATAAATGGTGCACCAGCATATCCATCGAGTGCCAAAAAGAAAATTAATTGGGACAATTTTCAAGTTGAGGAAGATAAGGGTGATAGTGAACCAAATCAATTTTTCCAAAAGATATTTCAAGATATGGATGATGACTCAAGAAGGGCAATGATGAAGTCTTACATTCAAAGTAACGGTACAGTTCTAACTACTAGTTGGGAAGAGGCCCGTGATAAGGAGTTTGAAACTTCACCTCCAGAAGGAATGATTGCTAAGAAATGGGGCCAATAGACAAAGGGAACAAAAGTGGAAAAACTTTCTCTCCTTTTTCTATTTGAAAGCTTGCCGAAATGAGAGACACCCTTAAAAGGTGGTAGTAGTAGCCTGGTGACCCCTAATTTGGTTTATCACCGTCTTCTCTTTAGTAAAACTGGCAATAATATTATATAACTTACCCATATGACTTTTTCTTCTTCCTCTTCTTCTTCCTCTTCTTCCTCTTCTTCTTCCTCTTCTTCCTCCTCTTCTTCCTCTTCTTCCTCCTCTTCTTCTTCCTCTTCTTCCTCCTCTTCTTCCTCCTCTTCTTCTTCCTCTTCTTCCTCCTCTTCTTCCTCCTCTTCTTCTTCCTCTTCTTCCTCCTCTTCTTCTTCCTCTTCTTCCTCCTCTTCTTCTTCTTTTTGTATTCTTTTTTTTCTCTCTCTTAAATTTTTCAGTTTGCTGACTACCATACTTTTTTTCTTGCTTTCTTGCTTTCTTTGTACTGTTGGTTCATTCAGAACGTGTATGTTCATTCGCCAATATCTCGGTTTGAGATCGCCATTTTTGTCTTTGATTGGGAAAAGCACTAGTTTATTTATTCGCAATATGCATGTCTTGCCAATCCCCATGAGGTGGGGCCATGGAGATAATTATTCTTATTTGATAATTGACGATAAGAGTAAAAGTGCTTGGTTAATTGATCCAGCTGTACCAAAGGAAGTGATCTCATATCTCAAGGAACAAAAACCACATTATGAATTAAAAGCCATTGTCAATACTCATCATCACTACGATCATTCTGATGGCAACGAAGAGTTTCATAGGAAATATCCTGATTTGCCAATTATTGCTGGAAAGGACTCACCTTTTGTCACTTACACGCCATCGCATGAAGAGATTATTGATTTGGGTGATGATTTATCAATTACCGCTTTGCACACTCCCTGTCATACCCAGGACTCTATTTGTTATTTTGTTCAAGATACCAAAACAGGTGAAAAAGCGGTTTTCACGGGTGACACCTTATTTATTAGTGGTTGTGGGAGATTCTTTGAAGGCACTGGCGCTGAAATGAATAAGGCGTTAAATCAAGTGTTGGCCAAATTACCCAAGGATACCAAAGTGTATCCGGGACATGAATACACTAAATCCAACGTTAAGTTTTCCAAGAAAATATTGGATAATGAGGCTATCAAGGCATTAGAGGCGTATTGTCAAACGCATGAACATACAACGGGGAAGTTTACTATTGGTGATGAGTTAAAGTTTAACCCTTTTATGATGTTGCAGGATCATCAAGTTATGGAAAAGACAGGATTGACTCAATCGGATGATATTATGACTAGATTGAGGGAGATGAAGAATAACTCATGAGATTGGCAGAAAGGGAGAGAGAAAAAAAAGTAAGGGGGGTGATAACCGGTAGATGTGTACATGTATACCTTATGGAAAATGCAATTATTTATATTTATGCAACGTCTCTTTTTCCTCCTCCTCCTTCTTCTCCTCCTCCTTCTTGTGGCAGCTAATGTGCTCGATAGTGTTCTCCTCTTCCCTTTGTCATATTCTCACAAAGTTTGGCTTTTGATCATTGTCAACCAATAATTCCGGCTGCCAGATCTCGATCAACTCCAAATCATACTCGAATTTTCCCATTGCAAACCTCTCGTATTCTTCAAATATTCCACTTAAACACCATCCTTGTAGTAGTTTCCTCATTAGCCCAACCAATAGTCCTGTTCTATGCTTTCCTTTGTTTGAATGAATCAATATTGGATAATTTGACTTATTCAAAATCAACTGTAGTGCCAAAGTGAGACTAGCTAGAGTTTGTTCATATTCTTCTAGTTTATTAAATGGTTCCCGCAGAGATTCGACTAGCAAGTTATGAAACTTAATTGTGTTTTGATTTTCAATCCATTGAATGTATTGGTTTAAAATCTCCATCGTACCATCCTTATCCTTTTTAACCTTTTTTTTCTTATCTACTCGAAGATTTTGATGATGGCCCAAATCGCCCAAATAGATTATTGTCTTTAAGTTTAATTGCTGAAGAAAGGGGTAGTTTATAGGCATGGGGAACCCAGATCTATATATACCATCTTCAACAAGTGAAAAATTTAATGGCGGTACAAGATTTATTGCAATATGTGTGGGGGAACTTCTAGATTCAAAGCAACAAGAAGAAGAAGGAGAAGAAGAATTCGGCTTTGTCGGCAGAGTATCTTTTGAGTCTATAGCCTCCTTTTCTTTTTCAACAGTTATGCTTGAAATGGGCTCTAATATGCTCATCATTTCCTTTGTAATTATAACTTACCTACTCTCTTCTACCCTGAAATGATTCATCTCCATTGACTCAAACCGAGCCCCGAAAATTTTAAAGAGATAATTTTTTTTTCTTTTTTCTGTTGGAGTTTATGTGCAGGATTACAATTGGACATCTAGATGATTGCTCGTATGACCATTAACTTGGGGAATAGTCAATCAGGAATTAAGCCCTGTTTATATATTCGAAAGAGGAATGTGAGACCATTGATGGTAGTGAGATATGGTTAAGGAATGTGAGACCATTGAGATATGGTTAAGGAATGTCAGAGAAATAAAAACAATGGTGTGATGTATGTGAGTGGGGTATATATGAGTGGGGTATATATGAGTAGTATGTAATAGTCAAGGCTCTTGTCTTTTGAGTTACTCAATTTTCTCTTTTCATGTTTGGGGGAGGGGATTTCAACTTTTTTATATATTCTTATCCCGACTCTCCTATTATCGGTGTTGAATCACATTCAGTTGGTTCTAGGGGTTAAATCACATTCAGTTTGTTCTAGCAGCTAAGTCCATTCTAGCCATTTTAGGTGAATAGTACTCATTGAGACAATTTTTGAGCTTTTTCCTGTACAAACCCGTCTCCAATTGATACATAACAATTGCACACATGTTATACGTAACTGTCTGTTCTCTTTACTCGCAGCTATTTCATGAGTAAGGTGATAGTATATAAGAATCAGATTAAATGAACAAAATTGAAAGAATTCTCTCTCTCAATCTCAAATGGGCATAAAATCATCCATGCATCGCGAGATCAAGATCTGGATAAGAAGAACTTTATGCTAATAATTAGCCAACCATGACTGGTCATATCAAGGTACAAAGTGTTGCTCCACAATCGAGCAGAGCGAGGTAGTGGAGCATCATTAAGAGAATAGTAAAGAAGCACTGGAGACAACACTGTGAGAGACTGAACGTAAGTAAAGTCAGTGCTGCTCTACTATCGAACAGAGCGAGGTAGTGTTGCTAGTGTCGGGGTAGTCAGTGCTGCTAGTGTCAGTCAGTGCTGCTCAATAGTGTCAAGTCACATTAAGAAATGGTCCACATCTACCCAACACCTTCCAATCGATAATTCAAACTAGTTATCATTTCTGTACTCCTCAAGATATACTTATTTGAGTACGTCTTAACAGCCAATTACCAGGGTCATGATGATAGGTCTCATGAGAGTAAACCGTTTTTGTCGATTTTGCAACTTTTAACTGACTTCTCTAAAAACATTACACAAAAAAATTTTTTTAAATTTTTCAATCTTGAAAAAAAAAAAAAAAAGCACCATTACAAGTTTTCTTTGGTTATCAAGAGCTTTCTTTACTGCTAGCAAATACAATAGTCTCAACCATACCTTTAAAGTGGCTGCCTCTTAAGCGGAAAGCATTAAAACTTTTGAGCAAGACCATTTAGTGAAGAAAACCATACGGGTTTGATTTTTCTCTTTTTTTTGTTTTTTTTTTTTTTTCAGTGTTTTGCCCTTGCAATTTTAATACCATCGCCAATTATTGAAACCTAAAATGTCTTGGATATTTGGCAAACCAACCCAATCAAAAGAATCAGATGATGAGTTAAAACAGCAGCTAGGATTCGATCCTAAAGAAGTAAGTGATATTCAAACGGTGATATCTAGTGGAGCAGCAACTCCTTCTAATATATCATCATTTTCCTCGGCATTACTTCACCCATTAGCTGGGTTAGAAAAAGGTATTGAATATCTTGATTTAGAGGAAGAGAAACTTAATACCGTAGAAGGTTCTAAAGGTTTGATTCCAAGTAGATCATGGACGGACGATTTATGTTATGGTACAGGAGCAGTTTACCTCATGGGATTAGGAATAGGTGGTTTATTTGGGTTACAACAAGGTATATCTACAGTGCCATCGCCAGCACCAGGTAAAGTTAAGCTCAATCATATTTTGAACAACATTACTAAAAGAGGGCCATTTTTGGGAAATTCCGCTGGTGTTTTAGCATTAACTTATAATTTGATTGATTCTACTATTGATGCAATTAGAGAGAAACATGATGATTCCAATTCAGTGGTTGCAGGTGCTTTAGCAGGAGCTTTATTTAGAAGTAGTCGTGGGTTGAAGCCGATGGTTTATTCTAGTGTTATGATGGCAGGAGCCGCTGGAATTTGGTGTAGTCTCAAGCGTTCCATACAAGAGCAACATTAATTAGAGTGGAACAGATAAAAAGAGAAGGAAAAGAAAGAAAAAAAACTGGAAGAGGTAGAGTTATAGAAGTCAATGTGTAGTGAGATGCTCTGTAAATATATGCTGCAAAAATTTGTTGTTGTTGAAAAAGGTGCTTTTCTTAATATTGTCTTCCCACCTCTCCTTCACTATTTTCATTTTCTTATCCTTGGTTTAGTTGACTTCAATCTTCTGTCTCTTTATCTGGCTCTCCTCATTTATTTCCTTTTTCTTGTGTTTATCCGAAGCCTGCCTCTTCCTAGGAGTTACAGTGTCATATAGGTCTGCTAACATTGTTTTTTCATCCCATTGTTCAAAATATTGAGCCATTTCAACACCTCTTTGCTCCATATTCCTGTTGTACTCCTCCTGAGACCAAAATTGAGCACGTTGGCAATTCCTATTCATGATAGAAAAAACCCTATCCTTGATCACTTCTCCATCTTCTATTTTCTTTGTTTCCTTGTCAATTTCGGCAATCACCATTCTCATTTGGTCAAACGATTTCAGCTGAGCCAAAGATGTAAAATATTTAGATTTTCCCACAATCATATTCAAAATGACATATTTTGTGTTGGGAAAATTGCCGTATTTTTCGCTCAATTTGAAAATCTGTGAAATTGATTGTGCTTGAGTGATGGGAAATGATGATGATGATGATGATGAGGAGGAGAATATTGAAGGGTTTGCTTCTGCTGCTTCTCCAATCATTATTGAAATCTTTTCATTTTTCATTGCTTTCTGAAGGTTGGCCAAATCTTGTTTACCTTGGAAGTTCCCATTAAGAATTACTGATACCCCAAAGCCTTGTATCATTGGAATAAGACGAGGCAAGTAATTCCATATCGGATCCTGTCTATTCCGCATTATGGGAGTTCGACAATGGATAGTTAAATTAGATATACCAGTTTGACAAATTTTTTCAACCAAAGCAAATGTTGCTTCATAGTTCGGTAGAAGTCTGATTTTACAACTTATTGGTTTATTATTTGGTTTGCCTATTCTATTCACCAAATTAGTTAATATTGAACACAACAAATCGGGAGTTTTCAATAGTTCTGCACCCATACCTGAGTGCGTTGAGAATGATTTGGGACATCCGCAATTCAAGTCTATTCCCTCTACATCATCAATAACTTTCCTAGCTGCTTCGACTGCAAGATCGGGAGAGCTTGTTCCCAACTGTAATATCAATTTACCTGTTTCATTTGGATGTTTTCGAAATATAATCACCTCTTCTTCTTCCTGTTGTTGTTTTGGCGATTGTTCTTTCTTCTTGATATGTTTGTTTGGGGTAACAAAATCAATTGTTCCAAGTTTAGCATTGACTTTTCTTTCGCTGGTGATTAGTTTTTTATCAATCAATTCGGGTGACCAAACCAAATCGCATCCATACTGTAGCGATAATAGCCGCATAGGCAATTCCCCAGTGCGAACCATAGGTGCTAGACATACTTTATTTGTATATTCCAACATTCTTCTGTGCATAATAGTCAAAACTCTCCCGTCTTCCGTCTCTTACCTATGGGTTTGTATGTCATATATGTTTACCAAGCTTACAATATGGAATGCTCTGAAAAAAAAAAGAATAGAAAAAAAAAAAAAAAAAAAGAAATAAAAAGATTTTGAAGAGATGAGGTAGGGGAAAAAACGTTATCTATCTTATCTGCGGTGGGATTTAATAAACAACACCGCCAAAGGAATTGATTTAAGCACCACGCCGGACACTATCAACACTATCAACACTATCGGGCAAAGCGAGATAGTGTTGCAACAAGTTGCAAAGTGTTGCTCCACTATCGAGCAACACTATCGAGCAAAGCGAGATAGTGTTGTAACAGCTACAAAGTGTTGGTAATAAATAGTCTCACTCTGCTCGATAGTATTTCAACTAGCTACAAAGTATTGCTCCACTACAGAACAAAGCGAGATAGTGTTGTAAGAAGCTACAAAGTATTGCTCCACTATCGAACAATACTATCTCGCTCTGCTCGATAGTGTTGATAGTGTTGATAGTGTTGATATCTCGCTTTCCTCGATATAAATAGAAGTGACCTAATAAGCACGGATACTCACGTGATGTTTACCATAATAGAGGGGGTGGGGGGGTAGACAACTCAACACATTGTGTCAACTCCGTAGCGCAACAATTACGAAGAGAGTTATAAGTCATAGTCCAGATATCGCTATCGTTGTAACTTAATGGAAAGGAATTTCCAGATCATATAAACAAAAAAAAAAAAAAAAAAAAAAAGAAATGCAGGCAGTAGCGCCGTAGCGATGTGTTTACTACGAAGGCGCGTGCGTGGCGCGAAGTGTTGTATAGTTTTTGTGTGCAAGGGACAGTAGAAAAAAGGGGATGGGGCGAATTTATTTCAATTACCAAAGAGAGAGAAAAGAACGAAAAGAAAAAATGTGATAATCACGACTATAATATTGGATGCAAAAATAATACCTAACGATAAAACAAAAAAACGCGGGGAGAGAGATCACTGATTAGTGGGAATTTGTCACATATTTTCAGGGAGTCATGGAGTTTGTGGGGTAAGAGAGTTGTAATATAGACATTTTGAAAAAGTTCTCAAACATTCAAGCGTCATTAAACGAAGATTATTTAAAGTTGTGTCGTATTGCATTGTTTTTGTAGCATCAACGGTAATTGGCAACTGTTAGTTACAGTTGGCATAAGTAATGGGAGGGAATTGAATAAAAGACAAGTAGTCTAGCGAGTCCTGGTGAACATCACTCAACCCCTTGTGTTTAATCACTTTGCGAGTCTATCTAATTCTTTTATCCAATCACCTGCATTACGATTGTAATTCAAATTGTAGTTAAATAGTTGATACCTGTATTAAAATAATAATAACGGAAGAGAAAAAATAAATATATATAATAATAATAAAGGATGCACATGCCGCTTTGTGTTAGGTAAGAATTTTTTTTTTTTTTTCCTTTCTGGTAAAGGGACAGGGCGCCGCCCAAGATACCGAATTTAAGTCAAATATCAAACCGTTAATTAGCAAAAGTAGAGTCCAACAGATTGAAGGTCACTTAAAACCTGGAATCAACTATCAAGTAGCAAATGAGAGTTCATTGAGTTTAAAAAGATGCCGATAAAAGCCTTGGTCAGTGCTAATACTACTCCGCCCTATTGCTTTATCCTTATGCTATTACTACTGCTTTCTCCCCACACACACAAACGCATATGTATATTGGGTGACAATGTCAACTGCAATGAAACATCAGCCATAAACCATCAACCATCAACATACAGAGTTGTCATTATATAATGTCGCTTTTTCTATTGTCATGTTTTCTTTTTGTTTTTCTTAAGTTTTATTTAGTCGCTACTGGGTAATACAGAAATTTAAAATCGAGTCATTCAAAAAGCTCTTTTTTTGATGCATATTATACTTCTACACTGGTTAGCATTTATTCTAAAGGAAATTCAATTCAAGTATACAAAACTGATGCTATGACCAAGCTGACTATTTAGAAAGAACCCGCTTGCTTTATGCTCTATGGGCTTTATCGCCCCTAAGTGATTTTCTTATTTTCCGTTTGTTTTTTTTTTTTTTTTGCTTTTTTTTTTCTTGCATTGAGTTTAGTTGGTGGCAATGAATCTCACATTCAATGCATACTGATGTATGCATATACCGATAAACTATTGTCCTAACCACTCTAAAAAAAAAAAAAAGAAAAGAAAAGAAGATTAAGCTAGTTGCCCTGCCCGTTGATGTTTCAAAAAATCCAATTTCTTTTAGGCCGACAAAAAAATTTCTACTTCTTTCAGATAAGAAAAAAAAAAAAAAAAAAAAAAAAAAAAAAAAAAAAAGAAAAAGGAAATTAGTAGGAACTGGTGTTATTATTGTACATTGTCTTACTATGAATTCCTGATCAGCAGTGGGCGAGTCGCTAGTGGGTCACTCGTCATTAGGACCCTCAATTGAATATTTTACCATTGAGTGTCTTGCAATTGAGTTTATTGCCATTGAGTTTATTGCCATTGAGTTTATTTCCAATTGGGTATATTTCCATTGAGTACATTTTCAATTGCGTATGAGTGATAATTTATTCTAAGCTGTTGTTTAATCTTACTTGCATTTCGACAACAATAAATCAACTACCTCTACGTAAAAGCTCAATTCGAAATGAATGGCCCCTTCTTAAGTGCAAGAAGATGAAAAAAAAATTTTCATTTCAGCCTCAAACTCTCCAGCATCTGAATACGCATCTATATTACCTCTATTCATAGCCACCAATGGAATAGACTCCTATAACACCAACATTCTTTTCCTTGTCTTTTTCTCATATGACAACAAAACAGCCATTACTAATCAGTTATTATCAATCAGTCATTATCCAACAGTAACAATTATTGTAACTTCCATCTCATCACGAATGTTTCAATACTGCATATATAGTTCTCAAGATGACTGCCCCCCATTTACAGTATTTTTTTATTTCTTTTCTCGCAAAAAGGAATTTTTAATGCAAATCAGCTTAAATGATTTAAAAAATTTTTTTTTTTTTTTTTTTTTTTTTGGCTCTGCTCTTAAATATATAAATAAATTTTTTGACAATTCCAATTTGATACCTTTTGGTCTACTTTCTTTCTGATTCAATTGGAAACCTTCAGTTGAAGAGAGATATTAGATAGACTCTTTGGACTTTAAATATAATGTCATTCAATTATCCTCTGAATTTTGCAAATACAGTTACTACAAAGAAATATCTATATCTTACTAATATGAGCGATTCAAGTTTAATACCAAGTTGTCCAAACACCCCAAATAATTTAGAAGATCAAGCAATGCTTATGATGAAGGCACCTAGGAAGTCACACAGTTTCCCAGAAATAATGAATCAACCTGCTGTTGAGATTGACGCTATAGCTGGTGGAACAAACTCAGCTATGGTATCATCACAGCCGTCGCTATCACAACCATTATCACCACCCTTGTCGCCATATCAGACTAATGCCGAGTTGAATACTGCGAAATTGGTGGCTCAGCCTTTGATAGAATTACCACAACAACCACTGCCTACAACAGCAGCAGCTGTATCAGCATCATCAGCATCATCAACAACTCTCACTGTTACACCTCCTCCTGCACTATTGGAAAATTTAGAAAATTTAACGCCAACTTCCACACCTACACCTACACCTACCTTTACATCACTTCTTAATACAAAAAAAGAATACGTTTTGGAAAATTACAAAGACTACAAATTAACCATCAACGTTAAACCTAACAAAAACTATTATCAGAGTCATTTCGAGTTTTTGGATAAATATTATACGAGTGGTAGTATGGCTGATAAGAGCTATACCTCCATCCCACTCCCAGTACGTAGGTACAAGAAACGGACTTTGGCAACACCATTGGCGTACGAATCAACTGGTGACATACCCGAGGAACCTCTTGAGAAAAATACCATCAAGAGAAAAAGAATTACCAAAACAAGAGAAATATTTGATAACAGTGATACCGATTTTACTACAACAACATCACCACCACCAAAGAAGAGAAAAAGAAGAGTCACCAACACTAATGGTGCAACCTCCTTCTCCTCGCCATCTATCCCTATTGCAATTCAACAACAAATGTTAATTGACGAGTCAATACCTGACTATTCGCCAAATGCAAAAGAGACATTACCACCAGACAATCACAAATGTCTTAAAATTGAATGGAAGGGACAACCGATGGATTTATCTAATGATCCAAACTTATCGAAATATACCAACCTTCACCCAGCAGAAATTCAATTGGCAAGTATTTTAAGATTACCACTTGCAGTATACATGGATTCTAAAAGAAGATTATTTTTTGAAAAAGTATCTAAGGTGAAGTTGGGAAAGCAATTTAGACGAACCGATGCACAAAAGGCGTGTAGGATTGATGTTAACAAAGCACTGAGGCTTTTTGCTGCGTTTGAGAAAGTAGGATGGTTGAATGATGATTTGTTTAAGAAGTACCTTTGAAATATAAAGGAGAGCTAGAGATTAACAATTAACAAGTGATTACGAGAGGGAGGAGGGGTAAAAGAGGTAGATCAATGTATCAATTTTTCAGTTCTAAAATTACACCTATTTATTTTTTTATGATATAGGTTTTGGGGATCTATCAATATGGGACATGTTTTAATGTTGTTTACTGTTTAAAAAGAAAAAAAAGGGAGAATGAGGGAAAGAAAAGACAATAGAAGCCCACGGTGTGGGTATATTACAAAAATGCCTAATTACTTAAAGGGCGATGGAAGGGTATTTTTTAGACAGGGGGGTGTTTTAGATTTGGGATTAGAAATTGAAAGGTAAATGGATTATTTTGGAAAGGGGAAAAAAAGAAAAAAAAATTAGGGAAAACGGCAAAATGTGTTAATGGTATTTAAAGGATTATTAAATTTACAAGAGAGGAGGCTTCAAGTGTGTTCTTTTTCTAGACGATGAAGAAGTAGATTATTCATTGTTTTTGGGTGTACGATTTTATTTTATTTTATTTTTTTTTTTTTGTTTTTTGAATTTTGAATTTTGAATTTATATATATTGTTAAGTAAGTTGTTTCAAATGAATAATTGTTTCAAATGAATCATTGTTTTAAGTGAATTCGTCTCTTAGCGTAACTCTGAAGTAACAGTTTCACATCAATCTTTGAAGATGCTATGAGAGAAGCTAATATTTTGAGAGCAGCTTACTTATATTGTGCACCAGATTAGGCAATCCGCTGCTAGTCACAAAAGAGAGAGAAGTAAAATGTGAATTTTTCTTTATCTACTTTCCCTTTCCACTCGTGTGCGCGATTTCCTCCTTTGGTGTAAAAGGAAACATTACTCTATTGCAAACTGATGAGATATAAAAAAAAAAAAAAAGATATAAGAACAGTCCTGAGAGAACAAGACATTCTTATTTTAACATTTCTCTTTGTTCCTCTGTGTATCAGGAATATGAATAGAATCACATTTGTTTAGGGTAACAAGTTTCTCAATTGTTTTATTACAAATACCAACAATGACCATGTATTTATAGATTTCTAATCTCTATTAATATTTTTTTTCCTCTCTCTCTCTTTCTCTCTCTCTTTACTACTCAACTAGCATCCTCCTCAATTACTTCCCCATTGTTTCTATACATATAAAACTGTAAAAAAATCAAACTGTCCTCAAGTATCGTGCCCAAACTCCCCAATAACCAACTCATGTTCAACACAACATACTTCCAATCAGAGCGATAGAACAAAATTTGTCCCGCATAAGTCAAGTTCCCCAATGTCGAAAAGAGGAAAAACAATAAGCTAAGGCCATAAACGGATTTTCTTTCATAATTTTGTATAATTTGTGGAATTCGTGCACCCAAATAAAGAAAAGCTGAACAATACCCCATGATTTGAGGACCATATGCAATTGGGTCATCTGGTGGTAGTGATGGTGCTGGGCTTGGTTGTTCTTCTTCGGGATACTTGGATAAAGAGAACCCCATTACACCAGCTGCAATGACAAATAGTATAGGGAGTATATACTTGACAAATATGGAATGATATTGAGGTTCCATTGCTATATCAGTTAAGGTACTACTTCTTCTTGATCTTTTGTGAACTAGCGGAGAAAGTTCATCAATAAACTCTCTTTCCAAGGGTCCTGGATGTTCACTCTCAAACTCAGGCTCAGGCTCATGTTCATGCTCATGCTCAGGATCGTGCTCATGGTGCTGGTTCTGGTGCTGGTGATGATGATGATGATGGTGGTGGCGGCGGTGGTGATGTTTAGTATAAATTCTTGTATAATAGAAATAACTTGATATCATCAATGCATCAGCTATACAAAACCAAATAGCTAAAAATATAACCTCGGATAACAAACCAGCCCATATGGCTCCTACAAGATTGAACAAATCACCAAGAAACCAAATTGAAATGAATCCGATAGCTATTCCATCGGCAGATTTCAATCTCCATTGCTCAATCAATTGAGGCATAAGGAGAACTATCCAACATGCAAGTGATGTCGAGCCCATTAGTCCACTGATTTGAGTACGGATCAGCAGCAGCTGTTGCTGCTGCAACATATCCGCATTCGATTGCATTGCCAATGTAAACAATAGACTCAACATTGAGTAGTACAGTAGAAACCAATAGTGCTCTTAAAGACGATATTAGATATCAATGGGTTAATAACTCATTTTTATTGTTTTTTTTTTCCGACTTTTTTGTCTCATCGCCAGTTTTCAATGCACGATAAAATAAAATAAATAAAAGTGCGTGTAATCGAAACAATTGACACTAGCGACACTAGCGACACTATCGAGCGAAGCGAGATAGTGGAGCAACACTGACTAGTGACACTATCTCCACAATCTCGCTTTGCTCGATAGTGGAGCACATTGACTAGTTACGACACTAGATCGCGTTGCTCGATAGTGGAGCAGTATTGACTACCCTGTCACTAGCGACACTCGATAGTTCAGCAGTATGTGGAGAGTAGTAGGTAGAAAACTTGTGAGTATTGCCTCTTTCTTCAAGTCCTATCCAATTGAATTTCTTCTCAAGTCCTATCCAATTCAGTTTCTCCTCAAGCCATATCCAATTAACAACAACAGCGAATCATACATACATACTCAACTACAGCAAATAGTAACTAGTCAATGTGCTCCACTATTGAGCAAAGCGAGATGTCGTAAAAATCGAGCAAAGCGAGATAGTGTCACTAGTCAATATACTCGATAGTCGTAACTAGTCAATATGCTCAATAGTGTCATAACTAGTCAATATACTCGATAGTCATAACTAGACAATATCCTCAATAGTCATAACTCGTCAATATCCTCAATAGTGTCGTGCCTTGTATACTTTTTTTCTTGGATATAGCTGCTTTATAGTTTAGAAATATTGACTTTTCAGGGTATAATCCCTTAGATACTAAAAAAGTCGTCCTTGACTAAAACTTGGTAAAAAATGAAGCAAATGGTAAAGATCTCAACTATCCCAATCTCGCTTTACTCGATAGTGGAGCACATTGACTAGTTGTGACACTATCTCGCTTCGCTTTGCTCGATAGTGAAGATAGTGTCACTAGTCCAGTGCTGCTCCACTATCTCGCTTTCCTCGATAGTTGAATTATTATTTAAAGTCACGTGAGCGCGGCTAATGAAAAGGAAAAAGAAGAATTGTCAATGAGACAAGAATTCATTCATGGCTAATAACAATTGATACATCATGGTAAATACATCGTGGTTAGTACTTAGTAGCTCATATAAAGTAAGTTTGTTTCTCATCAGCGCGAGGTTTACAATGAACAGGTTTCATCTGGCTCACATTTCATCCAGGCTATACCGGACCTGTTCAGCCATCTTTGGCACCCTCCTCCTCCTCCTGCTTCTCACGCCGTAGAAGGGGTCTTTTGTCTTTATCCACACTTTTGGTTCTTTCTTTTTTTCCCTTTGTATGTATTTTTATTTTTTCTACATCATATCAATATCAACTAACATCTTGTTTTCTAATAAACTCCGCGATTGAAAAAAAAATTAATAGACATAAACATCCAGTAAAGATTAGAGAAGACGTATGTATATTTTTTGGTGTATGGTTCATTACTGAAGGACACGGCAAGGACACAGCAAGGACACATCAAGGGCTTTAGAAGGGCTTTAGAAGCAAAAGCGAAAAAGGATGACAAAAGCAGATTACAACTTTACGCTAGGTTTTTCCCCTTAAAAAGACAAGACAAACTTGCGAATTTCCAATCTTTCAGCACCGTTTTTTGTCACAGTTATTCGCTATACCGGTAGCAACTCAAATAGCACTTTTTGCTTTGAAATTTCGGGCCAAATAAAGAATTGTTGGTAACTCCAAAATGGAATATGGAATATGTTTCATTTGATAACCAAACTGTGGCTCCATTTTTTTTGAGAGGTGTTTAAATTAGGATGAGGAACAGAAATAGTATCTTTTGTTATTGATCATTATTGAATCAACACAAGACTTGTGACCTTTGACAATCCGCTAATTTGTCCCTAAGTTGATTGTTGTTTGCAGTGGCTCAGAGAGGGAACTGAATATTTGCTGATGTTTAATGAGTAGTCAACAAAAAGAACAACAACAACAAGAAGAAGAAGAAGAAGACCAATCACCATCACTGCCACTGTTGTATCAACACCACCACAAACGAAACCAACACTATACTAACCTGTCTCTAGATCGAGGAAAAGTATTATCAATATCACAAATCACCACTACAAGGTCAAGACCTATATCGCCTGTGATTCTTCCTTCTCAAAATCACATACTGTCAAATCTAAACCATTTTCAACATCGAATAAAACGAGAATTGCATTTGGAACTGGAACTGCCGTATCAGCAACAACAACAGCAACAACAGCAACAACAACAACAACAGCAACAGCAGCAGCAACAACAACAACAAATACGTACTATTCCCCTTATACCCAAACGCCTGCGGGATAGGACAATGAGCTATACGATGTTTTCCCCAAATCCAGCTAGTCCTCTTTATCCAAGTACCTCTAACAATAGTATCAAGCTTGATTCTAATAGCAGTAACAATCAGTCAACAGCAGCGGCTACAGCGGCTGCAACAGAAGCTGCAGTGGCAACTTCAAGGTCATCATTGTCGCCACCCACAAAAAAGCAAAGACACGATAATATTTATTTTATAAGGAATAGCTATGGTTCTAGTCAACTTCCAGCTTCTCCCTTACCTACTGCATCTAGTCTTCAGCCTAATATTAGTTATACCCGTACACTATTAAAGAGGGAGAAGACTCCCGAGAATGAAAATGAGGATCAACGGTTTTTAAGGTTAGCTAGAGATGCACTAGTTGCCACTGCACAGGGCATTAATGAGAAAAATCGCGGACTTGTTGATCCAACAATTCAGGATTTGTTGACTAGGTTAAAATATGCTAGTTCTCCTCATGGTAATCCTATATCTAATCTGGAAAATATTGAAATAAATGATGCTGGACAATTGAATATCTCCGAGTTTTATCAACTGTTCCCTAATTTAAGCAATAATATCTTTTATGGTGATAACACTACTAATGAACTGAGTAGGGATAGAAGCAGTCAAAACCGATCTAGTTATTCACTGCTGCTCAACAATAATAATAGTAGTATACACCACCCTGCGGGAAATGAACAAGGATGGAATTTCTTAATAGGTGAGCCATTACAATTGAGAGCTGATACCGATAGGAACCCCTTGGCGCAACGATCTGCAGATCTACTAGATTTAGTGGAAAAAACAGGGACTGGGAAACCCAATATAGAACAAGTAACCACACCAATATCGTCTACATCAATTGCAAAATTTTCGAAAAAAAAACCGCTGATAGCAAGATCATCCTCTACATCGAAGTTAGGTGATCTGCCAAGGAAATACCTATGTGATAAATGCACAATGTCATTTCGGAGGTCGTCTGATTTGAAAAGACACGAGAAGCAACATTTAACTATTCCACCTAACATTTGTCAATATTGTGGTAAGGGTTTTGCTAGAAAGGATGCATTAAAGAGACATGTTGGAACATTGACATGTAAGAGGAATGCAGATAAAAGGTTGTATATTGAGAATTTGGAGCATTTGAAGATGAAAAACCATGGGAATGTAATTGATGAGAGAGAAAGAGAGGATAAAGAAGGGGAGGATGGGGAAAACATTGAGGAAGAGGAGGAGGAGGAGGAGGAGGAGGAGGAGGAGGAGGAGAAGGAGGAGTCAAATGAAAAGGGTGGGCAGAACAAGGAGGAAAACAAAAGGGAGGATGATACTTTTAGCAATGGCAAGAACGAGGACAATGATGAAAACGTACTGCCGAAATTTCCAACTTATGGGTACCAAAAAATGAATTGGCAAACATAGCTTATAAGCAAGGTACACTATGGAGCAAAGCGAGAGCGACTCTGCGAGCAAAGCGAGAGCGACTCTACGAGCAAAGCGAGAGCGACTCTACGAGCAAAGCGAGAGCGACTCTACGAGCAAAGCGAGAGCGACTCTACGAGCAAAGCGAGAGCGACTCTACGAGCAAAACGTTGATTAGTTACGACACTATCTCGCTTTGCTCGATAGTGGAGCATTTCGTGGCTTATCTCGCATTGCTCGATGGTGGGGCACGTTGATTAGTTACGACACTATCTCGCTTTGCTCGATAGTGGAGCATTTCGTGGCTTATCTCGCATTGCTCGATGGTGGGGCACGTTGATTAGTTACGACACTATCTCGCTTTGCTCGATAGTGGAGCATTTCGTGGCTTATCTTGCTTTGCTCGATGGTGGGGCACGTTGACTAGTTACGACACTTTCTCGCTTTGCTCGATGTTGGAGCATTTCGTGGCTTATCTCGCATTGCTCGATAGTCTTTGATATAAAAGAACGTGTTCTGGTTGAGATGTCTCTTTTTTCTGAAAAATGACGTTTCTTTGATGTGCATTGACGTTTCTTTGATGTGCATTGACGTTTTTTTTGATGTGCATTGACGTTTTTTTTTTGAGGTGCATTGACGTTTTTCTTAATTCCTTTTTTTTTTCTTTCCCCTCCCCCACATCGTTGAGTCATGTGACATCCACTTTTGTCACATCCTCTTTGCCTCGCTTGTTGGAAGTTGCAACCAGTCAACCAAAATTTCGGATGAATGGAGAGGAAAAAAAATTAAAAAACTTTTATTTGCAAGTTGGCACATGAAAAGAAGGGGAGAGAAACACGCAAAACTCAACAAAAAAAAAAAAAAAAAAAAGAGAGACTAAACAAAACTGATAAAGTATTCTAGTGTTTCGTTCACGTGATTTTCACGTGCCTAGGTATATACAGTAAAGTGGTTTATTTTTCAAGTATGGCATTAGTAGCTTTAGGTCCCCCCACAAGAATTTTTTTTTTTTTGTAACAGGTAGTAGCCAATGGTGTAAATAACCAATTGTTTTCTATTCAACAGAAAATTGAGATAAGAATGCATAATGCCGGCTTTACAGCTTTTTATTTTTAAGAATACCATCACAAGATTGATCTATCTAATGATACGACGGTTATCGCGTCTGGGTCTGTCCTTTTTACACAATTAGACACATAACTGATAATTGATAACTTTATTTACGGGCGCTACCAAATGTTGGCTCAGTGTCTGCCGAGCCAAAAAAAAAAAAAAAAAAGAAAAAAAAGAATGTTGATAAATTATTTTCTCCTTAATGATAAAATGATAAATGATAAAATGATAAATGAGATGACTCTTTAAAAAAAAGGTAGAGTCAATTCCGACTTAAATTAACCTTCATGATTAATAGAACAGTAGTAAGTGAGTCCTTTACAAAAAAAAAACTATAGAACAATTACCATTATATGGTTTTGTCCTCTACTTTGCCGTATTTCGCATTAGATATAATCTGTATGTAATTAGCTCCGATAAGCACTCCCACTCCCATTAGTTTCAATTTCTTCCTCGGTTTAAGCTTTATCACAAATGACTGCAAACACTGAAAAATTTATCAACAAAGAACCGTTAGATAAATTTTTTTTTTTTTCTTTTTTGGGCTCTCTCTCTCTTTTTTTTTTTTTAGTGGATATGAAACGAACCACTAAAGGAAATCAAATTAAAAGGGTTCTGCGGCATTTAATATATAAAGGTATTGATATAACCCACAACCTTTGTTAACATTCTTTCTTTCTTTTATTTTACCCTACTGTTTTGTAGAAAGTCCATTTATCTTTCAAGCTATTATTTGCAAAGGAACTGGGACTATATTCAATTTCACCACAAAATCTGGTCATCTCATCGTGCTCATTTCTTTTTTTTTTTAATATTATCGGCTCACGCGAGATCTCAAGTAGATTACACCAACAAAGATTGGAAAGTTATAACCTTCCCCACACAAACATATTAGCCCCCTTAGTGCCCACCCCCCTATCTTATACTATATCGCAAGAACTGTTATACAATTCCTAGCGAAAGCGTTATACAATTCCTAGCAAAAGCCTCGTTATACAATTTCTAGCAAAAGCCTCTCGCTTTACTTATCATGTCAAGAGCTCAGACGAGATTAAATCAATTATCCAACTTTTTAACCCCCACAACAGGCCCCAGCGCTAAAGTTTCGTTATCGCCGGATCATCCATTTAGAATATGTGTTATTGGTTCAGGTAACTGGGGTACAACTATAGCTAAAGTTGTAGCTGAAAACGCATTAGCAAGACCACATTTGTTTGTTCATAATGTGAAAATGTGGGTTTTTGAAGAAAAAATCGATGGCAGGAACTTAACAGAGATCATTAATCAGCAGCATGTTAATATAAAGTATTTGCCCGGTGTAAAACTACCACCTAATTTAGTTGCCGAACCAAATATTTTGAAAGCTGTTGAAGGCGCCGACTTGATCGTGTTCAATTTCCCTCATCAATTCTTACACAAAATTTTAAAGCAGTTGAAAGGCCATGTTCCGCCTACCACTAGAGGTATATCTTGCTTAAAAGGGTTGGAAGTTACTAAAGATGGCTGTAAATTGTTGTCAACTTATATTACCGAACAATTGGGTATTGCATGTGGTGCTTTATCGGGTGCAAACTTGGCACCAGAAGTGGCTCGCTGTAAATGGTCGGAAACAACAGTAGGCTATCATTTGCCAGAAGACTATCGTGGTGCAGGTAAGGACATTGACCAATTCATCTTGAAAGCGACATTCCATAGACCATATTTCCACGTGAATGTTATTGAGGATGTTGCTGGTGTATCGGTAGCTGGTGCATTGAAAAATATAGTGGCTCTAGCCGTAGGGTTTGTTGAAGGTTTGGGATGGGGAGATAATGCCAAAGCAGCAGTAATGAGAGTCGGTCTTTTGGAAACAATCAAGTTTAGTGAGATGTTTTTCCCAGAATCCAAGGCTGAAACATTCACTGCGGAATCTGCAGGTGTAGCTGATTTGATCACTACTTGCTCGGGAGGTAGAAACGTCAAAGTTGGTAGGTATATGGCGCAAACTGGTGCGTCTGCTGACCAAGCTGAAAAGAGATTATTAAACGGTCAGAGTAGCCAAGGTATTGTAACGGCGAGGGAGGTTCATGAGTTACTAACAAATGTTAATAAATTAGATGAGTTCCCCTTGTTTGAAGCCACCTATCAAATTATTTATGGATCTGAATCAATTGAAAACTTGCCAAATTTATTGAGTAGAGATTAGAGATTCTTAGATACAGATATAAATTTATTATACAACGAATAAAATAAAAATCGTGTGTTTATAGATCAGGGCAGGGTTTAGATGATGAAAAAGAAAAAGATGTGTTTGGTGACTAATTGTACATTTTCAAAAAATATATACATATATCTATTATTTATATTTTTGACATTACACTGGGAGGCAAATAATTAATGGTTGTCGCTGTTGACTGTAGTCATATCCACGTCACTAATTGATCCTTCGTCATTGCTCTCCTCTGCAACTGCTAATTCTATTTCTCCTAGTTCTTCCTCTTCTTCCTCTTCTTTTTGTTCTTCTTCTTCTCCTTCTTCTTCTCCTTGTTGGAGAGCTCTATTATCTGCATCCTCGCCGTCTTCCTTTACTGCTTTTTCCAATTTTCTCTTCTTATGCTTCGTTCTATATTTGACTAAAAACTTCTCCATGAACATATCAGAATAATTCTTCACTTTTTTCAATTTATGCTTATCCAATTCTGAAGGTGGTGGTGCATTGGACTTTTTAGCTTCTCGAAGAGCCAAGTTATTAACGATCTCCTTAGCACACCCTTTCACGTTGGGCTTACCTATCTCATTAACATGTTTTTTTACCAAATTGGGAATATGTTTGGCCAAAATATGTTTCCATTGCTGCTCAATGGAGTTTTCCTTCTTAACTTTCCGTTCCAGGTGGTGATGATGTTCATGACGTCCATGACTACTATGTTTACGTTTATGTCTATGCTCCCCACTACTTTTACTAGCTCCATTCTTTTCTGGTTCGGGTGTGGGTTTTTGAGAGGATAGTCTTGCTTGTTCAATAAGCTCTTGTAATTGACGTTCTTTATTTGCCATTTCTCGCAACTTAGCTTCTTTTTCTTTCTTAATTTTTTCTTCTTCTCGCCTCATGATTTGTGCCTCAATGTGCTTGTAATTGCCTGCTGGCCTTTGTTGTTGTTGTTGTTGTTGTTGTTGCAGCTGCTGTTGAATATTTGTGTTTGGCCCCGATGATGTAGAGTAATAATCTGCAGGGAGTTTTGGTCCAGTGGGAACTGTCCGCTCTGCTGAAGCTGTTGTTCCCTCTGGTGGATCCCATCTAGTTTCTCTAGTTTCGGTATTGTAATAGTACACTTTGTTAGTTTTTGGATCAACGCTAGTGGCCCAATTAGGTGGTAAGTCCTTGCCTGCATCACTGTTATTATGGTTGTTGTTGTTGTCATTATTGTTGTTGTTGTTGTTGCTGTTGTTGTTGTTGTTGTTATGGACTGTATTTTCCTGGCCCGGTGATTTGGAAACTCGTCCGTATCCCGATAAATCCTCCATAGGTCGAGTAATCTTAGGGATACGATATGCCATTTGCAATTTTGACCATTGTGTCAACAATTTATTACATAAAGTTTGAATCTGCTCATTTTTGTTGGTCTCTTGAATATCCTTCACTACATCTTCAATTCGTGACGAGGAAATCTTATTCTTGGTCAAAGCTGGCCATCTTGCAACTATTTCCAAAATCATCATTATTAATTCATCATCCTTTGCATCTTGTAAAATACTTGAAAGAGTCTTGTATCCGTGGAATCTAACAAGTAATTGGTTGATATATGCATCATCAGTCTTGTGCATTCTTTCAATTAATTTCTTAATCAACAGCGTTTGTTGAGCTTTCAACAATGCAGCCATGACTTTCGATACATCCAAATCGATCATTGGTTCCACAGTCAAGCTTTTGACAAACATTTCATTAATAGTAGCATCATCTGCTTGTTGCTCTGCTCTCAAATGTTTATTTTCCTTTAACCAAGCTTTTTCCATCCTTGAATTCACACCCAATGCTTCGCTAATTCCCTCGGGCAATAACAACGCTGCATCAGTTTGTCTCTTGCCGCCCATGAATTTCAAGCAGTTTGGTTCCCCGCAATAACAAGGCTGAGATTGAGCACCATATCTATCAACATTGTAATCAAATGTAATCTCCTCACCCTCTACAATTTCACGTTTGGCAAAGATACCCATACGTAATTTATCCCCAACAACCCATTTGTCTACGTAAGCATTGGGATTACACGAATGATTGACAAATCTCGCTAACGACCCTTTCTCTGTAGCGTCGATAAAGGCGTCATTTTTCAACATCATGAAATAAAAATGCTTATACCCTTTCAAGTCATATTCAATCATCCGTTGTCGAAACGTCGGCTCATCAATAATTTCTCCGATATATTCATAGATAAACTGTCCTTCCTTGAGTATTGAATTAGCCTTCAATCCATACCCTTTAAGTTCAGTTTGGAACACGGTAACATTAGCATATTGTCTTCTTTGAAACCGCTGGTTTTGACAATCATCTCCACATCCACAATGTCGATTCACACACTCTACTGATGTTATTCTATTTATACAGTTTGAATCGTCTCCACACGCAAGGTTCTCCTGTCTCTCGCCATCCCAGTCTTCAACACAATCACAAGTCATAAATTCAGGTCCTCGTTTACTGGTGCTAGGAGCTCCAATGGTTTTAGTTTGATATATACATGATTCAAGGTTCCGAAACTTGGTTAGAGCCTCATTGGTTTTGTCTTCTACATCGAGAAAAAGTTGCGGAGCTCGTACCCCCTTCTTCTTTATACCGTCATTCATCAAAGTCAACCCACTCTCTATAGCGAAATATCACCTATGGTAATGATTTACCAAATTTGTTAAAAGAATTTTCCGCTTCAAAAAAAAAAAACAAAAAAAAAAAAAAAATAAAAAAAAAAACAAAAAAAATTAAAAAAAACTTCATCAAGTGATTTGAACGGGGAGTAGTAGAAGCCCCCATTGAATGCGGCTTGGTACCATCCCGTTGAACTAATTGGCCTTGATTAGTAATGGCAAAAGAGCTAGCGGCGTACCCTGCAACTATATCGTCATGAATGTTTTTTTATTTCCCATTTTGAAAACTATATAGTTTGGTTTTTTTCCACCCTCCTTCACCCTCCTCCTTGTCTTTTCCACCCTCCTTCACCCTCCTCCTTGTCTTTTCCAACCTCCTCACTTATCAGCTTTGGCCTTGTCTTTTCCACTCTCCTCTTTCTCTGTTCCACTATCCTCCTCCTCATCTTCTTCTTTATAGCATGTTACTCTGTTTCTATTCTCTGAAGCAGCATGAACCAATTGGACAAAGGCGTCGCCCGCTGCCTCTGTTTTCTCCTTTGGTTTCATAGAAGTGAGTGATGCTTTCGACGCTGAGGGATTGGGTATCTGGTTCAAACAGGCACTAAAGTTTTGCCATTTATCCAACACCAGTTTGGTCTCTGCTGAAGGTGTATAATCGTTCTTTTTCTGCACTTCTCCGCTTTCATTAAAGAAATCAATCTCTGTTGGATCATCATCTTCTGTGCTTTGCATTTGTTTCAATTTGTTGATTCTATTACTCAATTTCACAACTTCAATAGCCTGTTTGAATTTAGCCTTTGCATCGAATTTCTCCTTCAATTGTGGCAACAAGTCACATTCTGTATGTGTTTGGGCAATAGAAACAATCCATGGATCTTTCAATAACTCAGCTGCTGTTGGTCTCTTATCAGGGTCAAATTGCAACGCCTTAATTATAAATCTTCTGGCGTCTTTGGAAACATCCCTCCAGTAATCGGCATGGAAAATAACCGCATTATTATGCTTCACTTCGTTGATGAAATCAGATACATTTTCTGACCTAAATGGCGAATAGCCACAAAGTAATGTATATGTAACAACACCCAAAGACCATATATCGCATGGTTTACCGTGTCCTGTTCCCAATATGACTTCGGGGGCAGCATAGCCGAATGAACCTGCCAGTGATCGCAATTTCTGATTCGGAGTTTGTAACCTCTTGGCAATACCAAAATCTGCCAATACAATTGGCAGATCTTCAGCAGGTGTAAGATACAAGATATTTTCCGGCTTAATGTCCCTATGAACAATATCCTTACCATGTAAATAAACCAATGCCTCCAATATTTGCACCACAACTAAAGAAGCATCGTGCTCGGTGAATTTCCCCTGTTGAACAATTCTATCGAACAATTCGCCACCAATAGCCAATTGAGTAACTAAATAGAACTTGTCTTTACTTTCGAACCAATCTCTGAAACCAACAATATGAGGATTATGTAATTCCTCAAGTAATCTCATCTCGTCGATAACAACATCCTCGTGGCCCTTTAAAGCCTTCTTCAATATGATCTTCACTGCAACGTCCTCTCCCGTTATGTTATCCCTTGCATACCTTACTATTCCAAACGAGCCAGCACCCAATGTTTTACCAAACGTGTAGTTCCGCTTTCTACTATACGATTCAGGCTGCCCTTGAAGTTTATGCAAAAAATTCTTAAATTGACTTCCCTCACCCGTACGTGACACCAGCGAATTAGTCTCTGAGTCTGCAACGCCATCTTTGCCTTTCTCGTCACTTGTTACAACCGACATACTTTGTTTAATGTTAATACGTCTCAATTAGTATAATCCAATTCAAGCCCTGCCTTATCAACGTCTACCGACAATCCTAAATATAGCCTTGAACCAATAGTTATGCTTTTTACCCTTGAAATAAAATTGTAACCTATTATTACTATTATTATCTTTTCCTTGTTAATTTGTTTTGTCTCTCGCTTTGGGGAACCTTATAAGCGAACTTTTTAAGGCTCCAGGAGGAGCAGACGACACTATCGAGCAGAGCGAGACACTATCGAGAGTAAAGACACTATCAAGCAAAGCGGGACCCTATCGAGCAGAGCGAGATAGCATTGTAACAAGCTACTAACTGTATATATAGTGTAGAGTCTAGTGTAAAGTGTGTCAAATAGAGTAATTTGTATAGGGTAATAACTATCTCCGCGTCGCACAAATTCAGTGTTTATTGTACACAGGGTCCACTATCGAGAAACACTATCGAGCAACACTATCGAGCAACACTATCGAACAACACTATCGAGCAAAGCGAGATAGTGTTGTAACAAGCCACAAAGTGTTGCTCCACTATCGAACAACACTATCGAGCAAAGTGACACTATCGAGCAAAGCGGGATAGTGTTGTAACAGCTACAAAGTGTTGGTAACAGATAGTCTCGCTCTGCTCGATAGTGTTGTAACAAGCTACAAAGTGACCTTGGCCACTAGTAAACTATATTAATTATATACTATTAATATTTAGTTGTGCTCCACTATCTCGCTCTGCTCGATAGTGTCACTAGTCAGTGCAGCTCCACTGTAGAGCAGAGTGGAGCAGCACTGACTGTATATATAGTGTAGAGTATAGTGGAAAGTGTGTCAAATAGAGTAATTTGTATAGTGTAATAGCGTAATAATTATCCTCGCCTAGCACACAAATTGTAGCATGCAACTTCAAGGTGAGTTTTTCAAGCCAAACATTGTTTACAGGTGAAGTTATACGGATTGGTGTAGGAGTGATAATGTTGGTGGCAGCTAGTCAGTGTTGCTCCGCTATCCACACTATCGAGCAGAGCGAGCTAGTGTTCTAACAAGCTACAAAGTGTCGGCGATAGTGTTGTAACAAAGCTACGGGCAATTATATCACGTGATGTGTTCCAAGTTCATGTCTTTTTTTCACTAAAAACTCTAATTTACTTTTATTATCAGGCAAGCCTCCTCTCTCCTCTCTCCCCTCTCCCCTCTTTCCTTTTTTTTTCATCTCTTGTCTTTCTCTCCCCTCTTTCCTTTTTTCATCTCTTGTCTTTCTCTCCCCTCCCTTGTCTTTCTTTTCTATCATTTAAAAATTTTTGGTGTTTGAAAAATCTTCTTGGGTAATGTTTGATCGCTGACACATTTGCTGGAAAATACCACCTTCTAGGTTGAATAAGTTCAAAGGTGTGTCGAATTCTTTAATTTCTCCTTTGTCCAATACCAAGATTCTATCATAGTTAATAATCGTTTTTAACCGATGAGCAATACATAAAATTGTACAATCTCCAAACTCTCGTACAATCGTTTGCTGAACTTTGAAATCAGTTTCATAATCAACTGATGATGTTGCCTCATCAAGAATTAAAATTTTTGAATCGCGTACTAATGCACGTGCAAATGCAATCAATTGACGTTCTCCAAGTGAGAAGTTGGATCCTTCGTCTTCAACAGTTTGATCTAAATGGAATTTGTTCAATGGTGTAGTTGTAGTTGCAGTTGCAGTTGCGTCCCCCTTTTCTGAGTTGGCTGCTGTAGTTGTTGTTGCTGATGATACTTTAGTTTGCTTCTTAACTGCTTCTAATCTAGATTCTTCAATTAACCCAGTTCTTCTCAATGCATCCCATAACTTGTCATCTGAGTGCTCGCCAAATGGATCCAAATTCTTTCTGATTGTACCTCTAAACAAAACTGGATCCTGCGGTATTATCGACAATTTTGACCGCAAGTCCCTCAAACCTAATGTTGAGATATCAATATCGTCAATCTCAATCTTGCCTGACTCCAATTCCGATAATCTGTACAACGCAGTCATTATCGAGGACTTACCTGCACCTGTTCTACCACAAATACCAATTTTCTCCATTGGTTCGACTCTAAATGTCAAGTCTTTCAACACTAGTGGTAAACCTGGTCTGTATGCCAAAGAAGCATGGTCAAATATAATACCACCTTTACTTGGCCAGTCTGGTGGTGGAGTTCTCTCGGTAATGACATAAGGAGCTTCTTCTGGTAAGCTTGTAGCATAGGAGCTCAACCTTTCGGCAGAGTTCATTTCGTTTTCAACTTGAGTAAAAGTTCTAATAAGCATAGATAATTGACCAGCAATTTGGAAAACATACGAAACAATTAAACCAACTGATGAAGCTCCAATATTGAAAACTCTATTGACACAAAGCAATGCAATAAGTAACGCAAATAAAGAAGCAATGAAATCCATATGAATAGCTAACCAACGTTGATTAGCAATAGTTATATAGTAAGCCTCGTTCATTTTATCAATCAAAAAATTGTTCTTGTCCATAAATCTTGACGTAGCGTTGTAAGCTTTGATCGTAGGCATTCCACTCAATGTTTCATTAAAGTTATTATAAACTAATGACCTTTGGACGGCTTCTAAACGTTTCACTTCACGTGCCGAGGCCTGGTAATAGTTGGCAATGGAAACAAACACAACTCCAAGAAATGGTATAGCAATGGCAAACCACGGTAAATAAATGATACATAAAATCAAAACACCAATGATGTTGCAAAAAGTAAATAAAAAGAATCTCATTTGGTCACCGATTTCATTATCCAACACATCAGTATCCTTTGTAAACCTGTTCAAAATTCTACCCATTGGAGTCGTGTCCATAAATGACATAGGTGCATGTAAAACCCTCTTTACCGCCATTACATTCAACATAACGGATGCAGTATTGGTGATGTAAACCAATATAATGAACTCTATAGTCAACAAAAAGAAGGACAAAAATGTAAACATGATATAAATACCAATGTAAAACTTGTTTGGTCTGTTAAATTTGTATGATGTCCAGAACGATAGCCAAGTATTTGTAAAAATTTGACTAAACGTTGAAAGTAACATAGCAGTGAGTAATGCTGGAAGAATTAGCCACGGGGTGAACCGTCCTGATCCTAATCGGATATACCTTGCATAGACGTCCCATCCAATGGCATTGACTGCACGCTCTTCACTACCAATTAACGTACCATCTGCAGTTTCGTCCAAGTTAAACTCATGATGACGTGCTTCTTCATCATCATCTTCTTCTTCGTTCTCAGGTCCAATAGATCTTGTCGTTCTAGTTGTTCTTTGAGTTAACTGACGTTCAATCAATTTCTTCTCTTCTTCCAACTCTTCTTCACTGAGTTGTTCAATATCTACCTCTTCTTCTTTCTCGTGTTCGTGATTATAAGTCATTAAATTACCAAACCCTGGATTTGCTTCCTTTAACTCTTCAAACGTGCCAACATCAACTGAGCCATCTCCATTTAAAAAAATTATTCTATCTGCAGAGCCAATCAACGACAATTGATGCGTTGCCAAAATTCTTGTTTTCTCCTTGAGTAGGTCCAATATACAATTGTTCATAATATGTATACCAACACGGGCATCAACAGCACTCAACACATCGTCCAACAAAATAATATCTTTATCGGCGTAAACTGCACGAGCTAAATTAATCCTAGCCTTTTGACCACCAGATAATGTAATACCACGCTCCCCAATCTCTGTTCTGTCACCAGCTGGCAAGATCTCTAAATCAGATTCCAAGGAACATGAATAAATCACTCGCTTGTATTTTTCTTCGTCGTATTTAGATCCAAAAATAATATTATCTTTAACAGTATTATTTTGAACCCAAGGTTGACCGCAAAGCAATAAAGAACCATTCACGTTGACTGAACCGCGTAAACGTTTCATAAAACCAGACATGGCAGCAAGTAAGGATGATTTACCGGAACCAATCAAACCCGTGATAACAACAAACTCACCCTTTTTGATATTAAAATTGATATTTTTCAAGCCATCGAATACAAGTTCCTCTTCAGACAGTGTATCCGCAGTGAAATCCAGATCTTTAGTAGACAACTTTTCTGTATGAGAATCATGAATAGTCTCATTTTCAAAGGATTCCGCCTTTTTGGTCTCTTTTTTTTCCCTTTTCTTTTTGCTCATTTTGTTCATCTTCTTCTTATTCTCAAAGCCAGCTTCAAACCCATTCTCTTTCTCTTTCTTTTTCTCCTTCTCTTTCTCCTTCTCTTTTCCTGCTTCTTCTTCTTCTTCGTCATCTTCAAATACTTCCCATTCAAAGTCAGCATGGTTGACTTCAATTGCCAAACCTTCTCTGTCCATCTCTTTTTGGACTTCAGGTGGTGCTTCAATTCGGTTTTCTTCGGGGTGAACTTCGTTTTGAGACATGAATTCACCAACACGAGATATTCCCATAAAGGCATCAGCACCAGTTGCTAACGCCATTGGTAAAAGAAACACTTGTTGAGTCAACGTGTTGAATAAAGAAAGCGATGAAAAAATAGAAGCTGGATCTCTTCTACCATTAGCAATTGCATAAAGAACCAAAAATGCAGTCATTGAGGCAAACAATGTCAAAGACATGGCAAATGAAGTAACAATATTTCTCAAAATCTGCATTCGATAAATAATCCTCATTTCCTTCTTTCGTACATTGGAAATATTTTCGTGATATGGTGGTTCCCATGAATAAAATTTGATAACTTTTAAATTGTTCAAAGCTTCTTTGATATAATTCACACGAGTATCGGTAAAGAAATTGGCCTTTTTCCTATAAGCAAGCAAAGCACCTGTCGAAAACGCAATACCGATCATAAACACAAACAATATAGCAACACCAACCAATGAAGATACTCCAATATTCACAATCAAAATAGCAATAGCAATACCGATTGGGATTGGAAACACAATTAGAAAAGGTTGGAATCCCAATGCAAAATCGATTCTTGACAAATCTGTACCCAACATCGACGTTATTTTACCTGGAGGATACTTGTGTTTAGCTTCTGAGCTTAATTTAAACGATTTATCTAGCAAAGCCTTTGTTAGCACAGCTTTGGCTTGTGCGCCAGTCAACATTGAACGGTAAAAGAAATGGTTAATCAAAACACCAACAATGAAAACAATTGCTGCCGTTCCAAAAGAATAACCAAGACCTTTACCAATTCCAGTTTCGTCACCCAAGGCCTTTAGCTCGACATATTGAATCAATTTTTTAGTGAGCAATGGCATAGTAGTTTGACCAACATTACTCAAAGCTAAACAGAAACAGGCCCACGAATATTGCCATTTGAATGTTTTTGCCAAAGCCCAAACTGTAATAAATTTACTCAATTGAAAATCCTTTAAATCAACTTCTCGATCAACCGATGAGGTTTCTAGCGTTTCTCCTCTTTCTTTACATTTTTTTATCAAAAACTTTTGTTTGGCTCTATCTATATCATGGGTCATATATAGATAAAAGCTATCGGCCATAGTCTGGACTTTTATATCGTCAGTTAAATAGAACAAGTCCTCAGGCTGTAAAGTCCTCTTATACCCAGTTTTCATCACTGGTGATAGCCACCAAAAAAATATCCTTGATATAACATTAGCTTTCGATGCAGGGTAAGGTCGCCTCTCATCTTCTGTAGGTACATGCGGCACCTTTTTTGATAAAAATGGACTTAGCAAACGCTTTTGTCGGTGCAAAATCTTTTGATCCTCTAGCGATGAGCCCATTTTCTACACCTTATCGCAAAAGATATACACTATATAGTATATGATGGTCCAAAGGGAAAAAAAGAAAAAAAGATGAGGAGAAGGAGAAGGAAGATAATTTTTCAATGGCGATTTATTACAATATCATGATGGTTTATATGCAATTAATTTATCGATTAGGTGATGAACAAAAAAATATTACATGCTTAATGAGAAATAGAATTTGAAGTATTGGAATTTGATTAACTCCGCGCATTGTTTTCTGGTTTTCTACATACAAAATTTTAAAAAGTTACAAAATATAGGTGTATTGCTAAAGCATACAAATTATATATGGTATATGCATATATGTTGATGGAATTGCTATCATCATGCAAGGCTAAACGGTTGCGAATTTTATACGTTTTCTTTGATAACAGATGCTTTTAGTAAAAAAGAGAAAGGGATTAATTTAAGAGGTGAAGGGGGACTCATTAGTGTTTGAGTGGATCACCCAAAATGGAAACAGTCTACCACGACGCCATCTCAGGGTTTGGTACTATATTTGACAACCGTTAAAGTTGAAAACATGATTTGTAATATATTTTTTTAGTGTGTTGGTGATGAAATCTTATATAGCAAAGGTGATGTAAGTTATTTTTGTACTCTTTTAGAATCAATAGCGGAATTATTACTCAATGGGTAATTAAATCCGGAATACTACCACTCCCACTATCGAGCGAAGCGAGATAGTGGGGTAGTACTTAATACTGACACTATCGACACGCCACTATCGACGCTCCACTATCGAGCGAAGCGAGATAGTGGAGCAGAGCTAATAGCAACACTATCGACACGCCACTATCGACGCTCTATTATCTCGCTTTGCTCGCTAGTGGAGCAGAGCTAATAGCAACACTATCGACGCTCTATTATCTCGCTTTGCTCGATAGTGTCGCGTCTCCTTTACACAGTAAGTAACAAAAGATTACTTTCTTCTACTAAATAGGCTAAGGGATAAGGTTTCCTCGTCACTATCAGGAGTGAAAACCCTAACAATTTGATTATTTTTTTTTATTCTCTTAGCAATGATATATTTTCCTTCTTACCAATCTCTCCTGCTGCTTGCTCTCGTATAGCTTTGTTCTACTATGGTCTAGCTCTACCATAGCTTAGCTCTACTATAGCCTAGCTCTACTATGGCCTAGCTCTACTATAGCTTTGCTCTACTATAGCTTTGCTCTACCATAGCCTTTCTCTCCTATAGCTTAAGCCTTTCTCTTCTGTAGCTTTAGCCTTTTTTTTCAAGCCTTTCTTTCTTACGGCTTTTTTTTTTATTTTGCGTTTAGGTTGAAAGGGTAATACACAAAGATTCATTATACTAGCTTACTTATTCTTCTTTCCTTTTTCATGGTGCCCTTTTTTGTATTAACGAATGCTTACTTTCATAGTGCCGATTGAATCCTTTCAAATCCATATATTGTAACGAACAAAATTTACATTGTCTTTTCAAGCGATTGTTCACCATTACATTAGTGAACTTTCCAACATATTTTGGTGTATTAGACTTATTGTAAGATAATGCTACCTCATCAAAATCAGATGTATTTGTTATCAGCGAATGGGAAGTACTTGTTATCAGCGAATGGGCATTTGTTATCAGCGAATGGGCATTTGTTATCAGCGAATGGGCATTTGTTATCAGCGAATGGGCATTTGTTATCAGCGAATGGGCATTTGTTATCAGCGAATGGGTATTTGTTATCAGCGATTGCGAAATTTCTGGTACCGGCATCTTTGTCTTTTTGACTCGGCGGCTAGCCATATTGATCGTTTCATAGATACTCTTATTTAATGGATCAGTATTCTCAATTCCATTGACTGATGCACGCCGCTTACATAAACCCTTTTTAGGTAATGAGTCGAATATGAGAGTGTACACTCCAGTCCTGAAAAAGGGAGCATTTTCTGGAGCCTTAAGCGGCAAAGTCTCGCCAGAAAGAGGATTTAAGGAATTCTCAAAATTTTGGCAATCCCTCAAAACTCTTCGTCGAGTAGACGGTCTAAAAAAAACAAACACTCTTGGTTAGATGTACATTAAGTCCTTCATCTTGGTTTTAGTAATAATTATTAACGTACTTTGAATTCATTTAGTTTAATGATTGGTTGCAAATGTATTCCTAACAAAACCGATATTTTTGCGCAAAAATCAAACATAAAATTTTCAGTGACAATGTATACTACTAAAACTAAACCGCCATATACTCTATTTTTTATTCTCCATCAAAACAACCACAAGGTCAAAGACTTGAGAGGAAAAGTTTTGTACGGTTCATCTTCGAATTTGTTGTTTGGCTTGAGTCAAGAGATGGGAAGAAAACGGTTTTGTTTGGTATTACCCCTCCCCCACCCTGTTTAGACACAAAATAAACTTGGAAAAGAATATAGAGATAAGAGAGGCAGAGTATACATAGACCATCTCGCTTTACTCGATAGTGAAACCAATCTCATCAAACGCATATAACTAAGTTCGTTGTACCTCCATAAATGACTAGTTTTGTTGTAAATCATGGTTCGCTCAGCTTATTTATTGCTCATTTGTACATATTGTTTGCAACTAATGATGCCACACTTTGCACTCAATGATTTATAAATGGCACTTGAAAACCCTGTGTAAATCAGCATCAGCAAAGTAAGCAACTACAAAATGACAGTCAAGAGGCAAAAAAAGCCAAGAAAACCACTCATTATCAATGCCTTCGACATGGCAACCCCAGGTTTGCAAAGTCCTGGTTTGTGGAAACATCCAAAGGATAGATCACGTGACTATAATACAATCGAATACTGGGTCCATTTAGCCAAATTATTAGAAAAGGGTAAATTTAATGCTTTATTCATTGCTGATGTATTGGGACCCTATGACGTTTACAACGGTCCAAGAAACTTGACAGCCGCAGCAAAAGCAGGAGCTCAATGGCCAATTAACGAGCCTACAGCTGTGGTTTCTGCAATGGCTGCAGCTACCAAGAATTTGTCATTTGCCGTTACTTCAAGTACTATTAGTGAAGCGCCATATCATTTTGCAAGAAGGTTAGCTACTTTAGACCATTTGACAAGAGGAAGAGTTGGTTGGAATATTGTTTCTTCGTATTTGGATACTGCTAGCAGAAATCTTTTGAATGGAGAGCCATTGCCTCCACACGATGAAAGGTATGACAAGGCACAGGAATACTTGGAAGTAATTTACCAGTTGTTTTTGTCTTCTTGGGCCGATGACGCGGTAAAATTGGATACTGAAAAGGGAATTTTTGCCGATCCTGAAAGAATTCGCGAGATAAACTACAATGGGAAATACTTTAAAGTTCCAGGTCCCTTTATTTCTGAACCTAACCCGTATCAGAGAATACCTGTTATTTTGCAAGCTGGTTCAAGCTCCAAAGGTTTGGAGTATGCAGCAAAAAATGCCGAAGCCGTGTTTCTTAGTGGTCCGACTCTTGGTGGTTTGAAATCCCAAATTGAGAAATTGAACGCATTAATCAAAAAATTTGGAAGAAATCCAGATGATGTAAAGAAAGTGAAGTTGGCAACGGTGATAGTAGCGCCCACACACGACGAAGCTATTGAGAAATTCCACGAGTATAAAAAGTATGCTGATACTGAGGGTGCACAAGCACTATTTGGTGGTTGGACAGGTATAGATTTAGGTGACTATGACTGGGATCAGGAATTAGATCAAGTTGAAAGCAATGCGGTAAGGAGTATGGCAGAAATGTGGACAAAGCCGTTCCCGGGAGATCCGCCGGATTTGAAAAAAACTAGACAATACATTGCCGAAAAAGTTTCAGTTGGTGGTAGTGGTGTTTTATTTGTTGGTTCACCTACTGAAATTGCCGACGAAATTGAAAATTGGGTTGATGCAACTGGTGTTGATGGGTTTAACTTCACATATGCAATAACACCGGGAACGTTTGAAGATATTGTTGAATTATTGATTCCAGAATTGCAAAGAAGAGGTTTAGTATGGGACGACTACCCAAAGGAAGAATTGACTTTTAGAGAAAACTTATATGGTATTGAAGGAGAAGAACCAACTTATTTAAAGCCTGATCATCCGGCTTATAATCTCAGATGGAGAAATGAAGAATCTAAACAAGAGTTTGAAGAGAAACTAAGTAAAGCCTTGAAGGAACGATTTGGTAAATAATCATTTTTTTTATTTTCTTTCCTTGTTTCTTTCTTTTTGTTTGTTTGTTTCTTTGTTTGTAAAGTTTTGCAGCCACAGTTGCAAAAAAAAAAAAAAAGTGTCGCACATACTAATTGTTTTTTCTTCTTCATCTAATTATTCTTTTGCTTCATCTAATTATTCTTATCTTGAAGCCATAGTCCTTCCTTTTGTTAAGCGGGTTCTTTGTATTTTAAACTTGAAATCCTACTTGAGATTTTGAATAATGTTTGAATTAGCTTTTCTCTTTTTCGAAATTTCCCTATTTGTAGTACTACTACATTCACATTTCCACTTGTCATGTCTACTCTGTTAAAAACCTATACGTTACGACCATTCCAAGAAGCACCGTTGTCTTCATCCATTTCTATAAAGCCACTCCAACTAGAATCAATCGATTTATCTCTATACAAAGAGGGGCCTGAAAATCTACCACAGAGAAAGCAATTGGCTTTGAAAATTGAGAAATCTCTTTCAACGTATGGGTTTATTTCCGTGGTCAATCATGGTTTTGACATTGCAAAGTTGGAGTTTTTGAAATCCATTGCACAGGGTTTGCTAGAACTACCCTTTGAAGAACAAAAGAAATATCTCGCTGGTGCTTTGAAATCCGATCTTGAAGACAGGTCAACATCAGTAGGAGCTGAGAGAGGTGCGGGCTTTAAACCTAAAGGTTATTGGTCTATGAGGAATGGTGTTGAGGACTCAATTATACATTACAATTTCAATAACATGAATCATTCAATATTTTTCGATGAGGAGCATAATAATTACCCCGAGATTGTTAAAGATCATCTAAAAGAGATTGCTGAGTATTATAGATTTCTACATGGGGATACATTGAAAAAAATTTGCAACTTAGCGGATATCGTATTGGAGTTACCCGAGGGTTTTCTTTATGATAAATTTTATTCGGTTAAAGATAATGATTTTGATAGTTCTGGAGGTGGTGCAGGAAGATTTATGCTTTATGAAGCAATGGACATCGAGGATCAAAAAAAAGTCGACAATACCTGGCTTAGGGGTCATTCTGATAGTGGTGGATTCACATTTATTACTTCTCAGCCAATATTATCCTTGCAAATACGTGATTACTACACTGGAGAGTGGAATTATGTTGGTCACGCTCCAAACGGATTGATTGTGAATATTGGCGATGCAATGGAGTTTATCACCGGTGGGTATTTCAAATCTTCAATTCACAGAGTTGTAGCACCTCCTGATGACCAAAGTGGATATAAACGATTAGTTTTGATTTACTTTTCCAAACCTAAAAACACCTCCATCTTAGACCCGGAAGCAATAAACTCTCCAAAGTTGAACCGCTTGGGATATATCAAGCCAAAAGAGTGGGAAAAAATCAATTTCAATGCCTGGAATAATCAAAAGTCCCGTTTATTTGGTAAAAAGGCTATCAACGATACTACTAGCGAGGAGCCAAGGCTCGTATTATTGTACGGTCGTTTACATGAAAGATGGCATCAAGCTGAAACCAATTTCAGTTTAGAAGAAGCTACCAAAAGATTTGAAATACTCAAGGTTGATTTATAAGAAAAAGAAAAATGTGTCTATTCCATACATATATACTTTTATAATATGTTAGCTAGTAACGTAGAAATAAAATAAAAATTTATGGTAATATAGTCTAAGGTAGGCTTTGGCCTGGGGTGGCCTAAGTTTATTCAATCTAGAAGATATATTTGATTGCAGAGACCAAAAAGTTGACGGCCCAAATAAAGATGATTTTTCTGTAAGTTGCATTAGAAATAATCTTTGTAAAAGTGTTTTGAAGGAAACTTGTCTGGTTCAAAGCTGAAAACAATGAGTTTAAAGTTATAACACTATTGTCTATTATTGAAGTGGCCAATTTAACGACAAAGGCTTGACCATCGGAAGTAACCACCAAATCATCAATAATAGAAACCGCAAATCCCGAAGTGTTTAAAGATTGACAAATTGTCTCGACGTCTGCAACGAGGTTAAGTATACTAAGCAACGAGTCCCAGATTGATTGTTCAACTGATCCGAGTATATTGCCAATGAGATCTAGTATCAATCTTTTGAATATAGCTCCGTTTTTGTACAATGCAACAATAATATTCCACAAACCGGGCACTAGGGAGTAGTTTATAAAGAATCTCATCACAATAGAAACTGCTAAACCAGAGCTATCGGCTGCACTTAATAATGTTGTCAAAGTGTTGTGCTCAATATACTCTTCAATGGCTTTAATAGCCGTATTTTGTGTGACACTATTTGTGACTATTCCGTGCACGATTGTGACACCAGTGCCACTTTTGTTCAATGCTGTAAAAGCTGCAGTTAATAAGGCATTGTTGTCACGTTTCTGGGTACGATTTGCACCGGAGGCTTCCACTAATTGTTTCAAATATTCATCTATTTCCACGAAAACCTCATGACTTGGTTCTGTTGCTCTTTTGGCTACATCTTGAGTGGCCTGCTCCAAATCAAAAGTTTGAGCAAAAGTAAGACATAAGAAGAACAAAGAAAAGAGAGCGAATGAAAATCTCATTGTTTTATCAAATAACGTTTTTTTGATGGCTTATAAAAGCTTCCCCTTGTCTTTTTTTTTTAAAGTATTGAGTTCTTTTCTTTTTACCTTTCCTCTTTTTTTGACAATATGTAACTATTATATATCCATTTTTTAAGGTCTTGAACCGTCCAGATATAAATTATTTAAACTTCTTCGTAAAATAACTGTAATCGGAAAATGAGCCCAAATTACTCTTCTTAGGGGAGAATTAAACTTTGTAATATTGAGATGGAATGAGCATATACATTCGTATCGATTCTGATTATTCCGTATTTCGCTGTCTTAGATGGTTTTGTGTCATAAAACAAAACTTGTTTACCCCATAAGGAAATTTTTTATTTCTTTTGTTTCTTTTTTTTCTTTCATAACTGTATTCCCAATATAGTTTTAGTTTTAGTTTCAAGTTCAAGTATTTTGAGCAGCGACATCAGTAAACTACTAGGTTAGTTCTGGAGGAAAATCATCACTCTTACTTCCTCCCCCCTCCCTCCTCTGCCATAGCAAAAGTTCGTAACCATTACAACAAAACACCTGTTTTTTCTTGTGTTGTTCTTTTGCAAATGAGAAATGGGCTTTGGTGTTTACAAAAGGTCTTTTAAGATTTGGATTTGTTCAGGGACTATGACTATGACTATGAAAGAAGAAGGGAATCATTCTGCTCACTTTTTTCTTTAATCTAAAGTGTAAGTTTTTTTAAATTTAATGTGGCGTATTCTATTAAACACCACCATCAAAAGGAAATATTCCTCGTGGAAAAATTCTCCGTATTTGAAAAGTTTTCTGGGTATGGAAAGGACGCACGCTCTAGTCCTTTAGTGTTTAAATTCCATGTAAACAATGTTCTCCCCTCATCTCTCCACTTTCTCATTTTTCTGGTATACGACTTCTCTAGAAATGCATCACGTGATTTCTTCCTTAGTCAATAAAGTTAGGCTCATCACTTCTATACCTTCAATATACTCAATGTAGATTCTATATGGTTTTGTCTTATAGGTGTATTATTGTGTTTCTGGAAAAATGCCTGGGTTGGATTGGTAGCGAAAAATTGTTTTCTTTTTGCAACCTTTTCATAATTTTTCTTTTTCTCATATCATTTAAAATATCTTGCTTATTCACCAGTACCCCCTCTCCCCCTTCGCGTACATACACACACGCACACATATTCTCTCTCTCTATATATATATATATTTATTTGTATCAGACTACAGGTCTTGATCATCATCTTCACTCGTGAAAAGCGTTACAATTAATGCAAAAAAGCATACACATCCCAATAACCACCAACTAAGCCCTCCGTACCCTTTTATATCAGAAAGTGTCATCACATAACCCCATATTAGAGGCGATATAAACCGGGCTAATGCTGTCACGGAAATAGTATATGAATTTATCAATGCGCGGTTCTTTTTTCGGGTAGCACAATGAATCAATAAAGTCAATTGTGACATATTCATCGACCCGATGAATGCTATGATATACCCGTTTATGTATAGTAAGCACTTTGATAGATTTTGACTAGTGTGGCTGTATTCGGGAATTGTAAACACCGTTAGTGGTAGGAGCACGTACATCACCGGCATTAATGCCAATCCACAGCGAAAGGCATGTAGGAGCGAAAAGTGTTTACTAATTACAGGGAATAGTAGGCTCACCAGAACAACACTTAATATACCGGTCAGCGAAAGTAGGTTCCCAATTGCTTCAGTTGTAAGACCAAAGCCTCCTTTCATCTTAAAGGGAAAGATAAGTGACTTTGCATCGACTTTTTTGGCGAGGAAAACAGGTAGGAATTCTGCATAAATGACATTCTGAAAGGATAGTAGGAAATTGCATGTAATTCGAAGGATAATTGGCCGGGTTACTATAGAATCCTCTACTACTATGACAGGAGCTTGTTGAGTGCTATTATCGTTGTTGAGCAGTTCCATTTCGTAATCTTCTTCATCTGAGATTGACATTAGGCGAGCTTCACTCTCGTCCTTGAGATGCCAAGGTCGGTCTAGAGTTTCAAACCTACACAACTGTCTGATCTTGTCTCCAACGTCCAAACCGATATCTCTCTTTCGTTTTATGTCATCATGAGTCTCTTCAAGAAAAAGCCAACCAAGGATAATGAAGCAAAAAATTAGTGACGCAACCACTATATTGGAAAATGCAAATGGGTATTTATCGAACAATCCATTTTCCTTCTTCTCGTCAAGATCTCTTTTGTAATCCCTATAATGATCAACATCTGTCAATTTTCCAGAGAGGTAATATCCAATAGCTTTTCCAAGGGACCAAATAAGCGATAAATTAGAAAAAGCAATACCTTGGTGTCTTTTCGCTACGGCTATTTCACCAACGGTTGTTCTCATTATTGAAACATTCCCGTTCAATAGCCCCATCATGGTTCTTGCAATTAAGGCCATATAAAAATTAGTACTAAATCCAAAAACAATCATGGAAATAGCTGTTCCCAAACAACCTAATAGTATAGTTGGTTTTCTTCCGTATTTGTCAGATGCTTTTCCCCATTGTACTGCACTTACAAATTGACTTAGTGAAAACGCCGAGGCCAAGTACCCACTGTACTTTGATACTTCAGCGTCGTTTTTCGCTATTCGGAAACTTTTAATCATAAAGAAAATATATGACAAAAAACTAGAAAATGCAATGGGCTCGGAAAGTCTTAAAAGACCGATTATTAACATTTGAAAAATCGGAAACCCCGAAAGTTGATCTCGAATAGAGTGTCGAGTGCTCATTTTCTTATCAATTTTTCGTTTTGGATTTCTTGGTTGGAAAAGTATGTGTTAGAGAAGGAGAGCAAAGAAAGGCATTTCATGTAGCATTTCATGTAACATTTTCTCAACTTGATCTAGAAGATTGACCCGATGCAAGCTTTTGTCTTTTTAAATTGAGAACAACACGGAATTGATGCCACACAGATAATGTAATATATACTAAAAAAAAATCGCATTGCTACTAAAGACGTTGAGCATAGTAAGCAAAACCAACGTTTTCAATCGCTCTACTATGATATGTGTGTACTCTAAACTTAGTTTGGTTAATACTCGCACCCAATAACTTCCTACAGGTCAATTCAACGGGGGCTTGGCCGATAAAAATCGGGATCTCTCGGATATTTTTCCGATATATCAATCGGATAGCTATTAGTTTCCAATTCTAAAGTATTAGATGTGTCAAAGAAAAAAAGAAAAAAGGAAAAAGAAATGGCTAAAATATTACAAGCGAGATTAATTACATGACACTATCGAGCGAAGCGAGCTAGTGGAGCAACACTTGGTTGCTTGTTACGACACTACCAACACTTAGTCAGTGCTGCCCCATAGATGTTAAATAAAAAGAAGAAAAAAAATAAATTATTCCTCTCTTGCTTGATCATATAGTAACACAGTCCTTAGTAATACTTGGAAGCCATTTTCAACTTCTTCAGGTGAAGAGTATTCCTCGGGAGTGTGAGAAAGGCCGTCTTTTGAAGGAATGAAAATCATTGATGTAGGCACTCTTGTACTTGTAAAACATGAATCATGTCCTGCACCACTCACAATCTCTCTGATTTCATTTTCGTTGAATAGTTGTAATGCTGCCTTCTTCACTGTATCGATGTTGTTCTGGTTGAATTTAATCGCCTTTGATGTAGTGATATTGTGAAAATCAACAGTTAATGGTTTAGCAAATGTTGAGCCGATTCCTGTATTAGCAATGTGCGTTGCTTTTGATTTGATTTCGGTCATTATTCCCAGAAGCGCTTCATCTTCCACGTGTCTCACATCCAAGGTGAACTTAACAATGTTGGGTATTACATTGACGGATGATGGCTCTAAATTCAACGTACCTATAGTGGCCAATCCGCCCAGTCTTTCCGCAGTCTCAATAGCCATGAGTATAATTTTAGATGCAGTTACTAATGCATCAGACCTAGTGTTCATTGGTGTAGTACCTGCATGTGAAGATCGGCCAAAAACAGTAACCATGTTCCATTCAAATGCTTGCCCTCCTACAACAACCCCGATTTTCTTACCTTCTTGTTCCAAAACGGGACCCTGTTCAATGTGGAGTTCAAAATGGCACGCCAATGGATTGGATTGATAGGATGCAGGCACCTTGCCAGCATACCCGATTCTTGAAAGTTCCTCGCCAAAGACCTTTGGTGTATCATCTATGGACTTCAAGGCCAAACATGTTTCTAATGGAATTTTCTCAGCCCATACTCCGCTCGCAACCATACTCATTGGGAACCTTGCACCTTCTTCGTTTGTCCAGTTTACCAAAGCAATGGGAAAGTTTGGAACAATATTGTTCTCTTTGAGTGTTCTCAACACCTCAAGACCACTCAACACACCTAATATTCCATCATATCTACCTCCACTGGGCTGAGTATCCAAATGAGAACCAATTCCTGTAGGCAAACCTTTGTTTTTACTAGGATAAATAGCAAAGATGTTACCTACTTGATCTATTTTGATAGTACAGCCTAAATCGCTAGTCTCCTTAACAAACCAGTCTCTCACGCATTTATCTAGATCTGATAAGGCTAATCTGCATACCCCAGTTTGAGAAGCTTCCTTACCCCAGACTCCTTTTGCTCCCCACTTTGCCGTTTCGTGAATGGTTTGCACAAGTCTCCCCTTTTGCGTTTTGATCAGTTCAAAGTCAATAGCACCTGTCATTTAGTGGATTTGATAAAAAGCAATGTTTAACGTTTGTTTGACCTGTGGGAGAGACATATCGATCTGTAAATATAATCACCTAAATATACACTATGATATGCAAATAAAAAGTGAAAAATTTTGAAAAATTTAGTTATCTCTAGGCGCAAAAATACTAAAGAGACTAAGCGGCTAAGGGGAGAAGGAAAGAAGAGGAGGGGTAGTAGCTATACCCGCTAAGATCTAAGATATAGGTGACTCCACAATAAAAGAAATAAAAAAAAAAAAAATATCTATATTCAAAATAATGATAAATGCTCTTACATGACTATGCTTTTGCGTTTTACATAAGTTATCAGTATTTTAAAGCAGTTGTCCTCTTGTATATAAATATGCAACGCAATGCCAAAAAAAAGAGACATTTTCATTGACATCCAACTAAGCATAGACAATGGCACCGACTTCAACCCAACCAGATTTGACAGCTACTTCAAGAGGATACCAATTTGGTGAAAGGGGATCTCATAACATTTCGCTTGGAGGTCCACATCCTTACCGAAGGGTAACTTTTGAAAATCCTTTAGATGCAAGAAAACATATGCTTGAACATGGAGCTGCTGTTTTTCGAGTTTTTGCTCGTAAAGGATATGATGAAGGAGAAGCAGGGCATTGCTCATTACGTGACCCAATTGATCCTGATACGTTTTGGATTAATCCACTTGGGGTTCATTTTGGACTCATTAGAGCAGAGGACTTGGTCCATGTTACCGAAGAAGGTGAGATTTTGCCTGATGGCAACCAAGCTCCTATAAATGCTGCCGGTTTTGCAATTCACTCATCATTACATAAAGCTAGACCAGATGTCAATGCCGCGTGTCATTGTCACTCCATATATGGGAAAGCATATAGTGCGTTTGGAAAAGAGTTGGAAATTATTAATCAAGATTCTTGCATGTTTTTCAAGAATCAAGCCGTTTATACGGATTTTGGCGGGGTTGCTTTAGAGAAGGATGAAGGGCTGGCTATTGCTAAAGCGGCTGGTTCTGCTAATGCTATTATTTTACAGAATCATGGGTTATTGACACTTGGTGAAACTATTGATGGTGCTGCTTATTTGTTTACATTGATGGAGAAATCGTGTCAGGTTCAATTATCGGTTGATGCTGCTGTTTCAAAAGGGAATCCTAGGATATTGATACCTGAGGAGGAAGCTAGTTATAGTGCTTTTGTTACTAATGACCCTGATACTTTATATGCTGCCTTCCAAGCTGATTACAACTACCAATTGAAGTTGTCGAATGGCGACTTTTTGTTTGCAAAGTGAAGGGGGAGGAGCAAGAATCAAATGTTTAACCTTTAATAACGAGAGACTAGAAGTGTGGTTCGAGAAACGGGCACATACTCTGGTATTTCTACATTCTCTACATTCTCTCGATTAGTGTTGGATTACGTCTCAGTAGAGTTAAATTCTTTTCTAGGAGATGCAACAAAAATTTCGCAGCCAAATCACAAAGCCGAAAAAAAGAAAAAAAATATTAATAGGACACTATCGGCACTATCGAGCAGAGCGAGATAGTGGAGCATCACCAGCTGCCACCGACGCTATCGAGCAAAGCGGGATAGTGGAGCTGTATTTACAAGCTTGCTGCAACACTGGGGACACTGGATGTCGGCAGTACTTACAAGCTTGCTACAACACTGGGGACAACACTGGGGACATTGGATGTTGGTATAGTCAGTGTGCTCCACTATCTCGCTCTGCTCGATAGTGTCAAAAATAATCCTTAATTACCATTTCTTTTTTCATTCTTGGTGCAACCACACATGTATATTCATGTTATCGTAGTATAGTGTAATAACGGAAAAAGACTTTATAGGCAGTCGAAACAAGACAACAGATGAAAAAAGTAACAGGTTGCTTACGAAGAAGTTTATGAAAAAAATGAGTATATATCAGATATTTTCAAAAGTACATTTGGTAGCTCGCGATTTCCTATTTGTAAGTTTTGAGCCAGCTAACTTTTTAAAAAAAAAGGGGATAGTGGAAAGCTGGCTGTTGGATGTAAAGCCGGGTGGCTGATATTAAAAAGAGGTATTAGTCGGATGTAGAGCCTGGTGGCTGATAGTGGAAAGCTGGTTGTTGGATGTAATGAATGGCTGATAGTGGAAAGCTGGTTGTAGGATGTAATGGATGGCTGATAGTGGAAAGCTGGTTGTAGGATGTAATGGATGGTTGATATTAATAGAGTTGTTAGTTGTTTAATTTTGGCTGGCATTCATTGCCAAATTAAGTTAAAAATAATTACTATAATTTTCCGACTCTGATCTTGATAAATATGCAATAGTGCTTAGATTATAAAGAGACGCTATTAACTACATAATCTAAATGGTTACCAGAAATGAATATATCTATTTTTGGATACTAATTTGTGACACTATCGGCACTATCGAGCCAAGCGAGATAGTGGATCAGCACTGTTTAGCAGCACTATGGGGCAGCACTGTTTAGCAGCACTATGGAGCAGCACTGTGTAGCAGCACTGACTACACTATCGAGTAACACTATCTCGCTCTGCTCGATAGTGTTGAAAGCAACTTTATTTATCCTTTACATTTGCACTCTTTACATTTACATATTTACTTGCAATTACGACAAAATCAGACAGACAGACAAAAGAATAATAAATAGATAGGGCGCTAGCATGAAAAAAATAATAAAGCTTTCAAAGAAAGATACTTTTATATAATGGCAATCATATAAACAAGTGTGTATAGGTAACAAGGTACCTCACGGCTATAGAGTAAAGTTCTTTCCCCCCCCCAGAGGCGTTGTAGAGAATTTATAATATTATGTATATGTACTGGTTACTGGTTACTGGTTACTGGTTACTGGTACTGGTTACTGGTTACTGGTTATTGGTACTGGTTACTGGTTACTGGTTACTGGCTAGCAGTAGCTACTACCTGTTGCGTATCTAAGAAACATTAGTGTAGTAGAACTTCCCTTTGTCAATTAAGAAGGGAATTTCATCCTGGCAGTCCAAACGGAAAAAAAAATGCTCTTTTTTAAAGTTTAGTTGCCCACTTATTGTGAGCTTTGTGAGCTCATTGACACATTTTAATATTTCGTTAGATTTCACATCAGACTCTTACATATTAGACTCTCACAGATTTATTGTTATAGTATTTAAATTTTCATTATAACTTTGGCACCCTTATTCAATTTTGTTCAGCTTAAAAAAAAAGAGAGCCGAGTAAGATCAACTTGAGTAGACTATTAGCAATCTATTCCTTTTTGTTTTTTTCCACATAATATACCAGTACCATTTGCATTACCCAGGTAATATACCAATACCCTTTGCGTCACCCAGGTAAAATACCAGTACCACCTGTATCACCCAGGTAAAATACCAATACCACCTGCATCATCTTCACACGATAAACGATAACGGGACTACATTTCGACATCTCAATCTATTTGTCCTAGCCGATCAGTCCAACGTCTTGGATCTCCATTTCATTCGCTTTTAATTATATTCACTCGCTTATCGCCAACAGTCGTCAACCCATAATTGATCTAAGGATGAATATAGACTTCAGTTTGCCCACTCAAAACTTTACCGACTCCTCACCAAGGATACACCAAAGGTCTTTCTCGTCGGTTTCGGTGCCTACTCTTGATAACGACATTAATCATCATCAGCTTATATCACCTAATCCAAACTCATTTATATTGAATAGTGACAATAGTCACCAATCTAGCGCATTCCCACCGGTTGATTTATTGGACTTGTTGCAATCGAATTTAGACGATATTGATACCTTCAAACCACGGCCACCTTATTTGCAAACTCCAAAATCAGCCATTAGTCCCAGTTTCAATCAACCTTTTATGGGGTCAAACTTTTCAAACAACAACACTCCTACAATTGCCCAAATGGGTACTTTCAACACCTCCTCGACCAATGTCAATCATATACCCACTTCCCAATTTTCACCGATTACTCCAAATGTACTAAATTTTAAACCAGCTTATAGTATGAGTAATTTAAGTGAACCAATGTTGAAAACTCCCAATTCAATGATGTCTAAGAATTATTCACCACTGCAATTCACCTCACCAACAGCTCAAGCACACGCACACGCACACTCAAATGCCCACGCACAACTTGCATCATTGTCGTCAACAACGACAACTTCAATTAGTGAAAGGAATGGTTCAATAGTAGACCTTGTTGCTTTGGATCCATATGAACCACTGATCCAACATCAAGTACCACTAGCACCAGCACCGCCACATATCTCACAGCAGATCCCACATCAACAACAGCATTTCCAAGTGCAACTGATAAATGATACCTCTTCGGCTGCTAAATTTTTTCAACAACAAAGTGAGTTTGCTCAATATCAACAGGAAATAGATAACGCTAGTCGTATTAAATTCCGATCAGAGCTGAATTTACAGCTACAGTTTAATTTCCATCAACAAAGCGAAAAACAACAGCAGCAACAACAGCAACAGCAGCAGCAACAGCAGCAACAGCAACAGCAGCAACAGCAACAGCAACAGCAACAGCAACAACAGCAGCAACAGCAACAACAACAGCAACAGCAACAACAACAGCAACAGCAACAACAACAGCAACAGCAACAACAACAGCAACAGCAACAACAACAGCAACAGCAACAACAACAGCAACAGCAACACTTGAACTTTGCAGAAAAGAATGAAACTTTAAAACAACTTGATTCAAAGCCCAAAAGAAAATCAAGTTGTAAACCTGTTAACAGGAATAAAAAGAAGAAACAAAGTCCAAACTCGTCATTCTTACAATTGAATGAATTAAATGGTCATCCTGAAGAAAAAGATACCAATAATGAAAAATATCAATTCATTCCATCTGCTTCTAGGCAGTCTGATGATTCACCAACAACAATTGAAGCCTTGAGTCCACAATCTTCTAATGAAGATGAATTGGGAATAACTACTTCAAACACCATAATTACTGCTGAAGAATTGTTAAGTACTGACTTTTTTGACTCAAAGCCAACTTCTGCAGCGGCAGTAGTAGAAACACCAGCACCTGCAGTGGTGACACCAGTAGCAGCAGCAACACGTTCATTTGCCACGAAATCAACTAACGATTTGCTTACTGAATTTGTGGATTTAGATTACGATGAGGAAAAGAACAATCTACGTTTTATTGACGATGATCAGACAATTTTCACAATCACATCTCAGACTAATACAAGACAACCACAAACTCATAAAAGAAACACTTCTATGGCATCTTTGTCAAAAAAGAAAAAACCAGCATCCCACTCAAATTCAACCACTACGTTCATCATGAACCCTAAACTACAATGGTCAGAAAATCAAACTACATCAACAACTACGTCTACTAGCGCGTCGTCTACTGCCCAACTACTGCTGCTGCTGAGAAAAACAAGCTCATCAAACATCACTAGTAATGGACATTTAGAAATGATTAAAAGTATGCCCGTATTTGCATTGACTAACCATTACTCATTTATTTATGAAAATGTGGACTCAATATACCTGGATGATGCAAATAGTAAGGAAGAAAAACAACTGCCGACACAGGAAATAGGAACAAAGGGTAAAAATGAAAAAGCTTCAGCTAAGAATTTGCCTTCCTATAACTTGCAATCCAGTTTGGTTGAATTTCAACTTGATTTGAAAAAATGAATTGCATAATTAGGGTTAATGGACGATATATATTTAATTCTTTATAGGTACTTTTAATATTTTTAGTGAGATCTATCGAGCGGAGCGAGATAGTGGAGTACACTGACTAATGGGTTTGATTGCGTAATTGAACAAGGAGGGTAAAAACTATCGAGCGAAGCGAGATAGTGGAGCAGCACTTACTACACCGACACTATCGAGCGACACTAAAAGAGTCACAGGGAGTAATGGGTCTAGTGGTAACTGCTAATTCCAGCAAGTTCAATGTCTTAAAGCCACTTTTTTTTTAACTATCTACAGTAATTGAATTGAATTTGAAATATGTTTTCAACACTTTATCGAAATACAAAAGAAAAAAAAGAGATTAACTGCTGAATAAGTACTCTTTCCCTATTACAACCCTATCGAGCAGAGCGAGATAGTGGAGCAACACTCTGTAGCTTGTGACGACACTATCGAGCAGAGCGAGATAGTGGAGCAACACTGACTAGCTTATTACAACCCTATCGAGCAAAGCGAGATAGTGGAGCAACACTGACTAGCTTATTACAACCCTATCGAGCAAAGCGAGATAGTGGAGCAACACTGACTAGCTTATTACAACCCTATCGAGCAAAGCGAGATAGTGGAGCAACACTGACTAGCTTATTACAACCCTATCGAGCAAAGCGAGATAGTGGAGCAACACTGACTAGCTTATTACAACCCTATCGAGCAAAGCGAGATAGTGGAGCAACACTGACTAGCTTATTACAACCCTATATCACTAGTCGCCCTCTATCATTTTCATTCAAAGCACTCTTTTCATTCAAAGCATCTCTTTTCATTCAAAGCACTCTTTTTATTCAAAGCATCTCTTTTCATTCAAAGCACTCTTTACAAGTCTTTATCCCTAGGCACATAATCCTTTGTCAAAATAGGCTGATGTCTAAACCTGTCCGTTATTGAAATTTTTCCTTCGTTGTTGTATGCCCACATCGTCAATGCTACAGGTATGATACCCATCATCAAAATATTAAAAGCAGCTGATTTTGGTTTGAAACGAAAGTACGTGCCGAGTTTTTCCTTCGCCGTATTGAATTTCTGTAATTCTCTATCTGGATGTAATGTTCCTGCCATTGTATATAGCTATTTATCTATTCGTGTGCCTATATAGATATAGAGGGTAGAAAAGTTGATGGGGTCAATTGAATACTGTTTAATTGGTGAAAGAGAATTTTATGCCAAAAATGGGAATTGTCGTGAAAAAAGGAACAGTAGTGCTGGAAACCATTTTGCGACACTTACCAGAAGAAAAAAAATGTCAACAAAGGAGATACTGAGAGATTGCAAAAAACTAGCTATAATAGATTTCATAAGTATTCTAGTAGCTGTATAGAGAGAGAGAGAGAGAGTTTGTGTGTGTGTGTGTGTGTGTATGAGATGAGCAGTGGCACGCCGGATAAGTTATCAAGTGTTCAGGATACGCGAACGGCGGCATTGGTTACTGAGCATTTTGGGTTTAGTCCTATAAAGATAGTTGACGATGTAATCAATGCGATAGACAGTATAACAATAAAGGGAGTAGAAGCATTTGAGAAGTTTCTTTTGGATCTACATAGTGAGGGTAAATTCCCTTCCGAGGTTACTGTTGATGATATTCATAAGGGCACGGCGAAATTGGAGCTGTTGATTCAGAATAAAATTGACTTTAGTTTTGATAAATACGAATTATATTGTTTAAGAAATATTTTCAATATACCGCAAAATTTGGTTAATAAAGGTCTCGTTAGATTAAAGCACCATGAACGAACAGATTTTAGTGGTATCAAAGGGAAACATCAGGCGAAGTTGGAATTCGATAGGGAAGTGACTAAGTTGTATGATAAAATCGAGGTAGAATTATATCAAAGAAAGATTATCAAATTACAAATTAATAAAGCTGAAAAGATTGTTAAATATTTGAGTTTTATAAGGGACAATTTATCAGTCTTGAATGAGAAAGAAACAATACAACGAAACACTGGGGAGCGAAGCGAGCTAGTGTTGCATGACAGTCACCAACAGAACTCGTCAGCAGTAGTCTCTATAAAAGAGATTTATCAAAACCTAGAACCAATTGCTCAAACTATGGAATTTTTGCATAGACAATTGCATGAAATAATGACTAATGTAGAGAGCTTGAGTAGGAGATTGGATGACGATATTGCAAGGGATAAGATACTGATAAATTCTAGTGCTAGAGACCAATTTATTGAGAATAAAAGTAGGAGAATACTACAGAAATTGAATTTGCTGAATATAATGGGAGGAGAAGAACAGCCAAAATCAGTTGATGATATGGATATTGTGTCAATAAACGCAACCGAGGTTTCTGACCTCAACGAGGTTGCAAAGAACGTGTAGGTAGGGTGAAATTGAAGGACTTGTTTTGTTTTTATAGGGGGAAACCTGGTATTAGTGTAGATGGCAGGTGGTTTTGAAGTTGAAGGACTTGTTATTGGAAGACTTGGTATTAGACAGTAAGAGGATTGGTAGCGCACTCAAGTTACACAAATTTTTATTTTTACTTTTTTTCCTTTTTTGTTTTTCATTCTACTTTAAGAATTGAATAAGAATATACTACTTTATATAGTTGACCAACCAATAAAATCAAAGATGAGAGACACTATAGAACATAAGAAGAAGACCCAACGGGATGCGGCAAGTACTTATAAGACGCGTGCTCGAAATATCACGAATTTACACGAATTACTACCGGGCTTGAACGATATAAGTGATGCTTTTGAAGCATTACCACTAGATATTGTTAAATACTTTACACTTTTGAAAGAAATTGACGCCAAATGTATCAATACGGTTCCTCAAATCAACACTCGTATCAAATCATATATTGACAGCTTGCATAACTCCAAGAAACAGCAGCAGACAGAAACCAGCCCTCAGGAGAAACTCAAGGAAACGCATCAATTAAGTATCATTAAGAATAAGATCAATGAAATCATTCCGTGTTTGGAAGAGAAAATGCACGTTACTTCCGTTGCCACTGATTTATTGAATAAGCATATGTATAGAATTAACCAGGACTATAAGTTGATTATCCAGAATAATGAAATACCTGAAAATGTGCGAATTGGACCATTGATTCATCCGGCGATGATTTTGGATTCAACACATGGATTTAAAGACGGTAATGGTGAGCGAACAACTGGCGGCGGCGGAGGTAATAATCAAGGCACGGGGAACCTGGGGCACAATGGAAATAGTTCACAAACTCAACGTAGTGAAAGCAGAAGAGAGGTTTTAGCTGCTCGGAAAGCAAACAAGGAGGATGATAGAGATGGAACGGTTAGCGGGTCGAATTCAGGAAGGAAGAAGAAAATCAAAGAGCAAACCCCATTGGAAACGAATGAAGGTAAAACTAGTGGGAATGAAAGCAAGAAGAGGGGTAGAAATGATGACCGAAACAACAACAACAACAATAACAGTAATAACAGTAATAACAGTAATAATAATAATAACAGCAGCGGCAACCACAGCAACAGTAATAGCAATAGCAATAACAATAGGAACAACAGCAATAACAACAATAGTAGTAGTAGTAGTGGTGGTTCAAAAAAGAAGTTGAAAAAACTGGAGATTAATACAGACGATGAAGTGAAAGAAGAACAAGTGAATGGCATGTCCAATTATAATAGTAATAGCAACAACAATAAGAAGAATGCAATGACATCGATTGAGAAACCAAGAAGTGGTGCAGGAGGCGGCGGTGGTGGTGGCAATGAACCTACATATTGTTACTGCAACCAAGTTTCCTTTGGTGAAATGGTAGGATGTGATGGAGAAGACTGCAAACGTGAATGGTTTCATTTACCATGTATTGGGTTTAAGAACCCGCCAAAGGGGAAATGGTATTGTGACGATTGTATTATTAAGATGAAGAAACCTAAAAGAATGTAGGTCTGTTGTTTTGTAGAAAAATAAGAAAGAGAGAATCAACTTACTAGAAGAGTGGGTATTTGTTAAGAAAATGATTAGTTATCTGATGTAGGTTGAGTGTTATAGATCAATTAACGTAACGTAAGTTAATCTCAAGGCAGTAATTTGTGTTTTATATTTTTTGATGACCAAATTGACAGGGACACTTGGCCTCTTGGTCTCATCAGAAAGTCAAGGTACTGTTACAAGCTGTTAGTGTGTATTAGTATAATGATTACCATAGATAAACTCTTTTTGTTCCAGTACAAGCTATATTAGTATGGCTGAGCTAGAGGTGTTACTTTCTTTTTTATTTTTGCCGCTATTTTTTCAGATTAGTTTTATTTCTTTGTATGGGAAAGAAAAGCTGATACTTTGTTTCACTTTGAAAGAGGCAAGTTTAGTGGTGATAATGGTGTGAATGGAAACAAACGTTGCATCTACTATTTAGACACGCTAAAAAGAGTAATCTATGTAAAAGACTAAAACTGAGTGATAATCTTGATGGTACTAATTAAGTAAAACTCTTGATGAAACTAATTGAATAAAACTCTTGATGAAATTAAGTAAAGAGACTCTTTTACAGCTACACATATTCTGATGCCACAATTGTTTTTAATTTTGTTTTCTTTCTTGTCCTCTGCATTGGTGTCTTTCTTGTCCTCTGCATTGGTGTCTTTCTTGTCCTCTGCATTGGTGTCTTTCTTGTCCTTTGCATTGGTTTCTTTCTTGTCATGTGCATTTTTTTCTTAATTGGTGCTCGTTTGTTACATTTGTTAGGACATCGTGAGGATTAGCTATTTAATAAAGGCAGGTTGAGTAATTCAAAATTTCTCAAAATAGATATACCTTGAAGTAGTTTTGTTACTCTATGTTGCCTTTTCACTACCATCACAGTGGGCCATGAAAGCTGCTTAACCATAGGGACAATCTCACTTGTTTAGCTGTAAAAGACAACATTTCTACTGAAGAGACAATCTCACTTGTTTAGCCGTAAGAGATAACATTTCTACTGAAGAGACAATCTCACTTGTTTAGCCGTAAGAGATAACATTTCTACTGAAGAGACAATCTCACTTGTTTAGCCGTAAGAGATAACATTTCTACTGAAGAGACAATCTCACTTGTTTAGCCGTAAGAGATAACATTTCTACTGAAGAGACAATCTCACTTGTTTAGCCGTAAGAGATAACATTTCTACTGAAGAGACAATCTTACTTGTTTAGCCGTAAGAGATAACATTTCTACTGCTTAGCCGTAAGAGATAACATTTCTACTGCTTAGCCGTAAGAGATAACATTTCTACTGCTTAGCCGTAAGAGATAACATTTCTACTGCTTAGCCGTAAGAGATAACATTTCTACTGCTTAGCCGTAAGAGATAACATTTCTACTACTTAGCCGTAAGAGATAGCCTTTTTCTTTTTGGTCATACAAAAATAAAAGTATTTTTCTACTCCTTAGCCATAAGAAACAACCTTTCCACTGTTTAGGCAAAAGAGATACTTTTTCCACTGCTTAGTCATAAGAAAAACTTAAAGGGAGAGAATTTACCCTCCTTGCTATACTCCACTATCGAGCAGAGCGAGATAATGGAGCAGTAGCTTGTTACAAACTATCAGACACTATCTCGCTCTGCTCAATAGTGTTGTAATAAGCTACTGCTCAATAGTGTCGATAGTATTGATCTATCTACTATCGGCTAGACTCGTTTCCACTCGTCTAGTCTCTCTCCACTATCTCTGCTCGATAGTGTAAAGTGACTGTATTGTATCTTTGTCGTAGCTATGCCTCGCATATTTTCCGTCGACCCCCCCCCCCCCCCCCCCCCCATCTCAATTTGGCTTTATTTTCTCCCATTCAGCAAAAAACAGAATTGATTACACAAAAACTTCCCTAGAAACAAGCATTTCCAATCACAGTTGGAAACAGAGGAGGTTTTCTATTATAGCCAAGTTTCATTCATCATTGGTATCGAGAAAAAAGATTTATACATAAAGATTTATTTGTATTGACCTTTTTCTTTCTTTTTTTTTTTCCAATAGGCTAATATAGTGTATGTATACAGGTATTGGTAGATTTGTTTGAGAATAACAGTATATACTATTACCAAAAATAGATAATGTTGAGGGAATATAAGTTGGTCGTTGTTGGTGGTGGTGGTGTCGGTAAGTCAGCTCTAACAATCCAGCTTATTCAGTCGCATTTTGTCGATGAGTATGATCCAACTATCGAAGACAGTTACAGAAAACAGTGTAATATAGATGGCCAACAAGTGTTATTGGATATCTTGGACACTGCAGGGCAAGAAGAGTACTCGGCAATGAGAGAGCAATACATGAGAACTGGTGAAGGGTTCCTTTTGGTTTACTCAATAAACTCAAGAAACTCTCTTGAAGAATTGCAATCTTTTTACGAGCAAATACAGAGAGTCAAAGATAGTGATCACGTACCTGCCCTAGTTGTAGGGAACAAGTGTGATTTAGAAATGGAGAGACAAGTTAGCTACGAAGAAGGGTTGGCCTTGGCTAATCGTTTCCACTGTCCCTTCTTGGAAACTTCTGCAAAGCAAAGAATTAATGTTGAAGAGGCGTTTTTCGATTTGGTGAGATTTACCAGAGACACTGAAGCTGCTTTGAACCAGCAACGAGAGGAACAACAAAATAGAGAACGGAATTCACAAACACAGGGTCAACAACTGCATCAACTGCTGCAACAACAACAACAACAACTGCTGCAACAACAACAACAACAACAACAACAACAACAACCGTTGGGGGGTATGGGAGTTGGCAATTCACCGCCGAAACCAGTGCATAATAGTTCAAGCGGAGCTAATGGGCTCGGTGGTTCGGGACAAGGACTGCAGCAACAAAATCTGTCAAAAGGAGGTGGTGGTAATAGGAAAGCCAATTCACGAAACCAGCAATCAAAAGCTTCATCTCTGGAAAAATCGAAATCAGGTTGTTGTGTCATTGCTTAAACTAAAAAGCCTCATCTCTGGAAAAATCGAAATCAGGTTGTTGTGTCATTGTTTAAACTAAACATAGCTAACAGCCTATTATGCCCTTCCCACTTTCTCAACATCATGCTTATCCCTCCCCGCCTCTCTCTCCCACAAACACACACTATAAATGGTTTTCAAATTTGACTTTATATATTGATCCAAAATTATCAACTACAATCTCATTTATTCCATATCATTCTACTAGCATTTGCCTTTTGGCTTCCTGCTACCTTTCTATTTAGTATACAACAAAAAGTTTGCTTTCTTTTCCTGTTTTCCTCATATTTCTTCTTTTATTTTTTTGATTGATCCATTCTCTATAAGCGATTTGATCAATTAATAAAATGAATAACAATGAAATGCAAAATCAAACTGGCAAATAAAAAATCAGCAAATGCTCTCTCTGGTGTGATACTCTCAAATATCCTTTCTTTTTCCACGATTTTCGCTTCAACGACATCAATCTCTTCAATTTCTCCCTTGTTGTCAATGACAATATCGATTTCTTCTTCAGTGGTTTCCTTTTTAGTTTGGCCATCGTTGATTTGTAACCTCAAACTAACCAAAAGTACAAATTGTCCAACACATATAGCGAACCCACCCAAAAATGCATTGAATGGGAAATTACCAATCAATAAAACATAAATAAACTGTAAAACACCCAAAGCTACAAGGAAAACGAGGAAAATGTCAATCAATTTGAGTTTCGGCGTGAGTGTGCTAAAATAATCATTAATTGTAGTATTTAAAGCCTGTTTCAATTCGTGAATAGTAGAAATTATCGGCTTGGGTGCAAGAGAGATATTGCTCTCATGAGAAGATCCGGCTCTGGATGCTTTCTGGGCCTGTGCTTTCTTTATAGCTACGTTGTTCTTCGCCATGGTGTCGAATATCAATTTACAATTAGTATTAATAGATGGAATAAAGTCAAGTTTTCCACGTTTTGAGTATTTTTCAATGTCATTAGAGAAAAGGGAAAAAAAAAATTAAGACGTACTAATAATACCTCACTTGAGTTTCTCCAAGAGTCCTTTATATATATATATATATCGTGTAGGTGTTTGTTTGTGTTTGTGGTGTGTGGTTATGCTTGACCATGACTACGGAACAACCTGTACCGAGAGACGATCCTTTAAGATCAGATGTGATTGACAGTGTTGCGGTAGAGACAGATACAAGCCAGTCGCTGCAGGTACTCTATCAACAATACCAACAGAAGCAAAGCGCAGTACAAGAAGATACGCCGCTGCAAACGTCATCCACTAATTTCCACAAGATCACCGAACCGCCAACGCTACGAATCATTCCGCCATTAAACTTTTGTCCTGTTGAAAAGCAATTGTACCGCTCGGGCCAGCCATCAATGATCAACCAATCCTTCTTGAACCAACTCAATCTCAAAACAATTCTTTGGCTAGCTTCAGAAGAGCCAAATGACGAGTTTTTAGACTATTGCGCCGAGCAAAACATTCAGGTTGAGTTTGTTACGGGGATGACTGATTTTGAATACGACAAGTTACTGCAACATCCCCATCATCATCATCAAATAAACCCATGGGATTCTCTTAATGAATCAACAATAACCAAGGCGCTTGAGCTAATCATGGATAAAGGGAATTACCCTATGCTTGTATGTTGTGGAATGGGAAGACATAGAACAGGTACAGTGATTGGGTGTTTGAGAAGACTACAAGGTTGGAATCTAGCTAGTGTGAGTGAAGAGTATAGAAGATTTACCGGATCTAGAGGAGGAAGAATTTTGGTTGAATTGTTGATTGAAGGGTTCGATGTGGGAAGTGTAAGGATTGATATTGAGAAAGCGCCGGAGTGGTTGAGAATGAAGTAAGGAATACCATAAGATAAGATGAAATAAATAAAAAATAAAAAATAAAAAAGACCAGCAACCATACCCGTGTGTATTAGCGAAAATAGACTTGATAGGGATGTAAAATACATTTATCAGGGGTCATACCTTGAATATTGATTCTGATTCTGATTCTCAGAGAAAAAATACATCTATTGAACAAAATCAACCCTATCGAGCAACACTATCAAACACTATCGAACACTATCGAACACTATCGAACACTATCGAGCGAAGCGAGATAGTGTTACTCGATAGTGTCATTATTCAGTGTACTCGCTTCGCTCGATTGTGTCATTATTCAGTGTACTCCACTATCGAGCAACACTTAGTAGCTTGTTACAACAATATCTCGCTTCGCTCGATAGTGTTGCTAGATTGTGGCTTGTAAATCTACTTTGGTCATAGATTTAACTGCCCCCCTCCTTTACCAGCTTATCTCGGATATTTATGGTAGCGCACCAGTTTTTTACTTTGGGCATTAAAGCTTATCGGATCTCGTTACTCCACAATTCAAAAGACACTTTCTCTCTTATTGGCTGTTTATTTGTCTACGATTAAGTTTGGGCAAGTTTAGTAGAATAACTATGTAAATGGTTGATATACTACTACACACTGGGTCAACAGAAAAAGACGGCAGTAGCACCAAGGAGATTCATCATCCTTTTCCTCCCTCTCTTTTCATTGGTGCGTATTTCTTTTCGTGTTGGCTAGCTCGCTTCCCTCCCTCCCCTCCCCCCCCCCCCCCNCTCTCTCTCTCTCTCTCTCTCTCTCTCTCTCTCTCTCTCCCCTCCCCCCCCCCTCCCTCTGGTTCGCCACTTGGTTCATCCAATAATTTGTAGCCTGCCCTAAACACCGCACAACAAATATTTATTTAAAAATCCTTTTCTTTTTTGTTCTGATCATTCATGAAGGAGAAGACAACTTTTCTTTCATAGTCACACCCCGCCCAACTAAATTAATTCAAATCTAACTAGATACTTATTTGCCACAATTTTACTCAAGAGTCTATAGTAGCTAAAAAACGCATTACTTTAGACCTACACAAAAAGAGATTTACTCAGAGGCTAGTATCAGTTTCGAGCCAGAATCCGAGTTTGAAATCAGCGTGAGAGCAAGCCCTTTTTTTTTTTCTCGCCGCCCTTTTTATTTTTATCAACTCGTTTTTATTGTCGGGTCCCCTTACTGATTATTTTTCTTCCTTATTGTGTGCCCCCTCCTCCCCACCCACATTTTCCTACTTGACTAGTTTTGCATCTTGGTTATAAGATGGCAGTGAGATCGTGTATTAGCACTATCAAGTTATTGGGTCTAGGTTCTCTTGGTTTATTAACCACCTCAATTATCTATCAGTCGATACAAAATATTCCTCAATTGATTGACGGGATAAATTCCATTTATCAGCTAAACTTATCGACATTGAACCATCAAATCTTAAAGACAAAGCAATACATCTTGGGATCAAGGATTATAAATGGTGTGTTGACCGGGTTGAGCACCTTGTTCTTTTCACTTGCTTTCAAATATAGTGCTGTTGATGAGAAACATCCTTATTTGATATATGCTGCTATTGGCGCCCCCTTGAGCTTATTCGGTTTATACTATAAGGCTTGGATCTATGAGGATAAGATCTTGAGCAAGAGTGAGAGTGGAAAAGATAGGAAACATACTAAATTTACTTCACCTGTTACTAGTTCTGTTTCCACTTCAGACATTGAGTATGAAGATGGTGATGAAGGAGAAGATGCAGGAGGAAAAGAAAAGAAGAAAGATTATAGCGAACCAACAGAAACCATTTCAAAAGTTTGCTCTGCTGAAAATGAATTAGGTAGGTCGTATGTTCATCTTTCCGATGAATCGGGTATATCTACTCCAACCTCAACTCAACCACCATCACCACAAATCAAACAACAAAACAACCAACATGAAGATGAAGATGAGGACGATATTGTGATTGGCGAATCATCAGAACAGCCAAGGAAGGCAAAAACTGTAGAAGAAATTGAAGTGGATGCAGAAGTTGAAACAATTTTAATCAAAAAGGAAGTTGTTCAAGATTTAAAACATATTCGATCGGGATATTACATTGCTTCCTATATTTCTGGAGTGAGTTTGACACTCGCTGTTGTTGGGTTATTTGGCGACTTTTACTTTTTGTAAATGAAACGAGAAAGAAAACGAGAGAGAAAATAGGATGTTTATTTGATTGGTATTACTTGTTGTAATGGTGGTGGTGGTTGATGATGCTGTTTCTTTAGGTCTCTATATATTCGGGTTTTTAATATATATACTATTATATCGACACTATCGAGCGACACTATCGAGCGACACTATCGAGCGACACTATCGAGCGAAGCGAGATAGTGGAGCACACTGACTACACCTACACTATCGACACTATCGACACTATCGAGCGAAGCGAGATAGTGGAGCACACTGACTACACC